CAGTGTCCCAGCCCAAAGGAAAAGAATATGGAGGCTGCAGGATTCAGGCACCCACACCATGCTTGCTGCCCATGAGAACAACAGACATCTTCAACAGCCTGGAGAGAGGTTCAGGTTTACCTGTGTCCTTCCAGCACCCAGACTCTGCTGCACCCCCCATTCTCCTCTCTGGACCTCAGTTTTCCCTCACAGCCACTTTCCAGCATAGGACCCAGGGTGGCATTTTTCCTCAGCCTGGGCCTCCTCCAGTTCTCCCCAGGAGCCTGGAGCTGGGCTCGCGCCCAGCCTGACACAGGCAGGGGACAGTGGGCCAGGCCTGGGAAGGAGCACCAGCTCCGCCCCTCCCAGGGAATCACCTCTCCAGGAGAAGGACCCAGGAGCAGCTGGCACTCATAAAACCCGCTCAGAAAGTCTCCTGACACCCAGTTAAGTACGTGCCTATGCTGGGGGCAGGCTGGTAAATTACACATACCCTCCTGCGCTCCTACCCAGCAGGTGCCTGGAAATGGGTATTTATGCTTCACCATTCAGGGCAATTGCTCCATCACTACACTGAGTGACCCCGTGAGGTGTCCTCTCCCTCCGCTCTCCCAACTTGGGGGCTTCCAGAGGACCTGAGTCCCCCAAGCCCTTACCAAGCTCCCCCAACCCCTAGGCTCCTGTGATCTGGACAGAAGTGGAGGGAGAGAGTGGCCCAGCCCGTCTTCCCTGGACCCCCAGGGTCCCCTCAGGGTCCAGTCAGGACCCCTACTTCACAGAACAGCAGCCAAGGCTCAGAGAGGTTGGGTGACCGGGCAGGGTCACACAGCATCCTCCGTCTCACCTTCCCATTTCCAGACCTTTGTGTCTTCACACCACCCAGTCTGGCAGCTCCATCTGCTTCTCTGCAGACCCCTGGGGGTCCTGGGCCTGCCTGGCTCCCTGAGCCTTGGTGCTCTCTCCCCTCTTCCTTCTTGCTTTCCACTCTGTGTCTCTCAGGCTCCCTCCCCTCTCTCCTGGCCACATCCTTTCTCCCCCAGAGTCCCCACCTATGTTTACCCCCATCCTCCCCAACACTGCCTTTTGGGCTGACGTGGGCCAGGGGTGAGGATAGGGCCTCCTAGGCCACCTGTCCCCCCAGCCCTGGAAGGTACAGTGGGAGCTGGCACAGCTTCGGATGGAGGGGCCTTGTGGCTCCTCCCACTCCTAGCTGCCCCTTACTCAGCACTCTCCTCTTCCTGTCTCTCCCTCTCCCTCCTTCCTCTCTTCCCCTCTCTTCCAGGGATGAATTAATTGAATGTGTCCTCCACCCCTCAGCTCTGGGCTCCTCATGTCCCCCTGGGACTCAGCCAGCTCCTGCCCCTTGGGCCTTGTTAGATTCCAAGAAAGGCAGGATGCGGTGGGCTCTGCGTGCACACACATGTGCACACAGGTGTCCCTGTGCACAGCATTACACCCAGTGCCCTGATCAGGTCTCTTGTGTACACACATGTGTGGCCCATGTACTCCTGAAGACAAGTGTGCACAGGTCTTCATGCGTGCCTGTGCCCTGCATTGTAGACCTCGACACGTCTGCTCTGTGTGTCCACGTCACGGCAGGAGCCTGTGAGCCCACATAGTGTGCCCAAGCATGTGTGTGCTCTGTGCAGTCTCTGGGTTTACACTCATGTCTGTGAGCATGCAATTGCACCCAGAACAATGCAGTGTGCAGGGCACAGGTGTGCGTATGTCTGTATGCCATGTCTGCACACCCTGGCTGGCCTGCAATACCTCCTTTCAGTGCCCTGATGCTGGTTCCTGTCCCAGGTGAGATAGCCGTGGTGCCAGTGGCAGCGTGGCCACAGGAGCCTACAGGGAGGAGGAGGTGGTTTGAGGTGGGTGCTCACTAATGAGGCCACCTCTCTTCCTTCCCAGATGGGAGCCGGTGCCATTAATGATCTCTGCAGTGAGCAGCTCCCTGGGGAAGGCTGCACATGCCCCCTCTCCCTCCCAGAGGCCCAGGGTCCACTTCCCCCCTTCCTGGGCGGTGCAGGAGCCTGGGCATAGCCAGGGCGCGCTGTCTGGTCCCACAGGAGACCTAGGAGACCCAGAAGTCTTGTTGCCTATTGTCGATCTGCTCCCAGGGCTCAGCTGCCAATGTGCCCCTCCCATTTAGAACTCAGCTTTCACCAGCGCGCTGGGCTATGAACAGGCTCAGGGAGAGGAAGCCCCACCCCTAAGTGTGCCTCCCCAACAGGGAACATAAAACCAGCACCAGTCTGGCAGGCAAGAGCCAGCCACTAATGCCAGTGCTGTTTGACATTGGGCAAATCCCCGTCCTTTCCTGGGCCTTCGTTTCCTTGTCCATAAAATAAGCGCAGACCAGAGCCACTCTCCTCACAGAGAGGTACACACATCATTGATGACATGTGACAATTTTGACTAGTACGTGGGTACCTCACATATACTAGGCAAATACTTTTCCACTGAGATACACCCCAGCCTTCATTTATAATTTTTACTTTGAGACACACTAAATTGCCCAAGCTGGGCCCAAACTCGTGACACTCCTGCCTCAGCCTCCTAAGGAGCTGGGATTGCAGGCATGTCGACATACCTGGCTATCTGCTGTTCTAACTATGTATTTATTTTCATGCATCTACTTCATGCACAGTTGTCCCTCACTATCTTTGGGGATTGGTTCCAGAATGCCCTGAAAATACCAAAGCCCCTAAATGCTCCACCTCCTTGTGTAAAATGACCTAACACTTGCATCTAACCTGTGCACATCTCCCAAGCACTTAAAACCCTCTGCGGATTATTTACAATACCAGACACAATGTAAATATTGTGTGACTGTTACATTGTATCATCCAACACTAAACCCTCTGGAGACTGTTTACCGATGCCTGATACAGTATAAATGCTGTGCAAGTAGTCCTTACTGCACAGGCCAGCTCTAGCCCTTCGTCTACAAACTGTTTGCAGTACTCAATACAATGTAAATGCCACGTACATAGTCATTAGGGTGTGTCTTTCAGGGAGTCATGTGACCCGAGTGCTGATTGCACACCTTGGTATATGTGCTGTGTGTGCGCCTGTGCCTCTGGGTTCATGTGCATCTCACATCAAACTCTGACTTCACAAATATTGCTTAAGACATAACTAAAATACCCATTTCCAATTTAAAGAGTAAGCTGGTTTGAAGGGAACTGTTAAGAGTGAGCATCCGAATGTGACAAATGTCCTAGCATACATTAGCGGGTGACTGTGACCATGTGTCCCAGGTTTCCTGCCTGTGGGGGAGGGGACTGAGGGCCCCAGGGCCCCCTGGAGTGAGAAACACAGTGATGTTCCTACCTCGACGTCCTAATCACCATTACAGGAGAATTGGCTGGAGCAGCTGCTGTGGGCCAGGTGGAGCAAGGCCCCCCAAAATAGCAGAGGATAGTGTCCTCCTATGCAACCGAGGGTGAATCACTGGGTACTGAGAAGGCAGAAGTGGTCTGGCTTAGGCAGAGGTGGCTCCAGATTGTCCTGGGTCTCCCTGGGGAGCTCTGTACCCTATCTCCTGGGGAGGGGAAGAGACCCCAGCCTCTCAATAAGCTCCTCTCTGACACCCATCTCCTCCTGGTGCGTGGGAGAGGACAGCCTGTCCCAGAGCCCTCTGTGTCTCCGTCCTCCCAGGGCCTGGTGTGAATCACAGGGATTTACAGCCCGGCCTGGAGTGGGATTTATGAGTCCGCCTCGAGCCCAGCCATGGGGAGGGGCCACCTGTCAGCCCCCCATTGCCGCTGATTGATGCTGCTGTTTCCTGCCAAGAATAACTTTTCCTCCATGAAAAGCAGCACAGAGAAAGACTCCCAGGCCTGAGGGTCCTCATCACCTGCCCTGTGCCAGATACAGCCCCATGCCCTCCCAGTCCCCGCACCCTCAGAGCCCAGCCCACACTGACAAGGAAGCTGCAGAGCCTGAGTTCTGCACTCCCTGACCTGCTGCTCTCACCCCTCTGCAGGGCCTTTCAGAGCCAATCAAGCCAGACATGGTGGCACATGCCTGCCTGTAGCCCCAGCACTCTGGAGGCTGAGGCAGGAGGACTGCTTTGCCTGGGCTACATAGGAAGTTCAGGGCCAGCCTGAACTACATAGCAGACGCTGCCTCAGAAAAACAAAAATTAAAAAATAAAACAAAACTGATCCATCCCAGGTTCCCCCCTGGATGCATGGGGGTGAGTCCCTCCCCTCTCCAGACCCCTGCAGACAGGCAGGGAAGACCTGACGACCTCCAGCTGACAAGTCATCCAGACCCAGCCCTGCAGTACCCATTTTCATCACAGGGTGGCAGCAGGCACCAGGCTGGGCCCAGTCTCCTATCAAGACACGTGGTTTCCCCAGGGCCCAGCACTGTCCCAGAGCCCTCTGTGTGGGAACCAGAACCCCAAGAAAGGAGAACCTGCACAAAGTCACACAGTGAGAGGGGCCATAGCCTAGGCCCCAGTGCCCTGTTGCGGCCCCTGTGCCATAGCAGAGGCTGCAGAAAGGGAGACCCAGTTGGCTGTCTGAGGTGGAGTCCTGAGCGCCTGACTGGCAGTGCTGGACAGGCCTCTGCCCCTCTGAGCCACCCCCGCCCCGCCGTGCCTGCATGGGGCAGTGCTGGACAGGAAGCCACAACTCGGTCCCGGCAGGTGTCCCACCCATGAGAGAAGGGATGCTCCCTCCGCATCAGGGGCTCCCTCCTGACCCCCCAATACCCGGCTCAGCTCCCCCTCCCTGCCCCATGCTCTCTGGGCCCCAACCTCTCTCTCCCCTCTGCCCCAGCCCACTGTGCCCCTCTCCTGTGGGCCCCACCTGCTGCCACAGTGTGTTTACAGCCAGAGGCCACTGCTTTTTATTCCTCTTTGTCTCCCTTCCTCCCCTGAAAGGAAACACTGCTTCCCACCAACTGGGAAGAAAGCTGTACACACACACATGCACACACATGCACACTCATGCACTCCTCCTTCCTGCCTGAGCCTCCTGGGATGGCCAAAGTATTTGGAGTAATTGAAAATGTCGATCTTTATTCTGGAGCATAAACAAGGCAGAGGGACATGGGAGCGGGGAGGGGAAGAGGAGAGAGGAGGAGGGGAGAGGCCAGCAGGAGGAGAGCCTGGCAGAGGCGGAGGCTGGGACACCAGGGTGGGAGGGAGGTGGCTCCTCCACAGAGAACCAGGAGGTGACCTTGACCTCACCACTGCATCCACCAGGAGTGAGGACCAGGAGAGAGGCTGGGACCTCGGATAGCTGAGCAAGAGAGGCCTTGGCTGGTCTTGGTGGGTAAGGCAGCTTCTCCAGCCAGGGCTGGCGCTGGATCCTGCTCCTTCACGGGCAGTGGAGGGGGCATCCTAGCACATGTGAAGAGCATGTATTTGTTCACAGTCCTCACCCATATGCCACAAGGAGTCCATGAGTCCCCGAACACAGGGCCCCCATCTTGCTCCTGGCCTGAGGTCCCCACTCCTCAGCTCCTGGGAATTTGCAGGGTTGACCTTTGGGTTCCAGCAATGCGTGGTGGTCCCCTGTCAGCATCCCACAGGGTCCCGTGATTGCAATTTCATCACCAAGGCCACTTGTGTCCCCAGAGACAAGGGTGCTGAGCCCCCACCCTCCTTCTTCTCCCACTTAGCCATCCCCTGAACTCTGGAGGCCAGTGGTGTTTGTTGAATGACTAATGATCAAGTCTGTGTGATCATGTGCCAGTCCCAGGGCTTAATGACCTGAATGAACAAGTTCAGGTCCTAGAAGGATCAACCAAGGGATTCCTGCAAAGCCAGAAGAGGGGCCCAGCCTTAGGGTCAGGAGAGCTGACCTGAGATGGGGGTTGCTGCTTCATTGAAAGGTCAACTCCAATCTCTCATTTCATTATCTCCATTTTGACCCTTCCTCCCCCTCCCTTCCCTTCCCAGGGGACCATGACCTGCCCTGTGGGACATTCCATCCCTGGAGCCAAGTGTCCACTCCTACCCGTAGCTGGTGGCAGTGAGGAGATAAGGTCCATCTCAAACTGTCAAAAATTAAGATTTATCTCAAGATAAGTATTCATCCCCACAATGACCCTGGTCACAGATGAACATTGACCATGGTCGCTTACTGATCCATATCCCGGTCACACACCTGAACCTTAGAGACAGGCCATCAATCTAGCACATAGCCAAAGTTATTTCCAGGCCCTGGCCCTCAGTTTCCCCGTGTGTCCAGCAAGGGCCTGGACCTGGGATGGGGTTCCGAGGTGGCCCTGGTGACACAGTCTCCTCAGCTACCACCACCTGCCAGCCCCACCCCCATCCAGCCCTTCCAGCCAAGCGTCACTAATTTATGTAGCTGCCATGATAAATAGCACTGTCAGCAAAATGACATCTTTCTAATCGGCTGCGAGACAGATGGGTCCCCTTGTGCCTGCTCTTTCTACAGCCTGGCTGGCTTTGCTGAGGATTGTGGGAAGACAGGATGGACACAAACCCAGGGCCTGGGGACACGGTGGCATCTCGATGGCAGGACTGCAAGCAGGGTGGAAGGTTCTTTCCTAAATGTCAAACTGGGTTTTGGAAAAATCTATCTCAAAGCTGTTCTGCACTTTTCTGTCCAAACTCGGGTTTACTTATTCAACACAATCTTCATTTTCAGTGATAACCTAAATACAGTTTGAGTGTTCTAGGATGAGCCACTCTGTTCCCTCACTGGCCCTGAGGTGGCTTTTTATCTCCATCTCCTGGGACAGTGGCTGCAGAAGGATCCAGCCCTGCCTTGGGCCACCGCGGCTGAGTCTCCTTGCCCCCCCTCGCCCTCCCTGGCCCATCTCCCTCTTGGTGCAATGAGAGGAGCTGGAGCGGGCTGCTTCCAGGGTGTCCTGATCCAGAATTGGGGTGATGGGCATTACATGAGGACAAACAGCAAATGCCAGTCCCCAGCCCCCATGTGACAGGAGAGCTGGCACTGTCCAACCAAAGCAGCCACACAGTCCAGACTGGCACTGCCCCCCCCCCGGCCAGCCACTCTTCTGCCAGCTGAGCTTCCACGGTTGGGGACCAATGAGAGATCTTTCACGGGAGCCTGTGGCCCTCAGACCCTCCTGGCTACCCGAAGGGAATACCTCCTCCACAGGTTTCTCTCCTCCCTGGAGCCCGCTGCCAGCCCTGTGCTCACCTGGTGAGGGCCTCCGCTCCCAGCCTGCAAGCCACCCACGCATTATGTGGAGATCAGCGCTGCCTCTCACACCCCAAGCCTCAGTCACTCTGACTCCCTACCCTGTTCGCTGTCCCTCAGCCTCTGGTCCCCTCTGCACACTTTCATTACCCTCTTTTGTTCTCCTCCACACAGTCTCTGCTTGTCCCCACTGCCTGCTCCTCCCTGGGACGTGGGCCACTGGCCAGGAGTAGAAACACACAGTCCTAGAATTGGGGGAACCTAGCATCTTCCCACCAACTCCTCCTGCCCCAAAGCTCAGAGAGCAGGACCACAAAGGCCACACGGTGTGATGGGGCCAAGTCAGGAGGACCTCAGCTCTTCACGCACTGCCCAGGGCCTGGCCCCTATGGGCCGGACAGGAACTCGTAGACAGGACCAGCTCACAGCCACCTGGGACTGCAGCCAGGAAACAGGAGCAGGGTCCCCAGGAAGCAGCAAGATGTCTGCAGAAGGCAGAAATGAACACACAAATATTTATCTAATGCAGGCACCAGGTCTGCCGGAATAGAAAAATAACATCTGTAGGGTGGAGAGGGTGAGCCGCAGGCTCAGTCTCCGATGTCCACCACCAGAGGGCACAGGTGGGCCGAGTGCCTGACGCCCATGGTGAAGGCGGGCGCACGGGGCTTGTGCAGGGTGACCTGCTGCACGTCGTGGGAGCCGGGCCCAGGCCGTGGTGTGTGGTCCAGTGGGTAGGCGTGGCGTCGTGCCATGCTGTATGCCGGGCTGCGGTTCTGGTATACGGAGGGCTCTGGCCGGGCGTGTGCAGCTGGCCCAGGACCCCCAGCCACATTCTCCCAGTAGAACCAGTTCTTAACTACAGGAAACAGACTGAAGCAAGGGGCAGACCGGTGGACGGGGGTGGTGGGCCCCAGTGAGAGGGGCAGCTGGTAGCAATTGGGGGCCGGGTTGGGATCCATCACTCGAACTGGGCACCGATAGCCAAAGGAGTACTGGGGAGCCCTGCACTCATCGGGGGGATGGGTCTTCTCCAGATTATAGTGGCAGGGGGCCAGTGTGGGGCTCAGACCTGAGGATGACAGGAGGAGGGAAGAGGTTCTGTCCCTGGCCCCAGCTGATGGGCCTGGGGTCAGAGCTGAGGCCTTGCTTGGGCACCTCGGGAGCAGGGAAGGGAACAGTGTGAGGCCGGGGAGGGAACAGTACAAGGTCAGCAGGACAGTGACACATTTGTCATGACATAAAATCCACCAATGTCATTGCAGTGTCAGCATCAGGCTTTCACTGTGGTACCCTGGACCCAGGACAGCACAGGTAAGGATGCTTAGCATGACAGTGCTGCAGCCTGGGCGTAGCCTACGACGGATCCTCGTGACACACGGTGACACAAAGTGAGGCTACAGTGTGATGCTGACGTGACACTGCGGGAGATGCTGTCATCCCCAGATCCACCCTCCTCCTTGTTCCTGCTAGGGTCTCCCAGCCCCAAGCTCCCCACCCCACCTCTGCCTGGCGCCACTCACGCAGGCTGGTGACACGGCCATCCATGGGCACCTGTGGGCAGCTGGACATTCCAAAGCGGGTTATTTTGGGATCCAAGCAATAGCAGGGTCCTGGGCTACAGATGTCTGTGATCCCTGCAGGGTGGTCACAGAGGAACCGTCAGAAGCCTGGCCTCCTCCAGGCAAGACTGTCCCCTCCCAACAAGAGGGAGGACTTTCTTCAGATTCCTGCACCTCTAGGGTGCTGGGTCCTTAACTTGCTTATCTGTGAAATAGGACTTTGATGGCATGACCGACATTCTGAAGAACTGACCCAGGGGAACGGAATAACTGCAGGAACAATGCAGAGCTGGTCAAAGACCAGAGCCGATAGTAATGACAGCCACATGGCTACTGTTAGTACTGACAAAAGCCCAGGCCAGGCCGGAGAGTCCCTTGCCTCTCCCCAGGAGGAGCCCAACAGGTACCTCGACTCCAAGCCCAGCCTCTCCTCCTGCAGACTCAGGTCTGCAGTGGCCTCTGCTCCTCCGCCCTAGAGCTGCTGCACCCACCACGTCCCTGCTGCCCCCCTGACAGCATGAGGCATCCAGAGCTGAAGGGCCCTGCTTTGCCAGACAGGTGCCAGTGTCCCTTTCTGGTCCCCTGGAGACATCTGCCTTGGGGGTGGGCACTGAGGAAGCCTCCTTCTGTCCCTCTCAGGGCAGACCCTGGCTCCCATGTCCGTGGCCACAGAAGATAGCTCCAGGTCTCTCCTGTCCCCAGCCCCAACTGTCACCCCACCTCCTGGCATGTTGGGGACACCCGCTCACGCTTCTCTGAGTGCTTCTTGTGCAAGGTGAACACTGGCCCCCGGACCATGGAGCTGTCATGAGCCACGTAGCCCGTGCACGATGGCCGCAGGTACTTGGCGGGCCCCGGACCTGGAAGGACAGACAGGGTCCTGGTCAGAGGCAGGAAGCCCAGACCCAGGGTACCCTGAGAACATCAGGGTCTTTCTTGACTCTTCCTGTTGCCACTGCCAAATGCCCCAAACTGGGATCCTTCAACCCCCCTGACCACCTGGTAAGGTGGAATATTCCTAATTTTCTCACATTAAAGATGAGAATATTGAGGCTCATTAAAGATGAGAAATATTAATCTCACCAGGAGTGGTGGTGCACCCCTGTAATCCTAGCACTTGGAGGTTGAGGCAGGAGGATCATTGAGTGTTTGAGGCCAGCCTGGGCAACATAGCAAAACCCTGTCTCAAAAAAATAAAATCCAAGTAGCTAATACTGCTGGCCTTGGGTTTCGCATAGAGCAGCATATGTTCCCTAAGGCTTTAAGAGCATCCTGTGGAGTTCACAGTGGGGGGCCCCCACCTCAGCAGGCCAAGCCCAGGATGGACAGGGTGGCTCTCACCTCTGATCAGGGCCATGATGACAGGGGTCTGCTTCACCTCCTGCCTTGAGGGCAGCTGCTCCTCCTTTTCTGGGTGCTGGCCATAGAACACAGAGTTGTTAGCTCCCTTGGGCAGCCTCATAACTGAAGCTAGATGCCCCTGCGAGGGACAAAAGGGGGCTGGGCAAAAAGGTGTCCTCTTCCAGCTCCTCGGCGTCGGGCGCTGGTGATGTCACGGCAGAACTTGGACACAGAAGGCTGAGTGTTTATTTCTCCAGTTGCCGTGGCAGCGGGCCGTGGCGTGGAATTCTATGCTTGAGCCCAGTTGTGGAACCCTGATCCCCACACAGGCTAGCCAGGGGAACCTAGGACACCTGCCTTCCTCCTGGGCCCCAGTGGGTGCTCCAGGCTGTGGACCAGAATGGAAAAGGATGGGTGGCAGGTCCTTCCCCTTGACCTGCTGCCATCTGTCTACTCGGGTTTGGATGAGCCTTCCCTTCCGTAAAAGCCTGTTTTTCAGGCTGAGGTTGTGGTTCCATGGGACAACACTTGTCTGGCATCTGAGGCCCTGGGTTCAATCCCCAGGACTGGGGGAAAAAATAAAAAATTATTTTTCCTTGCAAATGTTTAAGCCAACTATTTCTCACAATGATGTAAGTGTCTGTCGGTCCCTTTCCCAAGGATACTACTTTGTCTCTAAGATCCAGCTCTAGTTGAAGGATACTTGGCAAATATAGGGATCGAAGGGGCAACCCTACCCCCCAGCCACTTCCCTTACAGCCCCTACATGACTGAGGGTCTCGGGCTAAGCAAATGGGGGACCTCTTCCCCATCCTGAGAATGTGGGAGGTTGGAACCAGGCCTGTCATTCACATGTGCGACTCAGACTGGGATTTGATCTAAATTGAGCAAGAGGTCCCTGTTCCAGGAACCAGGATGCTGGCACTGAGGAGTCGTTACCACCAAGGCACAGAGAAGGAGACTGAGGCCAGCCAAAGTCCACAAAGGTCAGGACTCCTCCAAAGTAGCCTGGTGCAGGAGCTGAGTGGAACATACGAAGTTGGGGGCTGCTGGGGACCATAGCCTGGCCTCAGGGAGCCAACGCTACTCAGAGGTCACACAGTCTGGGAACCTGGACAGCAGAGCCATCCAGGGGTGGCACAGCCTCCTCCCTCTGTCCTATGCACACTGAGCGGCCCCCTCCTCCCCAGTACCCCTTCTCTTCATCTCCAGCACAGGCCAGCTTGCCCCAGAGGCCACCTGAGATAGGAGGGTGCAAGGGCCACCTCCCATCGGGCCCTGGTTTCCTTGTGGCCAGTGCCTTCCAGCCGTGCTATCGCCACAGCAAGCCTGGGGACTCTGGATCTCCTGCCAGGCCCTTGCTGACACGTGCCTGAGCCCACCATCATGGAAACCCACGATGCCCAGCCCTCCTCCTCATCCCTGGCCCTCCTGCCTGCCAGCACACTGACCTAGCCCTCTACTCTGACCAGCTTGCCCACCCCGTCCCCACAAGTGATCCCCAGCTCTGCTCCTTCCCTACCCTCCTCCAGCCCCTCATTTCTTGCTCCTAGCAGAGAACTGAGGCCATCAGATGGAGACTCTCCCCAGCATGCCAGACCTGCATATCTGATGTCCCTACATCCAGTTCCCACTGGGGCTCACCAGCCTCCTGTCTCAGCACACTTGTTCCTGTCTGCTCCTTCCAGCCACACTGTGATAGCCAAGGTACCTCCCGCCACACAGACTACTAAAATCTTCCCTAACCAGGTGTGGCGCCACCTGTAATCCCGGCATTTGGGAAGCTGAGGCAGGAGGATCACACATTCTAGCCCAGTCTGGCCAGTTTAGTGACTTACTGACACTTGTCTCAAAAACTGAAAAGAGCTAGGGATTAGCTCAGTGCAGAGGCCTTGGGTTCAAAAAAAAAAAAGAAAAATGAAAGAAAGAAAAAACTTTTCCTGCCCCAGTGTCTCCTCCACCTGGACCAACTTCTAAGGGGACCCTTGGCATGATCTCTGCACCCCTACCTGCACTCTGACTCACCACAGAGGCTTCGGGCCCATAGCCCCACCCAGCCTCAGTTTGACCAGAGGGCCCCCACTTGTGTGTGGCAGCCACTGCCTGTGACACACTTCCCCCTCTTCCAGATTGGGCTCCATGCTGGACCAAAATGACTGAGCACAGTGTCTTCACCCAGCTCCCATTCCTGTCCCACAATCTCCTCCCAGAGTCCCTACACTTTCACAGATTCTCTGCTGGCTCCTCTGCCTCCATGAAACCATTCAGCACTGATGGGAATGATTTATCACAGAGAGAAACCAGCCAGGCATGGTGGTGCACGCCTGTCATCCCAGCTCTTGGGAGGCTGAGGCAGGAGGATTGACATGAGTTTGAGGCCAGCCTGGGCCACACAGTAAGACGCTGCCTCAAACAAAAACAAAACCAAAAAACCAACTCTGCACACAGGGAGAATGGAAACCCCCTCACCAAGTGGCACCAGGGACATCCTAGTGAGGGCTCAGGAGGTGCCAGTTGCTTCTGGGAGAACAGACATCTTTTCTGGGGTCTCCCTACGGGGGACCTAGAATCTGAACAATCCTGAAGAAGCCAAAAAAACACAGATCAAGATTCGCTCTACAGAATAACTGCCTGTCCTTGTCATGAAAGATAGATGACTGAAGTCCTGGGCCTCAATGACAGACACTCAACAGGTGACAACCAAGGGGGACCAGGAAGCCGCACTTTCTCTTGCTACAAAGGACATTGCTGGGAAAATGGGCAAAACCAGACATAAACACCTGCGGCTCAGGTCTGATTTGGTTCCCATGTTGATTTCCTGATGGCGATAGCTGCAGTCATGCTGTGGAAGACCTGTCCTTGTTCTTAGAACTGCCCAGGGCAAAAGGAAGAGTATTTCTGCAACTCACTCTCAAATGGTTCAGAAAAGAAAAATGTCTATACATAGCAAAGCACTTTAAATGGGATAAAACACTAACATTCAAGAAATCAAAAAGAAAGAAAGAAAGAAAGAAAGAAAGAAAGAAAGAAAGAAAGAAAGAAAGAAGAAAGAAAGAAAGGAAGGAAGGAAGGAATCCAGGTGAAATTGTGTGGGAAAATATTTGTAGTAGTTTGGCCACTTTTATGTAAGTCTGAAATTATGTCAATAAAAAATTCAAAAGAGCAAAATATGGGCCTGGGATTTAGCTCAACAGCACAAACACCTACCTGGCAAGCATGAGGTCATGAGTCTGATCCCCAGTTTAAAAAAACACACACACAGCATGGTGGCACACATCTGTAATCCTGGGTACTCAGGAGGCTGAGGCAGGAGGAGTGCATGGTTGAACCTAACTTGATACGACCTTATCTCAGAATAATAATTTTAAAAAAGGATTGGCAATGTAGCTCAGAGCTTTTTGATTTCCACTCTCAGTATCACCAGAAAGAAATTTTTTCAGCCAAAAAAATACATCAGCATCTCTGGGCTCAGCCTTGGTGTTTGTCTCACTTTGTACTACAGTCCTCTCTCCTGACTGTCCACCTCCTCTTCCAATTCCAGCACTGTTACCCAACGATCTCTGAACATGTATTTCTCTGGATCAGACTTTCTTAGGAGCACTAAACTCACAGTTCAATGTCTGCCCAGGGTCACCCACATTTCCCCGAGCACCTCAAATCAACACACCCAAAGATTGTCTTGAGGTTTCCCACCCTGTTGGTCTCAGTGCTCAACACCACCCTCCATCCAAGTGCCCAAGCCAGAAGCCCAGGCTTCTCCCAGACCCTCCCTCATTCATACTCCCCACATCCAACTAATCCCCAAGTGACTTCAGACTCCTGTGTGTAGCTCCCCTGTGTCTCAGCCCCTAGCACAGTGCCTGGTTCCAGGTCTATGCTTAGAAAATACTGAATGGGTGAGCTGCACAACTGACCAGCTAGGGAAATAGCACCCCCAACCCAGGAGGACAGCCCTGCCTCCTGAGTCCCAGGCACACACCATGTCAGGCTCAATGGACAAGCATGCATGTTTGTATCAGTCATCATGTGCTGTGTAACAAACTGCCCTCTAACACTAACAATTTAAAACACTACTCTCCTACTGCCACACAGTGGTTTAGAAAGGATTTTTCTGGGGTTCTGGCTCCTGGTGTCAGGAAGGCCATGGTCATCTGAAGATGACAGAGCTTGCATGTCCACACCAAAGAAGGCTTAACACCATGAAGGGCTACTGGCCAGAGGCCTTAGCTCACCCCACACAGGTCACCACAGGCTGCATGCTGTCCTCAAATGAGCCATCTGAAGGGAGCAGAGCACAAGTCATGCCTCCTCTGTGACCTGGAAGCCACATTGTCCTCTGGGCCACAAAGCCCAACTCTACTCACACACAAGGGCAGGAAGGGCAACAGGTGGGGTCACTGAAGGTGTCTTGGAGCCTGGCCTACACTGGTTTTCACTATGCAAGGACAACTGGTGGTGTGGCCAGGAGGGCTGAAGTCTAGGATGCTGAAGACAAAACTCAGAGTTCCCTACCGCTGACCTACAGTCCAGCCCTTTTTCAGTTTTTGTTTTGTTTTTTACTCTGAAACAATGTCTTCATCACTTTCCTCATCGCTGGAACACAGTACCCAACATAAACAATTTAAGGAAGGGGAGGATTGTTTGGGCTCCTGTTTTGGTCTATAATGCATGCACAAGACCCTGAGTCCCTGGGTTAACCCCTAGTACCAAAAGAAAACAAAAGTCTTGTTCACTAGCTCCAAGACAGGATAGCATGGCACAGGGGCCTGGCGGAGAAGAGCTGCTCACTGCGCAGTGGACAGGAAGCAGAGAGACAAGAGGGACCAGGGAGCAGAAAAACTTTCCAGGCCACACCCCTGACCCACCCTCACTCCATCAGGCCCCACCTCCTACAGCAAATCAGTTATAATCCCAGGATCCAATCACCTTCTAAAAACCCCAACCATGAGCCCACCAGGTTTGGGGGGATATCTAGATATAAACCATAACAGCCAGGGCCTAAGTTGCCCAAACTGGCATTGAACCTGTCATTCTCTTGCTCTAGCCTCCTGTGTAGTGGGGATAACTGTGTGGGGTTCTAAGTACCCTGTCCACTCTCACCTGTCCAGGTGTCTCTTGGTCTTAGCCTTGCTTCTCCTCCCAGACTCCTGAGAACTACCGTCACTTTCTAACCACCTGGCCTGTCCGTCACTTTCTAGCACCCTCTCCTCTACACACCCTGGCTGCTCTGCACTTCGAGGATAGGAGAAAGGTGCAGATAGGTGACACGCTTCCCAGGGCCACACCAAAGTGGCTTGGCAAGACCATGTCTGGCTTCCGAGCCCACATTCTTTCCACTGCCCTGCCCGCTGCCAGCTCAGGCCTGGTCTTCCACACCCAATGTGAGCGCCAGTCCAAACCCTGCAGCTTCTCAGCCTTCTTTGGGAAGCCACACCCCAGCCCCAAGTCCTCTGCCCCATACAAGTTTCACCCAGACAGCGCCTGCCCGGGCCCTCCCAGGTCCCTCTCTGCTGGTGGTGCTGCAAGGGTTAACTGCATGAACTAATGTTCAGAAATAGCACAACCCCAGGGATGTCAGCTGTGGCCAGCTGCTCACAGCCCCTGAAGCCCAAGCTTTTGTAAATATGGTGTGGTAGGGAGCGCCTGATCCTGGAGACAGAGGCTCCCAGAGGTTCCCTGAGCCCCACACTCCAGCCCCACCTTCCTAGCATGGCTTGGACATGGCTCAGACCTGTTCCTTGCCTTGGGGACCACTCCAGCTTCTGGAAAGTGGCAAAGAGAACTTCCCAGCTCCTGAATTGTGTAACTGCTGGGACTTGCTTCTTCCGCCCGCCCCACAGGAGCCTGGCTGCTGGACTTGGAGGAGGCCACTGCCTCAACCAGAGGCAGGAGCAAAACGGCTCCTAGAAGAGTCCCTGGTCCAAGTCTGGCTTGGGACCCTGACTATGCAGCTCCTGGGTGCGAGACTGCCAAGGAACCAGCATCTCAGCTGGCATTCCCCTGACACCAAGGTAGCTCTGGTCCTCCATGGCTGGAGACCAACTCCCAGAGGACAGGGCCTGGGCAGCTGGAACCTGTCCTACTCCGGCACTGCCCCATCTAGGGCACAAGCACACGCCGTTACTAGCAGACTGGCTTTGGCACGAGCTCTTCGGGTGGGGCTGGCAGTCACAGTGCCTAACACCACAGCTGAGGCCGCAGACAAGCACCACAGAGCGGGAATACTTATTCAAGAAGCTCTGGGGGTGACAGTAACCAGAGATGCCTGGCCAGTGTGCCTGGCTGAACGTTGGCAGGGGAGTGGGTGTTGCTGGGCTCTCTGTTATTTTGGAGAAACTGAGGCAGCACATAGGCCAGGTCCTAGTAGCTTCAGAGAGTTCTAAGTCCTCCTTCGCTTGTGCACAGAAGCATTCTTCACTTTTCCACCACTCCGTGTGTCCTAGGCGCTACTGGGAAGAGGGCAGTCGGGGCAGCAGGGGAGGCATCCACACACCCCTGACCCAGATAGACAGGCCTCAGAGATCAGGAAAACTTCAGAGCTTGGTACCGTGGCCGGTGTATAGAAGAAGGGCTGGAACAGCTTCTTGGAGAAGTAGAGATCTGGCAGGGAGGTAGGGGCCATCAGGGGGGTCAGCATGCCTGGCTGACCCAAGCCTAGGCGAGACAGAGGATAGGCTGGAGACGAAGGGAGGCAAGAGCCAGGCCTGAAGCTGCCAGGAAGGCCCAGGGCAGCTCTGCCCAGGATAAGCTCCCCCAGGAGGTTGGGGAGGGGACCACAGAGCTGAAAGCACTGCCCCATCCAACAGCCTTGCTGTAAGACAAGAGGAGGCAGCCAGGGACCAGTTTCAAGGCAATGCAGAGCCTCAACTTTACCACAGTCCACCTGTATATAACACTACTCAATTTCAGTCCAGGGTTCAAGTCTTGGGCTGGGGGTGGAACAAAGGCCAAGCTGGAGCCCCAGCAATACTTTTGCACCAAGAGACTCAGTTTTCTCATCTGTACCCCAGGGCTCTGTCCTCCTCACCCCCCACCCTCACACACACACACACACACACACACACACACACACACACGCACGCACACACTTCCCCAGGGTGCAAGGCCTCTCAGCAAGGCCTGGCAACCAACTGGCTGCAGCACAGGTTACACTGTTTTCCTGGGCCTGTGATGCTCTGACTGGCCAGCAACAAGGCAGGGAGGCTCTGAACAGATCCTGCCTCAAACCTGATCCCAACAACCCGAATGCCAGCTGTGGCAGCTGCTCCTGTCTGGAGGCTCGGAAGACAGACAGACATGGAGCAGTGGGAGCTGAATCCTGGGTGGGGATCAGGAAAGATGGAGAAGCCAGGACAGGGAAGGCAGAGGACACGGGCGGGTAGGGGAACATCTCCATCCAAGCTTGTGATCCACAAAGAAAAAAAAGCCTTCGCCCTTCTTGGTTCCTGAAAATAAAATTATTTTCCCTCCAAATGAAGGCTCCAACCACCACTCCTTTCCTGCAACACACTTGGCTGCAATTAGCCCCTAACGAGGACCAGGTGTCTCGCTGACTCAGGGAAGGAAAGATGAGGGACAAGCTATAGAATTGATGGCTTCATTGCCACCTAGGCCAACACGGCACAGCACCAGCCCCAGGTCTCCAGGGGGCCCAGATGAGAACTTATAGGCTTGTCAAAATCCCCACAGAAGGGTAAGTCAGTCCCAGTAGGTATTTATTGAGCACCTACTGTATGCAGCTGCCCCTGCAGAGGTGTGGGGTTCCCATCAACAGAGGAGATGTGTGTAAGTTGTATTTAAACTATGAAACAGCATTCAGGAGGCTAAGACAGGAGGATTGTGAGTTTGGAGGTGGCCTGAACTATACAACAAGACTGTTTTTAAAAAAGAATAGTGTCACCAGGGATTCAGCTCAGCAACATAAGCACCTACCTTGCAAATGCACAGTTATGAGTTCAATCTCCGGTGCCAAAAAAAAAATAGCGCCTATACTAAAATTGGAAAGATACCGTGGATATTAGCATGAGCCTGCCCAAGTAGGACTTGCAAATTTGTGAAGCACTCTATAATAAATAAAATATAATAGGTAAGTAAATAAATACATGAAAACACAAGAGCATGCGGGAGAAATGACAGACATGTCCTGAGCACCTACTGTGTGCTAGGCACTGAGGTACCTTAGCGCATTTTATTCTCATAAACCCAGATTTACAAATGAGAAAATTGTGGCACAGGAGGCAAAGGAACTTGTTCAAGATCAGAAAGCTGGAGAGCTGGAGTTGAACCCAGGTCTGCCTGGATCTGAGACCAGAACTCATAACCATCCTGGGGACTGGCAGCAACATGCGCTATGGTGGCCACAAGACCCCTAGATTCGGGTCAGGACCCTGCAGCTGGGTGTGCTTTGGCCTAGTTCCTTGCTCTCTCTACCTCAGTTTCTTTATCAGCAAAATGGGGCTCAGTTTTTTGCAAACTTCGAAGAGCTGCACATGCTGGGAGCTGTGGCCAGGCCCAGGAGGGGCTGGGGCAGGCGAGCAAGTTGAGAGGGGGTCTAGAAAGATCTGAGTGGTGAAGCAAGGAGCAATCAGGGGTGTTCACCCATCCCCTCTCTGTCATGACCCCGAGGTCAGGCAGCACAGGCACTGGAGCCAGGCTACAGGCAGGCAGAGCTCCAGGCACTGGAAACTCCAGGATAATAATATGGCCCTTTCTCCAAGTCCTGCTCGGACCAGCAGAAGTTACTGCTGGGCCAGTGCCAGGAGAAGGCCTGGAGCAGTTAGGTAGGAGCTAAATCCAGGGCCAGACTTCAGGAGGAGCCCCTGCTGGAAAGCTGATCCCTTCCTGCGCTCTCTTCTCCCCAGGTCTGCAAGGACCTCTGTCCCTAGGAGCCACTCCCCACCCCATACATGGGGGGAGGCACCTACCTTGCAGAGAGACTAAGGGGCTCGTAGGGAATCCAGATGTCTCTTTGTGACTGGACACTGAGGCCCTTTGGGCAGAGAAGCTCCAGGCGGCAGTGGTCACTACATAGAATTGGGTTCCCCGGGGGCTCAGAGGCAAAGCAGGCTTTCTCCTTAGGCTTGGAGTGTGTGGAGCACCCAGCCACTCCCTAGTCCCCACTAGGATAGAAGGAGGGAAGCTCAAGCTCCTCCCAGAGCGATCTGGGGGTCCCAGCAGAGGTGCAGGGTACTCCCAAGTCTGGACCCTGCTGGGATCTTGTCCCAGGTCTCCAGGGTGGGGCCTGTCCCTGAAGCAGCGCAGCACCGGCCCTTTAAGAAAGTCGGTGGGTGGGTGCAGACGGGGAGCCCCCGCCTCCGCGGCTAGCCGCCCTGAGCCGAGTCCGCACCTCCCCGCCCCAGCTCAGTGAGCGCCCGCCAGCCCAGAGCGCGCTTGCAGTCCCAAGTCCTCCTTCTCTGCTGCCGGGAGTCCCCGCCGCCCAGGCGATGCGCCCCTGCCCGCGGCCCCCGCGCCTCGCGCCTGCTTTGGCCCTGGTGGTGCTCACTTGGGCGCTGCTGACTGGACCCGCGTCTGCAGGTGAGTGAGGCTGAGGTCTTCCCGCTCGCTGCCTCTGAAGGGTTCTCTGAGCTCCTCCCTGGCGCGGGCAGGACGGGAGCTGGGAAAGCTCTGAAACTGAGGCAAGGTACTGGTTATCTAGGATGCGTGAAGGGCCCTGGAGAGTCAGCACGCTGGGGAAGAGCTCTGCCTTCCAAATGTCGCAGGCAGCCACCCCCTGGTCACCCAGTGCCCTTAGGCTGTGGTTACCAAGCAGGCTTGGGGTGAAAGTGAGAAGTGGCTGCCAGCCTCGAAGGAGGGCACTGCTAGGCGGGGATGGACAGGGAACCACCTTGCACTGCCTGAGTGCCCTGGCATCTCTGAGCAGCCCCTGTCCCCAGAAGCCTCTCATGCACCTTCCACTCCTTCTGCCATGTTTCCCCCTCCCCGCCCTGCCCGCGGGAGTAGGGGGTGGCTGGCTCCCTCCCCTCTCTCCCCCAGGAGACCACCCAATCTTCAGCCTCACAGGAGCAGGCCTGGGGCCCCTCAGATGCCCTTCATCCCTCAGAGAGCCAAGACACCCCTGCCAGGACGCCCTGTTGCCATTCCTGGGACCTGACCCCTACAAAGACTGAATGAAAGTTTGCCCTCTGAGAGGTGCTGGGCCCCTCTGTCACGGTGCCAGGAATCCCAGCATTACAGTGCTCTTCCTTCAGGGGGGCAGGCATGGTCTAGTCAGGGATCTGTGGCCTCAGGGCCCATCTGTCATTCCTGCTCTACGTGAATCAGGGCTTCAGCCTGGTCCTTGGGACCATTCCCGAGAGGAAGAGCCCAAGTCTCTCCACCAGGAGCTCGGGCCACACCCTGCTCCCATCAGAGGGGGAAGCCAGTTCTGCAGAAGGGCATCATGGAGTGGCCAGGAGGGGATGAGTCATAACCGGGTACCCAGCTCCCCATTCCTGCTGTGGGTCTTGGCCTGAGTAAGGGGTGGACTCCAGACATAAGGAAGGGTGTCCAAGGAGATAGAGTTCACCAGGCCTCAGCCTCTACCCAAGAGAGATGCCTGCACTCCATTCTAAAATACTTCCCTAGCACCCATATTGCGTGGGCACTGTGCTGGGCAAAAAGGGCACACGAGCTGAATCTGGATTCATTCCAGAGACAGAAAATTGGGGCTGATGATATGACTTAGCGACACAGTGCCTGCCTGGCAAGCATGAGGTCGAGTTCGATTCCTAGTGCCAAAAATTTAAAAAAAGAAAGAAAGAAAGGCATGGTGGCACATGCCTATAATCCTAGCACCTGAGAGGCTGAGGCAGGAGGATTGCTGTAAGTTCAAGGCAGGCTTGGGCTATATAAGCAAGTTCAAGGCCAGCATGAACCACATAGTGAGGACTTAAGAGAGAGAGAGAAGTAGATAAAACTCAAACCTTTGTGATTGTTGATGCAAAGATCTGAAAATCAGAGCAAGCCAGGGTGAAGCAAGGGTGGCTTTTGAGCCAAGATGTGGTGGATGGTGCAGGCCTGGGCAGCACTCAGCCTGGGCAGAGTGGGCGTAAGCAAGCAGAGGGTGCTGAGATTGGAAGATATTCCGAGCATGGGCCAGGAAGAGCCCTGGGCTGGGGCACCAGCACCTTAAATGGCAGGATGTGCCTGGCTGGCAGGGGGGCATCCATGACGGTCTTAAGGCAGGAGCTCAGCATGGCGCCTGTGAGGTTTAGAACGGGAAGCCAACCCTGACCTTAGAAGGATTTGGAAATGGGGAGGGGTGAAAGAGCTGGTGTTTTCCCGTGTGCCAGGCAGACAAGCCCGTCTCTGTCCTCATGCCTGGCACAGCCTCCATTCCCCACCTCAGCTACAGGCGCAGGCCACCCTGAGGATGGCTCAGCCCCATGCCCTGGTCCCTGAGCAAGGCACCCAGGGAGACCCCAATCTCAGCTCATGGCACCTACCTTGTGGGCTGGCACAGCTGGTACCTTGGGAACCACACAGGCCAAACTCCCAGCTGCACAGATCGAGAAACTGAGTCCCCAAGAGGGAGCTGAGTGTGCTAAGTCTCACTGGAAACCGAAGTGCGCATGGAGAGTCCCGCCTGGTGTGCCATGTGGATGATAAATGTGGTACCAGCTCCCAGTGCACGGCCCCTGAAAAGGAACGAGCACAGGGAGGGACAGGATAGATGTGAGCTGAGATGGAGCACACTGGTCGTTAGTCCCAGTTGTTTGGACTAACTAACTTGCAGGAGGCAGGAGGATCACATCTTTCTTTCTGGACACAGAAATTTCAGGCCAACCTGGGCAACATAGTGACCTCTGTCTGAAAAATTTAAAAAAATCAGAATGAGCGCAGAGCACTCAAGGACAGGGGCCCTACTGGTCTTCCCTGGCTAATTGAAAAGCAGACCATGTGAGGCTGAGGGAAGACTCACATCAGGGGCCCGGGTGGGGACCCCAGGCCACCCGGATGGGGCTAAGCCAAAGGGGGGTCTTCATAGCATCCGGGGCACCAGGTCAAGAAGCTGAACCAGAGAAAACCCTGCCGTCTGGGGAATGACTCAGAGAACCAGAGGCACCGAGGCCACCCTTGGGGACACCCTGGTAGCCTTGGTTTTGTGCGTCTTGCTGCTCCAGGCTTCCAGCAGGGGCTGCCCGCACTATCGAGAAGCTGTGCTAGGCCCAGGTAACTGACTGCTCCCAATGCCCGCCAGAGGACAAGCAGGGCTTTCAGTGCTGCTGGGGGGGGGGCAGGTGGGCCCCGCCTGTGGGGAGGGGGAGCAACAGACTCTCGGCAGCTAGGGGCACTGGAAACTGGGCGTTCTGCCCAGAGGGGTGCGGGGTTGGAAAGAGCCCCTGAAACCAGGCTTCCTGGCACTCACACAGATGCAGACACACAGGCACCTACACACCGGCCTCCGGTCAATGCCACACCCCTGCCTGGGACCAGGACCCCAGAGGTTACTGCCTCCCTCTCCAAGCACCCACCTGGCAACCCGAGCTGGGTGGCACTGGGGTGGGGTGGGCACTGAGAACAGAAGGTCAGGTGCTGTATCCAGCTGGACTCGTGTTCCAGCTAAGGGCTAATAAGCAAGAACTGAGACTCCAGCCTGCTCCCTCCCCAGCCCCTCTCTCCTCAGTGCCTTCCCCAGCGCCCGCACCCTTCCTCCAGGAGCAGGGTGGGGGTGCCCTGGCTGTGTTGCACAGTCCTGTATTTGTGAGAGTCGTCCTGGAAGGAACAGGAGCTTGTGTGGACACTGCAGTGCCTGGATCCTGTCTGGGGTTAGGGTTCCCCACTGCCAGCACCCCTCTGCTCAGGAGGATGCTGCTGCCCTGTGAGAGAGGGGCACTGGTCTCCAGAAACACCCATGGTGTGGACAGCTGGTCCAATGGGCAAGGCACCCATACCAGGGAACAGAGGTAAAGGGCTAAGAGGCCAGTGCCCATTTTGGTAAAGGCACACTGTGACTCTAGGCATGCAGCTGCCTCTCTGAGCCCCGTTTTTCTGTAAACCAGTGTGGATGGGGCTGGGTGTGGGTCTTTGCTGTAAGGGCTGGGAGGGAGGCAGCCTCCGTGACACACTGAGACTGGTCATGCATGAGCATGGGTGGCATCCTAGCCAAAGCAGCTCAGAGCTGGCAGAGCTGGCCATGTGTGGGCAGGTGCTGAGTGGGAAAAAGCAATGGTCAACAGGCACTGTCCCTGGCCAAGACACTGTGCCACCTCTGGAGTGCAGCAACCCACATCTGGGCCTAATGTGCTGCACCTGCTGCCCAGCAGGTGGGGCTTTCTGGAAGGGCTTTGCTGGGGGGGGGTGCGCTTTGGAGAGATGAGGACAGTGGTTGTGGAAAAATGAGGACAAGGACAGATGTTTTGGCAGCTCAAGAAACTGTCTTTCTCTGGCCTAGGAAGGCCCACTGGTACTGCAGATGCAACAGCACCATGGCCTGTGTCCAGGGAGTTAGCTGAGGGGAGTCCTGCTTCTTCCTGAGCCTGTTTTCCCATAGGGAAAGTGGGGACACCTCCTGACTCACAGTGCCACTACGGGGCTCGGGACAGCAAGCTGGTGCCCCACCAGCTTGGCAGAATCCTGTCTGATTTCTCCAAGATACTGTTGGGTACAAGGCTGAACTGTGGACATTACTGGGCCTCAGACTCTGCCTCCAGGAGCCCAAGGCTCACACCTGCACCCACCCAGAGGCAGCTAAGCCATCCCAGTTCATGCTCTGGCTATGTATTGGGGAGATATATATGGGGGGAGGGAGCTGAAAGCGTTTTGGCTTTCAAGGAATCCCAATCAAGATAGAGTCGCCAGTGATGTCCTTCCTGGGTACCATTGGGAGCTGGGACTCAAGGCAACCCAGACCCTGCTTCCCTGCAGCCAAGCCCAGGTCCCAGGCCCCTCCTGCCCCATACCCTCTCTGTTTCAGGGCCCACAAGCCCGTCACCATGCCATTTGGCCTCCTCTACCCAGTGTCTCAGCCTCTGTGCCCTGGGCCATCTATGTCATCCTTGATCCACACACTCTTCACCATGTCCCAGGGGCTGTGAGTCTCTGGCCTTCTCTTCCCCCAGTGCATAGCTCTCTCCAGCCTCCAAACCACAGAGGGCTCTGAGACCAGGGCCTCTGCCGCTCTCAAGGGCCCTGCCTCGGTCTCCCCACTTGCCTGCCCTCTACATCCAAGGCCTGACCTCAATCAGTCTGACACCCAGTGGGGGTCCAGGCCCTGAGCCAACCATGCTGCTCAAAGCTCAAACCCCAACTCCAGGGATGTAGCTGAGGCCTCACAGACAGGGTGGGGCTTCGCTCCCTGTTGCTCCCCTGGGACCAGAGGGGATGGGGAGAGGAGAGTTACTTCCGTTCCCACCTAAGAGCTGCCCTGCCCACCCTTGTGTCAGAAGAGGCAGCTATAAATATCAGGGTCCTGGGCCGCCGATTCCCATGACACTGGCCCTTCTAGGCGCTTGGCTATGTGCGTCTTGGGCCCCAGGCCAGGCTGCTCTCCTGCAGGAAGGCCAGAGAAGCAGCCTCAGCCCTGTAGGGAAAGAACAACTCACCGTTTTTGGAGTCTGGCATATGCTCCCTTCCCAGCCGTGGGCCCTGACTCAGGCCCCTGCCGCTCCCCACTCTGTGTCTTCAGCTCACCAGGAAGCCAGGCAGGAGGCCAGACACTCGGTGATCACTAGCATGGGTCAGAGAGCTCAGGCTGGACTTCAAGTAGAATTCGGACCCTGTCCCGAGAGCCAGTGGGCAGGGAGAAGGGGCAGCACCTGCTCTCTCATCCTACACGGCTTGTCTTTTCTTGCTGTCCGCCAACCTGCCGGGGGCCCTCTCTTGGACACCCAGATTTTGGTCAAGGTGACACAGCTGCTAGAGCTTTCCTGGGGCCATTACCGTCACCCGTGATAAGCCACGGTGGCTGCATAAGGAGGAGCAGAAATTGAGACCCAGGACAGTGAGGGCCCCACTTTGCGGAGTTGCTGCTGCCTGAGGCCTGCAGATGCATTTGAGCTCAGAGTTGAGAAAATCAGAGGAGGTGACCACCTTGGGGGTGAGCAGGGACAACCAGCGGGACACTGAATAAGCGCCAAGGCCCCAGGATGAACTGTTTCCCTTCTCCCCCACCCAGTAGCTTCCCTGTGGACCTGAGGCAGGGCAGCTCCCCGGATGTGCATTAATGGAATCCAGGTGTCTGCCCCCGGCCGAATTTCTGTCTCCTGACATCTGCAGCCCGTGTGCTACTGGCCACCCATCTGGACCCCAGCTGAGCCTTCCTGGGTGGCATGGGGTTGGGAGCCAGGTCCTCCAGGCAGGGGAGATGCTGGGACCAGGGGCTCACTAGCCCTCTTCTTGGCCTTGGGCACCCCTGGCCCTCTCTGAGCTCTGAAATCCCGTCCTCTTTCAAGAACAGGACACGGGCTCTGCAGTTTGTCTGGGCCACATAGCAGGGCGAGCTGGTCCTGGATGATCTGAGAAGCAGCCAGGCTGCCTGGGCTCCTCGCCGCCGTTGGGAAGCCACTTCCCTCAGTTGGCACAGATCCGAGGCTCACCCTCCTCCTCACCCCCGATCCTGTCTTCCAACCCTTGGCTCAGTCCTGCCCAGCCAAAAATAGGCCCAGACCACCCCATCCAGTGCCCGCCAGACCCACCCAGCCCTCCAGAACTGATTGAGTCAGTCCTCCCCCCGGGCTGCTCCTTTTTTAAGGTCTGAGTCACTGTGGTAGCTCTGGCTCTGTGACACATACCCCAAGCTGCTGTCACCACAGCCCCTAAAAGGCAAGACCAAGGAAGGGGGTACGCAGGGACCACAGCAGGTGTGAGCCCAGCCAGGCCTCGGCATGTATGAGCCTCCCAGGCGCAGGCATGGCACCTCAGCAAGCAGAGACCAGTGCTGTCCCCTGTGCCCCTGGCCAGAACAGTCCTTTAGGGATGGCAGTGGCAGTGGCAGGCTCTGGCCATGTTTCATGGGACTGTAGGCACAGAGGGCTCCAAATGGGCTCCAGGCTGGGTCTTGTTCACCTGGACCCAAGCTGAGCTCTGCCACCTGCCTGGAGCCCAGGAGGGCTGAGCACAGGTCAGATGGCCCTTTCCTTTCTAGGTCCCCTGCTCACAGTACCTGGGCTTCATTCAGATCCTTGTCTCGTCATGCTCCTTCTCTCCCTCCTCTGTCCCTGACTCTCTCTCCCACCTCTGTCTCCCTCCTCCATCTCTGTCTCTCTCTGTCTCTCCACCTCTGCCTCTGGTGCTGCTCTTGGTTTCTGTCATCTTCCCCAGTGTCCATGGCAGCCAGAAGCTCCTCTCCACGGCTGGCGCCCCGGCACTCACCAGCCCTTCTAGGCAGACAAAACAGCCCCCACCTCCACCCACTCCCACACGGGACTCTGGGCCCCAGGGACCAGTCAGGGAGAAATTTTCCATCCCCTCCCCCAGGTCCGCTCCCAGCTACATCCTGTCCCGGCATGTCAGGACCCCACAGGCACTTCTGGGGTGATGGGGACAGGGCCTGGGAACAGCCACCCAGCCCTGGAAGCGGGGTCTGCACAGCCTCATAACCAGCTTTGGCTGTGGCAAGGGCCTCTGGCTATAAATAGGGGTTCAGAGTCTATTTTCTTCAAAAACAAGCACCAAACTGGTCACCACAAGCCCAGAAAAGCACTCCCAGGCTGGGTCAGTCTCCACCCTGCCCAGCCACTGTGTCAGGCCCCTGCCTCTGGGCACAGGGGCCCCAGAGGCTGAGGGGCCAGGAAGAAGCCCTGGGCCAGGCCAGTTGAGGGTTCAGCAGTCCCACGTCCACCCTGCTGGGCCCCTCCCTTCTCCTAGCTTCCTCCCCCACTGGAAGATGCTCAGTGTTAGTGAGAACTGAAGGAAGTGGGATGTCAAGGTCTTTGCACTCCAGTTGCAGAGTCAGCACTGGGCTGAATGGATGGGGGCCTCTCCTAAGGAGAGCTTGGGGACAGAGCACCCAATAAGGCCAAGGTGTGTTGGGGGAGTCCCTAGGATGGATGGGGCCTCGTCTAAAACCCGGCGAAGCAGAGCAAGGTCACCTAGGGTCATCTGTCCTGGGCCATGCGCTTAGGGCTGGTTCAGGACAATGGGCAGCCACCAGGGGCACCCAGGACAGCAGGATGGTGGAGCGGCCAGTTTAGATTAAGTGCAGTTGCTCCTAGCATCGGGAGACAGGAGGCTCATGAGAATGAACACGTGGGCACCTGGCTTGAGGATGGCTCCAAGGCCAGGCAGAGGGAGCCAGGGGACCACAAGCAGGACAGAAGAGGGGTGTCCTTGGCCGTGGGGAGGGAGGAGGAGAGGACCCAGGGCAGAGGACAGCCCTTGCAGGTGGTGACTAGTGGAGAGAGGGGCAGCTCGAATGCAGCTTGCTATTTGGGAGAGGTCCAGAGGTTCTGGGGGTCCTGGCCTTGAGGTCTAGGAGGCATTGGCCATGGGTCCAGTCCAAAGGCTAGAACTAGACAGAGTTGTGGGAGCCTCCGCAAAGAGACAGTGCCCTTCTGCTGGGGGACATCTGGGCCAGGAAGGAGATGATGACACTGAGCCAATGACAGGGCACCCTCAGGAACAGAGGGCGTGGCCTCTGCGAGGCAGAAGCCCTCCCCTTGGGGGGGGGCACTACTTCTGCTGGTCCCTTCTATTCCCCTGGCTGCTAACACTTCCTCCATCAGCAGCATCCCTGGCCTTGGGATGGATAGGTGCCCTGAGCAGGTGACATGGGCATGGGTCCTGTCATTTGCAACTTCCTGCCAGTGAAGGAGAGCTTAGTATAAATGAGGCCTCAGATTTGATTTCTGCAGCAAAAAAGAGCTTCCACCTGGCTGTGTCTGTGGCTGTTTAGATCAGAGTAACCTCCTGTCCCCACTGTAGGGACCTTTCTTGTGAGAGGGTGGCACTGGGGATCAGACTTGGGGTGCTCTACCACTGAGCTACATCCCCGGCCCTTTTGATTTTTTTTTTTTTTTTTTTTTTTTTTTTTTTTTTTTTTTTGAGAGAGAGAGTCTCACTAAGTTGCCTGGGTTGATCTAGAACCTGCCATCCTCCTGCCTCAACCTCCTGAGCAGCTAGGATTTCAGGTGTGCATGCCATCACCAGCTATGGCCACACTTTTCTATCAGCCACTCCCAGCTGTGTTGGAGGGCCCTGGTCCAGATGAGGACCAGTCTCCAAGGTCCCTTTTCATCACTGGGGAAACTGAGACCAGAGGATGTGGGAGCATGTCTCTGAGTGAAGAAGAGAGGGAGAAAGAGACAGGCAAACACAGAGAACCTTTGGGGGATGTCAGCGGGACACTGGCTGTGTCTCCCACTCCAAGCCCAATCCCTGAGTGTGAGGCAGGAACCGGGGTGGAGATGGTGGTGTTTTCCAGGGCACTGGCTGCTGTGCAGAGCTGGTCTCCAGACTCCAGGCCACAGGCCCAGCACTGGCCAGGCTGTGCTCCGTGTCTGCCTCTGACATGTGTAACTCACTGTCCCCAGGCTCTAGGGCACCAGCCAAGATAGGTCTGTCCTCGGGGCTGGTCTAGCACTTTCTGCCTGGGTAGAACCCGCCCTGGCCTCCAGGCGCAGGGGGCAGGCCTGGCTTTCATGGCTCCCCCAGCAGAGGCAGAGCCACTCTGCAGAGGCGGCCAGGAGCCACGGGGAAAAGCCTGTCCTCCCTGCAGGAGGCCACCCCCACACCTCCTCACCACCGCTCTTGGATTGCTCATACACTTCTGGGGCACAGAAGTGTCGCACACATCCTTCACTGACACCCAGAGCACACAGCTCGGGAGCCGTGTCCCCCAGCTCTGCCCCTGTTCCCTAAGGCCTTCCCTAAACCTCACTTTCCCCTGAGATGCTGCCATGGGGCCTGCTGGGCTCAGATCCCTGTGCCAATTGAGCTCCCCTACATATCTGCCAGGATGCGGTCCCACCTCCCCTAGGGCCTGGGGTGCCAGAGGAGGGGCGTGGCAAAGGCCTGGAAACTCCTGTCTCCTGGCAAGGAGGAAAATTATAAGGCAGAGAAAAGCCTCCTGGCCTCCCGCCCCACCACACAGCCCCACCCTGCTCGCCTGGTGGCTCTCAGGCTTCACAAAGCCTGCATTGAGGCAGCTTCTCCCCTCCGCCTCCATCCTGGTGGACTCAGATCTCCCACTTCCTCTGTGCACAGGACCTGGGGCCGGGATGCATGGCTGGATGCCCAGGGTGTGGCCCTACCCCTCTGGGCCTCCTCCCCCACTCCACCCACCCCTTTCTTGGAGGCAGGGGAGGCTCATCGTCCAGAGGGACCCCAGTTTGGAAGCATCCTCTAGCACATGCCCTTGGGTGGGTGACTCGAGGACTGGTAGCCAAGGCCCTGAGCTTATCAGGGTGAGGCTAGGTGCTGACTACACCACTCTGGGATCCTGGGCTCTGTGGCCTTTAAGGCACCAGAAGCCCAGAGACCTTGGATGTGGGTTTTATGGCTCAAGAGTTCCTGGAGTGAGGAGAGATGGGCCCATTGTGACCCTAGCAGACCTGTTTGTTCCTGCAGCTGCCTGCCCTGAAGCACCCAGCTCTGTCCCAGCCTAGGGTGGAGGGTTTGTGACCTCAGAGGGGTAGCACTGACTCTGAACCAACCAGCGGATGCCCAGATGCAGTAGCTAAGAGGCCAGTACCAGCAAGGGTCAAACAGTCATAGGCCACTACGATGGCCCTGTTTTAGGAATGCCATCTGGAACCAGGATGGCAGAAAGCAGTGACCACTGGTGCTGTAGGTATGAGGGCAGCTCCTAGGCAGCCACTCTGGAGGGCAGAAGTCTAGCCTTTGCTCTGGTGACCACAGTGTCACCATAGGGCAGGCTTCATTATCTTTAGTCTGACCCAGAGTCTGTGCCCTGTAGCCTTCCCCTTGGTGCTGACAGGACAGAGTTGGGGAGAAGATGCTGGCTTGATTTGGAGTAACTGAGCCTCAGGAGCTTGGGGAAGGGTTTATGAGGGGCTGGCACACTTACCGAGTGACCCTGGGCAGTGGCTAACATGACAGGAAGGCACCCTTGAGTCCTGCTCCATACCCAGAGTCCAACCTGTGAGCCCCATCTCCCCTCCACACCCTACACACAGTGACACTCAAGGCCTGAGGGTTCACGAGCTGCAGCTCCTCAATGTCCAGCTGAGACCAAGAGCAGCGCATAGAGCCCAAAGGCCAGTCCAAACCCCGCCCCCCCTCCGAAGGTCCCAGCTAATGCAGGGGAGGGGATCTGTCTGGGAGTCCCGAGCTGGGTGACCTCAGGGCTTGCACAGAGCTGCCTTTCAGCCCCAGGTGTCTCACACTTCCCGCAGCAGGGTGGACAGAGAGCCCTTCATGCTCCAGCCTCTGGAGACTCTAGGCCGCACCCGACTGCCCTCCCAGAGGCAGCAGGGCCACCCCATGCCAAACCCAGGCCCCGAGAAGAATCTAAATCCAGCTCCCTAGAGCCCCCACCTGGCCTGCCGCACCCTGCTCCTACTGCCTCTTCTGCACGCCAAGTTCAGTCTGGGGCCAGAGACTCTGCTTCTCCTAAGCTTTGCTTTTTTCTCTGGCCTCCCTGTCCTTTACATCCTCAAGCACTGTACAGCAGCGGTTAGGAGGCGACGAATGAGTGATCAGCAGGTCCCCACTTGCCCCTGCGATCATCTCCTGGGCCCTGGGCACCCTGCAGCCATGCCATCTGGCCCTTATACTTCTTCCTTATAAAGCCTGGCAGTCGAGACACCCAAGAATGCGGCTGTGACACATGCCAGCTGCCTCGGTGTCCAGGCTGGTGGTGGGAGCAGGGACCCAGGGACCGGTCGCTGGGGCATGGGGTGCTGGGGGCAGGCAGGTGACCGACCAGGCTCTGCCATTCCTCAAGGTGCTTCTTACCGAGCCTGCTGTGGGCTCAGCTGCAGAAAGCTCTGACGTGGGGGATGCTGCTCCCTGGCAGTGGGTACCCAGGCGGGGCAGTGAGGATCTGAGCCTGGGTCTCTCGACTGCCCTCAGATGGGGGCAGCAGGAGGACAGGGGAGGGTACGGGGAGTCAAAGGCAGAGCCAGAGACAGCCCAGGGGAAGGAGAGGAGAGGCAGGGACCAGAGAGATGGCACAGAGACGGGAGAGATGGGAGCTGGCCCGAGGGCTCCGAGAGGACACAGTCTGCAGCGGCCCCCACCAAAAAAGGCATCCACGGTGTCCAGTGGGAGCCAGGGCTGAGGCACTGCCCATGGGGACCTCTGGTCCCAGCAGCTTGCTAATGATGCAGGGTGGACATCAGAAGGATTAGGGCTCCCAGGCCTTGGGACTAGGTCCCCATTCCCTCACACCCAGGAATCGCAGGGCGCAACCCACACCCTGCCGTGGGTGGATTGTGGGGCCCCCACCAGGCCTCATCACCAGGGAGGGGTCTCTGAAGGAAAGACAGAGCTGCCCGCCCTGGGCCCCTCTGTGGGAGGCAGGCCCCTCCTTCTGCGGACCTGGGTGGGTGCCCCCAGGAACACACGGCCCCTTTCACAGAGGTGGCCCGGCCAAGCAGTGGCACACGGGATGGGCCCGGGCACAATCGCAGCTCTGTCCGAGCAGCGCCTGGCCCACACGCGCGTGCACAAACACAGCCTTACGCAAACCCCAAACACACCCAGCAGCCACACACGCACACACATGTGCACAGCCCCAACACGCCCCATACCTGCTCAAGGCGGCTGCCACACACGCCGCATTTACCTTCTTCCCTTGGCCCTGGCACTGGGGTGTCCTCTTCTACCCAGGCTGAGGCTCAGCAGCAACCCACCAGTGGTGCCCCATATTCCTCTCAGCCCTCTGTACACCCACATGAGGGCACACCTCTGGCCCTGTAGGGACCCAGGGTAGACCCCCACAGACAGGAGGAGAAGGCACCGGCAAAGTGCCCATTTCACAGAACAGTATCACTGAGGCCCAGACTGCACTTCCTCTGGGAGGGAAGAAGTTGCCTGGCTGCTGCAGGGCTAAGCTGGAATCTTTATGAAAACACTGCTCTTGCTGATCCTGCAGAGCTGGCAGCAGGCTTCACCTAGCCCATCCCCTCCCCTTCCCCTGGTACTGGCTTGCCCTGGGCTGCTTTTCCCTCTACTTTGAAGCATTCAGAGGGGCAAGTGAGGGGTATCCCTGCTGACCCCTCACTTGCCCACCTCAGAGACTGCCTATTTCTCTCCCCCATGGCACCTTTGCCTCCTCCAGGAAGTCCTCCAGGATTGACTCCTGATTCATTTCTTCTTTATCCAACACCTCCCTCTCCATCAAAGCCCCCCCCAACCTACTACCAAGACAGGCTCCTTCGACTCTAGTCCACCATGGTTGGTAAAAGGGACAGAAGGAAAACAAGCTGGGAGCAGCGCTGTCAGAGTTTCCAAAACTCCAGCCAGCGGGGCTCAGGGCCCTGTGTGGGGACAGGGGCTGCCTGGCCTGCTCCAGCGGCACAAGGCCACCAGTGTGCGCCCGGCCCGCCCAGCCCCACAGGAAGCAGCAGGACCTGGCCCCTCAATGGGCCCATTCAGACCCCAGCTCTCTGGAAAACCCCCAGCTTCCTGCCTCCCTTCCCGCCCAGGCCAAACAGACCTCCACTCTCTCCCTCAGGGAGGGATGGGTGGGTCAGTGGTTAGAGCAGCCAGGGACTCTAGTTCCTGCCTGGCCCAATGCCTGGCTCCAGCCGTGCTGCAGAGAGGGGGCGCCACCTTGGGTCTGAGGGTATGTGAGGGGGGGAGAGACGCCTTTCTCGCAGGGGCAGGCAGGTCAGTGGTTAGCCACAGGCTTCCTGGGGATGGAGGGAGCCCCAGTGTACCATGTCCACCTCTCTCCCGTGTATAAACAGCCCCACTGTGGGCAATATCGCCTGGCTCCCAAATCCCTGGGAAGGTAGCGCTTAGCTCTCGCCAGCTGCCATGAGCCGTTCAGCCCTTGAAGTGCGCCCCATTCTCTGTCTGTGCTCCCCTTTGTGGGCATGCTGTGGTCTGCTCCTAAAATACAATAACCTTGGGCCAGTTGTGGTTCGGCATGCCTGTAATCCCAGCATTATGGAAGGCTGAGGCAGAAGGACCCCTGAGAGTTTGAAGCCAGCCTGCTTTATCTCAAAAAAATAAAAGGAACTGTAACCTTCAGAGAAGACCAGCCAGCTGCAGGTCCCTGGTCTGCCCGGGTGTGCTGACCACAAGCTGCACCTGCCCTGGTATTCTGCATTCTTCTTTGATCCCTTCAGCTCCCAGATAAAAGTGGTGGGGTCACCCTTGGCCCAAAAGGAGGAGATGCCATGGGGGCTTTCAACCCAGCATGGGCAAAGGGGAGTCTTGGATGTCACCCCCGGAACATAGAAGGCACATGCCACTTCCTCAGGCGGATGTCAGCTGGCTTTGGCTGGCCAGAGACCAGCATGCATGTGGTCAGTGCCAGATAGCCCCTACCAAAGCCAGCAGCTCGTGGGCTTCCAGGGATGTCTGCTCCAGCCCCTGCCACCTGCAGGCAGAGTTAGGGTTACACTGAGTTCTAATTGCTGTGAAAAGGGTGAACCCAGGAACCATGGGAGCGGGTAAGACTCAGGGAGCTGATTTCAGGAAGCTGCTGAAAGGAAGATACGACAGACAAGGAGGAACTGTACCAAGGAGCAGTGTCCTTCCCCAGTGTCCACCCACCCCAGGCTGGCCCAGCCCTGCACTGCAACCTGGGGAGGCCCCGTCCTCACAGGCCCAGGCTTGGCCTGGGAAGGAAGAATTCCAAGGTTTTCAGCCCTGGATTCTTGGCTGTGCTGGGAAAGGGGCCAGAGCTGCCTACTCCCCAGGGACTGGTAATGACCCAGCAGCAGGAAGCAATAGCGGGGAATGGCGGAAGTCCGGGCCGCCTCGGGCCTGACACTGCACAAGGTCTCCATCTGGCCTCCAGGCCCTGCTCCTTGGCAGACTCAGACCTGGCCCTGCCCCTAGCAGCTGGAAGCTGGCCTAGAGAGGGGAAGGATGAGGCCGCCTATCCGAGCATCACCACCAGGGAAGTCACACAGGAGTGTACATGGGGACCAGTGTACCTGGGGGCGATTGTCCTGTGCCTCCATTCCCAGGGGCTGCGAGCTGCTGACCAGGCTAGGGATGACTTCCTCTTAGGACAATTAGGGGATAGACCCAAGACAGAGGCACCTCTGAGACTCAGGGAGCAGAAGTGGTGAGGGTCTCTGCCCCTGGACACCTTCAGAAAGGAGACCTGAGCTGATGGGAATTTCAGGGTCTAGTACCTTCACAGCCCGGTCTGGGCTGCACGGAGTTGAGGTCATGTCCTCTGGAGCCTGTAGCTATGACCAGCAGGTACCCACAGGCAGTGCCGTCCAGGAGGACCCTGGGGCTCATGGGCCCAAGCCCCTCCCTTAAGCCCACATCCAAGTCTTGACCACAGTTGTCTGTCCCCAGCCTCCTTCTTCGGTGAGAGCCACCTGGAGGTGCCTGTGGCCGCGGCCCTGGCCAACGTGGACCTGCAGCTGCAGTTCTCCACAGCTCAGCCTGAGGCCTTGCTCTTCCTGGCAGCTGGGGAGGATGACCACCTGCTGCTGCAACTCCACGCGGGACGCCTACAGGTCAGCACCATCCAGGGATGGGGACAGAAGTCCTCCTCTGGCTTCTAGTGGCCATCTTGGGGTCTCATGTTCTCCACCATGGGAAGGCAGCAGATCCCACGAAGTGTGACAGATTAGCCTTATCACCCCAATCCTGAGCCAGCACTCTGTGCTCCAAGGGTCCTGAACAGCTACATGGCCCTGGCCATCTGTAGTCCCTTGCCGTAGGCCCTTGCGTCTCTGCCTATCCTCAGTTTCTCTGGGTGAACATCCCTTCCCCAGTGGTGCTCACTGGCCTAGGTCCCCTCTCCTGGGCTCCTAAGCATCCCCCTAGCATTGTGTCCCTTTGAAGGAGCCACCTGCTTCCACACCCAGGGGAACAGAGCTGTGGCCTGGTCCGTCCGCTGCTGCAGTTGGTCCCCACTGCCACAAGGTGTCACTGTTGCATGCTGGTCTGGTGCAGCCTGGCACTGAGGCCCCCCCACCAACTGCTCTGCCAGGATCACTATACAGAACCAGTCACTTGCCCTCTACTCCCAGCTCCCTAGCTCTGCCATCACCCCTTCTACAGGGGTGCTTGTCTCTCTATTTTGCTTTTGAGCCCGGGAGCCCCTGTGCCAGACAAGCAATCACCCATGAGTTGCCAGTTTGAAAACTAAAATTCAAAGCATCTGGTGGCCCCATAGCTGAGCAGTGAGCCTCAGGGTCTTTCATAGACCCATGGAATTCTGCCTCTTCAGGAGCTCATCAGAGAGCCCAGCATCCCAGGAACCCAGCATTCCAGAGGAAGAATTTCCTTGATTCTAGGGTGATTTAATGTATAAGTTGAATTGTTTCATATTGGACTTGAATCCAGGGCCTCACCCATGCTAGGCAAGTGCTTACCATTGAGCCACATCCCCAGATGTGATCAAAATATATGGCAAATGTCTGCATTTTTTACAGTGAAACACATTGCCCTGAAAGCTCCTCAGAACCCCCACCCTGTTTTAAACACCCTGATCCCAAAATCCTTGCCACTCTCTGGAGCATCTCTGGAGTTCTCCTTCTTGAATGCCTTTGTGAGGTATGAGCTGGGATGTAACGACTGCCAAGCTGAATGCCACCCAACAGAAAGGCACATGCAGAGCTGCTTCAGAAAGTGGCAAGGGTGATGGGATGAGTGTGTTCACAGTGAGGGACAGGATCTTGAGGGATTAATGGCAATGTGTCATTTATAATGATTTTTTTCTTTTTTTGGTGCTGGGGATTGAACTCACGACCTTGCATGATTGCAAGGCAGGCACTTGTGCCACTGAGCTAAATCCCCAACTGTAATGCATTTTTTAATTGAAACGTTGGCTGCGCTTTCCAACTATCCCTGTGGAAGCAGAGGAGGGATCCTGCTCTGTGTGAGTCTCTTGTGGGCAAGGACTGTACTTGGCTCACATCAGGGCCTCAGGCCAGCAGGTGCTAGCCAAGTTCATGCTGGTGAGCTCTTGTGAGCTGACAGGAAGAGAAGTGGACAGTAAGCCCTTTGCCAGGGAACCTACGGTGCCTGTGTTGGGGGAGGGGTGACAGGGTCTCTGTGCCTCTCTTAAGCCCACATCTGCTGTCTCCTCAGGTCAAGCTTGTCCTGGGCCAGGAGAAGCTGAGGCTGCAGACCCTGGCAGAGGTACTGCTGAACGACTCTGTCCCCCACTCTGTGGCACTCACTGTCTCAGATGGCTGGGCTGAGCTATTGGTTGATGGGCTGTTCAATGCCTCCGGCCGGGTCCCAGAAGGCGCCCTCGATGTGCCGTATGGGCTCTTTGTTGGGGGCTCTGGAAGCCTGAGCCTGCCCTACATGAGGGGGGCCAGCCGACCCCTGCGAGGCTGTCTCCTCACCACCACCCTCAACGGCCGCAACCTCCTCCGCCCGCTGACCCCAGATGTGCCTGAGGGCTGTGCTGAAGAGTTCTCAGCTGGGGACGATGTGGCCCTGGGCTTCACTGGGCCCCGCTCACTGGCGGCCTTCCCAGCCTGGAGCACTCAGGATGAGGGCACCCTGCAGTTCACCCTTACTACGAGGAGCCGACATGCACCCCTGGCCTTCCAGGCGGGTGGCCAACGCGGGGACTTCATCTATGTGGACATATTCGAAGGGCATCTGCGGGCTGTGGTGGAGAAGGGCCAGGGCACTGTCTTGCTCCATAACAGTGTCCCCGTGGATGATGGGCAGCCCCACGAGGTTAGTGTCCACATGGACACCCACCGCCTAGAGATCTCTGTGGACCAGTACCCCACGCGCACCTCCAACCGTGGGGTCCTCAGCTACCTAGAACCGCGTGGCAGCCTCCTCCTCGGGGGGCTGGATGCAGAGGCCACCCGTCACCTCCAGGAACACCGCCTGGGCCTGGCACCCGGCACCACCAACACCTCCCTGCTGGGCTGCCTGGAGGACCTGATGGTCAATGGCCAGCGGCAAGGGCTCCGCCACGCTGTGCTGACCCGAGGCATGGCGGCCGGATGCAGGCTGGATGAGGACGAGTATGAGGACGATGCCTACAGCTCCTATGAGGCATTGTCCACCCAGGCGCCTGAGGAGTGGCCGGTCATGGAGCTGCCCGAGCTGTGCGTCCCCGAACCTGGGCTTCCCCCTGTCTTCACCAACCTCACCCAGCTGCTCACCATCAGCCCGCTGGTGGTGACCGAGGGTGGCACAGCGTGGCTGGAGTGGCAGCACGTGCATCCCACACTGGACCTGCAGGAGGCCGAGCTGCGCAAGTCACAGGTACTGTTCAGCGTGACCCGGGGCCCTCGGCACGGTAAGCTGGAGCTCGACATCCCGGGAGCCCGGGCACGGCAGATGTTCACCCTGCTGGATGTGGTCAATCGCAAGGTCCGCTTTGTCCACGATGGTGCGGAGGACACCTCTGACCAGCTGGTGCTAGAGGTGACTGTCACAGCTCGGGTGCCTGTTCCCTCCTGCCTGCGGCGGGGCCAGGCTTACCTCCTGCCCGTGCAGGTCAACCCCACCAATGACCCGCCTCGTGTCATCTTCCCAAACGGCAGCCTCATGATGATCCTGGAGCACACACAGAAGCCGCTGGGGCCTGAGGTCTTCCAGGCCTATGACCCAGACTCTGCTTGCGAGAGCCTCACCTTCCAACTCCTGGGAGATTTAGCGGGACTCCCAGTGGAGCACCGGGATCGACCTGGGGAGCCAGCGCCTGAGTTCTCCTGCCGAGAGCTGGAGGCAGGCGACATCGTCTATGTTCACCGAGGCGGCCCCGCACAGCCCCTGACATTCCGGGTGAGTGATGGACTGCAGGCCAGTGGCCCGGCTATACTGAATGTGGTGGCCATGCGACCAGCCATCCGGATCCGCCACAGCACGGGGCTGCTCCTGGCACAGGGCTCTGCCGCACCCATCTTGCCCGCCAACTTGTCAGTGGAAACCAATGCTGTGGGGCAGGACGTGAGCGTGTTGTTCCGTGTTGTGGGTGCCCTGGAGTTCGGGGAGCTGCAGAAGCAGGGGGCAGGCGGTGCAGAGGGCGCCGAGTGGTGGGTCACACAAGCCTTTCACCAGCGGGATGTGGAACAGGGCCGGGTTCGGTATCTGAGCACTGACCCCCGGCACCATGCCCAGAACACCGTGGAGAACCTGGTGCTGGAGGTGCAGGTGGGCCAGGAGACCCTGAGCAACCTTTCCTTCCCGGTGACCATCCAGAGGGCCACCGTGTGGATGCTGCAGCTGGAGCCACTGCACACGCAGACCACACAGCCGGAGACCCTCACCACGGCCCACCTGGAGGCTACCATGGAGGAGGCAGCTGGCCCAAGAGCCAGCAGCTTCCACTATGAGGTGGTCCAGGTCCCCAGGAAGGGGAACCTGCAGCTGCAGGGCACAAGGCTGTCAGCTGGCCAGGGCTTCAGCCAGGATGACCTGCGGACTGGGCGTGTGACCTATGCAGCCACAGCACGCACCTCCAAGCCCATCGAGGACGCCTTTCTCTTCCGAGTCACGGCTCCACCACACTTCTCACCACTCTACACCTTCCCTGTCCACATCGGTGGTGACCCGGATGCTCCTGTCCTCACCAACGTCCTCCTCCTGGTGCCCGAGGGTGGGGAGGCTGTCCTCTCCGCTGACCACCTCTTTGTCAAGAGCCTCAACAGTACAAGCTACCTCTATGAGGTTATGGAGCTGCCCCGCCATGGACGGCTGGCGTGGCGGGAGCCGCAGGACAAGGCCACCCCAGTGACATCCTTCACCAACGAAGACCTGCTGCATGGCCGGCTGCTCTACCAGCATGACGACTCTGAGACCACCGAAGACGACATCCCATTTGTGGCCACCCGCCAGGATGAGGGCAGTGGCGACATGGCCTGGGAGGAGGTCCGAGGTGTTTTCCGAGTGGCCATCCAGCCGGTGAATGACCATGCCCCCGTGCAGACCGTTAGCCACGTGTTCCATGTGGTCCGGGGTGGGCGGCGGCTGCTGACAACGGAGGACGTGGCCTTCAGTGACATGGACTCCGGCTTCTCAGATGCCCAGCTGGTGCTGACCCGCAAGGACCTCCTATTTGGCAGTATTGTGGCTGTGGATGAGCCCTCACGGCCCATCTACCGTTTCACCCAGGAGGACCTCAGGAGGCGGCGGGTCCTGTTTGTACACTCAGGGGCTGACCACGGCTGGATGCAGCTTCAGGTGTCCGATGGGCAGCACCAGGCCACAGCCATGCTCGAGGTGCAGGCCTCGGAGCCCTTCCTCCACGTGGCAAATGGCTCCAGGCTTGTGGTCCCTCAGGGAGGCCACGGCATCATTGATACCGCTATGCTCCCTCTGGACACCAATCTGGACATCCGAAGTGGGGATGACGTCCACTACCGCATCACAAGCGGTCCTCACTGGGGGCAGCTGCTCCGTGCCAGTCAGCCGGCCACCACCTTCTCCCAGCAGGACCTGCTGGACGGCACCATCCTCTACAGCCACAATGGCAGCCTCAGCCCCCGTGACAGCCTGGGCCTATGGGTGGAGGCAGGGCCAGTGCACACAGAAGCCACCCTCCAAGTGACCATTGCCCTTGACAGCCCCCCAGCCCCACTGCAGCTGGTCCGGCATGAGAAGATCTACGTCTTCCAGGGGGAGGTGGCTGAGATCAGGCAGGACCAGCTGGAGGTGAGGCATGGACGAGTGAACCGGTCCCCAGCTCTGGCCAAGCGAGCTTGTGTGTCTGGGTGTGGTGAGGCTGGGTCTGCACCTGTACATGCCGTGGTGCCCTAGTGCTCAGGGATCTGCTCCACACGTATCTGCCTCTGAATGCCAGGCACACAGCTGTGTGTGTGTGTGTGTGTGTGTGTGTGTGTGTTGTGCTTTGTGTGTGAGTGTGTGTGTTGTGTTTTGTGTGTGTGTGTGTGTGTGTGTGAGAGAGAGAGAGAGAGAGAGAAAGAAGAGCCAGGTGCCCTCTGCTGGTTACAGTCTAGAATAGCAGTATCTCGGGCTGCAGGCTCCTGGCAAAGCAGTGCCAGGCTGGATGGAGCAGGGGAGCCTCTGTGTTTGTGTGTGTGCATACATGCGTGCATGTGTGTGCATGATGAGGGGACCTGCGTGTCTGGGTGTTGTGTGAGAACAGCAGAGCCGGAGGAAGGAGGGGCATGGAAGTTGAGCTGGTCCTGCTACTTGGGGCCACGCCCAGGCTCCTCTGCTATACCCTGAGTCCCTTATGGCCCCTGTTGACAGGCAGACCAAGAGGGGGTCCCCTCCACAGACATCGTGTTCTCGGTGAGAAGCCCCCCGAGTTCGGGCTACCTGGTGATGATGTCCCACGCGACAGCTGGGGCACCCAGCCTGGCCCCAGTGCATAGCTTCTCCCAGGAGGCCATAGCCACCGGCAAGGTCCTCTACCTACACTCCCACCCTGAGGCCTGGAGTGACACCTTCACCCTGGACGTGGCCTCAGGGCTGGGTACCCCCTTGGAGGGCATCCGCATGGAGCTGGAGGTTCTACCCACCACCATCCCCCTGGAAGGGCAGAACTTCAGCGTGTCTGAGGGTGGTGCCCGCACCCTGGCCCCACCACTACTGCAAGTCACAGGTCCCTACTTCCCCACGCTGCCCAGCCTCAGCCTTCGGGTACTAGAGCCTCCCCAGCACGGAGCCCTGCAGAGGGAGGGACAGCCCAAAGATGGGGTCCTCGACACCTTTTCCTGGAGAGAGGTATGGAGCACCAGGTACCTTCCCATTGGCACAATGGGGGCGGGGGTGGGGTCACTCTGCCTGCCCACAATGTTGTCTGCCCCCTCTGTGGGGTGGACAGTTGTGACCTTTCCACCTATGGAAACCAAGGTTCAGCAGAACCCAGGTCCTCCCACAACCACAGCAGGGTGCACAGGTGCTGGGCTGAGTGCCTCCCACTGCCCACAGGTGGAGGAGCAGCAAATCCGATACGTGCACGACGGAAGTGAGGTGCTGACTGACAGCTTCATCCTGGTGGCCAATGCCTCAGAGATGGACCGCCAGAGCCAGCCAGTGACCTTCACTGTCACCATCCTGCCGATTAATGACCAACCCCCTGTCCTTACCACGAACATGGGCCTGCAGGTGAGAGCACCCCAGGACCACACCCATCTCAACTCTTAGGTAAAGGCCAGGATCCCCTACTTCCCAGCCTTCTCTGGGCCTCAGTTTCCTGCCCTGCAAAATGAGGTCACTGTCACATGCCTTTTGGAAGGAGAGGCATGGAGACAGGGGTGCAAGGTTTTCTTTCTTGGGTGCAGTGGGCAGCCTTGTGCATGGCCACCCTTCAGCCCTGCAGTTCCCTGGACTCGACTGAAGCAGGCAGCTTTCCTATGGCTCAGTGCCAGCACGCCCGGGAAACTCCTTACAATCTACAATCTCTGAGAGTGGGCTGGGGTGGGGACCAGTGCGTTCCCACATCGCCTCCAGCGGTCACGGCCTCCTCTCGGTTCTCCACTTTCTCCCCCTTATTCCACTGTTGCCCAGGGGTGTGCCATTCTCCAGAGATGGACGTTGGGACCCAGAAGGGATAGAATCCCGTGGTCACAAAAGTAGACATTGATGGGACAGAAAGAGATGCAGCTTGACCAAAGTCGCGCGCACAGCGATGTGTGAAGTTCCTGCCAAGGGCAGATGATGCAATTTAGGCTAAACGCGGACTGGAACCACAGCCAGGCTGCTGTGTGGACGTGTAGCCATCAGGTGGCGCCATCCACCCGTGTTTGCTTCCTTTGCTCGTTGACGCCTCTTCCCAGCAGTGAGAGGGAGGGGCCAAAAATTCCCGGGGGCTGTTTCCTGGGTCACAGCCGCTAGGCCACAGAGCACAGTCCAAGGACAGCGTGCTGCCGCTGTGAGCAGGGGCCTGCGGGTCCCCCCTTCACTGCACACAGGGCAATGGACAGCCCTCAGCCTCTGCTCTGTGGACCTCCGCTCTCTCTCCACTGCAAGGAGAATGGGGCTCTCAGGGTCCTGTGCTGGCCACAGCCACCACCCCTGTCGTGGTCCCAAGTGTGAGGCAAAGCCTTGCTGAACAGCACTGCTTACCAGTCTAGGGTGTTAGGGGTGAGAACTTGGTGGGAGTAAGAGTAGGACCTTTCTAGCCACACATGTTAGCACACACCTGTAATCAGAAGGCTGTAACTCAGGAGGCTGAGGCAAGAGGATCACCACAAATTTGAGGTCAGCCTAAACTACATACTGAGACCCTGTCTCAAAAAACAAACAAAACCAAATGAACAAGGGTCTTCCCAGCTGAAGGGACACAAGATGGCCTGGAGGCCAGGCAGTGTGAGGGCTGACAGAGGGGAGAGAGCCTGAGGCACCAGGGTGACAGTGGGTATCCCAGGGTGGCACAAGTAGGGCACTGGGAGGGACAAGGAGGGTGAACCCCTCACAGGCTGTATCCTTAGCTGTGGGAGGGGGCCACCGTGCCCATCCCCGCCGAGGCCCTGCGGGCCACAGACAGCGACTCAGGACCTGAGGACCTGGTCTACAGCATTGAGCAGCCCAGCAATGGACAGGTGGTACTGCGGGCAGCGCCAGGCACTGAGGTCTACCACTTCAGCCAGGCCCAGCTGGACACCGGGCTGGTGCTCTTCTCCCACAGAGGTGAGTGTGGAGGCCACAAGGTTCTAAAGGGTGGGCTCCGTGCCAGGTAGCAGGACTCACCCCTCCCTGTCCCCAGGAGCCCTGGACGGAGGCTTCCACTTCAACCTCTCCGATGGGGAGCACGAATCCTTGGGCCATTTTTTCCGAGTGACAGCTCAGAAGCAGGCACAGCTGTCGCTGGAGGGCTCCCGCATGCTGACCGTCTGTCCAGGTGGGCCAGGCCACTGGGCAGAGCCGAGGGCACCCACAGGGTTCATACTGTGCCTCAGGGGCCCAGCGGTCTTAATCATAATTCACAGTTCTGGTCTGTCTGTCTGCCTGTCTCTCCCTTAGAGTCCATCCAGCCGCTCAGCAGCCACAGCCTGAGTGCCAGCTCCAGCTTGGGCACTGACCCCCAGCACCTAATCTACCGTGTGCTGCATGGCCCCCGGCTTGGCCGGCTGCTCCACGCCCAGCAGGGCAGTGCCTCTGAAGCCCTGATCAACTTCACTCAGGCTGAGGTAAGGGCTGGCCTGAAGCCACCTTGCTGATGACACCAGCCCTTAGGTGGCTACAGTTTGCCCTTTCCAGCCAGTGTGCTGAGCTCCTTGAGGGCTGGGACCACATGCAGGTGGGGGCCCAGCAATCAGGGCAGAGAAGGGACAGGAGCTTAGGCTGCCGGACAGAGCTGGGGCCTCAGCCTCCAGAAGGAAGCCACAGCTGGGTCCTGGAGGTAGAAAGGGACTCATAGAAGAACAAGTAGAGAGCATTGCTTCCTTCAGGGAGGAAGAGGGATGAGCCTGGAGCTGGCTCTGGTGGGTGCCCACCAGGAGCAGCAGGGGTGGCTGAGTGGGAAGCAAGCCATTGTCCGTCTGTCTGTCCATTCATCCATCCATTATTGGGATGGCTACAGGCACAGCTCCTATGGGACCAGCAAGGAGGGCAGCTGCTTCCCAGTTCTGACCTGCACCCAACACTGTGTGAGAGGAGCAGGGTCCGCTTTAGTCCGGGTGAGGAAAGGCCTGGGGGGCACGGAGTTGGCTCCATCTTTGAGCACCAGAAACACACCCCCCTGACTCCCATGTCCCCGGATCTGGGAGCCCTCCTGAACCCAGCACGCTCCTCAGAGCCCCACTCTCCAGGCTGCAGCTCAGATGGAAAAGAGGTGGCCTTAGCCGGGCCTCCCCGGCTTGGAGGCTGAGGCAGGTGGATCATTTGGAGTTCGAGACCAGCCTAAGCTACAAAGTGAGCTCAAACTGGGCATGGTGGCTCACGCTTGTAATCCCAGCATTCGGGAGGCTGAGGTGAGAGGATCCTTGCGAGTTGGAGACCAGCCTGGGCTACAAAGTGAGCTCAAGGCCAGCCTGAACTGCATAGTGAGACCCCATCTCAAAAAAGACCAAAAAAAAAAAAAAAAAAGTGAGCTCAAGGCCAGCCTGAACTGCATAGAGAGACCCTGTCTCAAAAAGACAAAAAAAAAAAAAAAAAAAAGAAAGAAAGAAAGAAGTGGCCTTGCCCAGGGTCTATCCCATAGGTACCCTGGGCCCAGTGCCCATCCTGCTGCTGTGGCCCACAATGAAGGACCCAGCGGGCTTTGGCTGTAGCTGCTGGGGTCCCTGAGTGATCACAGCGTTGTCATCAGACGCCCAGGAAGTAGATAGGACAGGACCAGCCATGAGCACCCTTCTCCAGCCCTTGGTGCCCATCTGAAACAGAGCTTCCCAACACCCCAGTGATCACAGGGAGGACCAGACTGAATGGCCACCAGGGGGCCACTGGCAGCACCAGGCAGGACTGTCCTGCAGACCTCGGGATATGGTATCCCCACTGTGCCAATAAGGAAACTAAGGTTCACAGAGGCCACTGGCTTTATCCAGAGCAAACCAAGACAGCACCTCCTGCTGCCATGCCTGAGGACTGCCTGTCCCCACAGCCAAGGCTCTCCTTCCTCTCCAGGCCCCTCCAGCTCCATGGCCACTGCCCGTCATCCTGGGCCCCTGGTCCTTGCAGGCCACATCTGGCCCACAGATGGGTTTTATTTGGCCATGCGTTGCCTTTTGTATTTTTTTAATTGTCAACATGAGCTCTCAGGAGATTTCATAGAGTTGGTTCTGTGTCTCCTGAGACCCTTGGAGGAGCGGCTGCGCCCCGCATGCGCCCCTGCTCCTGGACGGCTTACTCCTGCCTGCCGCCGTGGGCCTGCACAAACCAAGCTTCTGCAAGCCACTTCCCAGCCCCCTATTGCGCAAGCCCTGTTTTTCAGAGAGAAGGAAAACTGTTCCCTGTGGCTACCACAAGGGGAAAACAGAAGATAAGCCAAGGGGACACAGCAGACTCAGAGGGGAGGGGACATAGCAGACCCAGAGGAGAGGGGACAGACACCCTCTGGAGGGAATGTTGTGCCTGGGTACCAGGCAGGAGAGTGACCCCAAAGCAGCAGCCTCAACCTTGCTGGCACTAGGGCCAGGTTTCCCAGACGGGTGAGCAGGTGTGGGTGCTAACGGCTCAGGGTGGTCCCGAGGGGTTCAGAACCCAGGTCCCTACTGGCATGTGATGCCACCTGAAGAAAGCACAGGCAGGGATGTGGCCGCCCTCTGCTCACTTGATGTGGCCCTACAGGACAGCAGGTGTGACTGGTGTGGAGTTGCTATGGGAAGGAGAGTTGAGATAAAAGCCTCACATTGGAGCATTCAAGTTACCTAACAAGCAGCATGTCAGTTTATGCTTGTACTCCCTGCTACTCAGGCAGCTGAGGCAGGAGGATGGCCTGAGTCCAGGAGTTCTAGGCCAGCTTGGGTAACATAGGGAGACCTCACGTCAGCAGGAAAAAGAGTAAGTTCCCCTTGCATTGTAAAAGGCTCCTCTGGCTCCCACGTTTAGGGTGGGGCTGGGACACTGTTGAGAACCTCTTGCCACGGTCCAGGCAGAGGCAGTACTCTGGGAGGCAGGGAGAAGCCAGTGTATTGCCCGAGCCACTGAGCAGGAGCCCTGGGCCAGTGGGATTTGTGACACCAGTGGACTCCACAGGGACAGAGCTGCCAACAAGGATGAGGATAGGCATCTGAGTCCCGAGCTGAGAGAAGGGTCAAGGTAAGAGGTCCCCATGGAGCAGCCCCCAAGGGGCACACAGACAGCCTGGGACCTGGGACTATGCCCCAGGACCAGGGAGAAGTGCTGGGCAGCAGGATCGAGAGAAGAGGCAATCCCAGGGAGCGAAAGGGGTGCCCCACGTATTATAGCCCCAGCTCTGGATCTTATGCACAGTCCAATCGAACTCTGGGCCAGAACAGGTTTGGTGACATTAAAGTGAGCTGGGGACACCAAGATGGAAGTGTAGATGGTTCTTTTGGAGGAATTTTGCTGCGAGAAACGCAATAGGAGGAGTGGAAAAAGTAAATCCCAGAGCGATTTTCTTTCAGGTAGAAGAAAGAACAGTGCAGTTGCATAATGAAGAGAACAATCCATTTGGGGAAACTGATATCCTTGGGGGAGGAAAGGAAGTTGAAGGCGTGGTGTCCTCAGTTGGCAGGAGAGAAGAAGCCGGTGCCCCAGGGAAAGGATCGCATCCCCGGGGGCCAGTTGCCTGCTGGCAGAGCTGGGGTGGAACCCAGGCACCTGGCTTGGCCTAACAATGGCCTGTGAATCCCTGAGCTAGTGAGGCAGAAAGCAGAGTACGCACAGACCTGGGTTCTGGTGCCAGGTCCTGAGCACCATAGGCGGGGCTGTCACCCTGACTAGGGTGTCCCTTCAGGTGTCTGCTGGGAACGTGCTGTATGAGCAGGAGGCGTCCCCTGAGCCCTTCTGGGAAGCTCACGATACCATCGAGCTCCTGCTGTCCTCACCCCCTGCCCCTGACTTGGCTGCTGTGCTGTCTGTGGTCGTGTCATTTGAGGCTGCCTGTCCCCAGCGCCCCAGCCGCCTCTGGAGAAACAAAGGTGAACAGCGCAAGAAGCTGCAGGGTTGGGAAGGGGGGACACAGGACGAGGCCCCCAGAAGAAAGAGATAATCAGCTCAGTGGCTCCTTCAGGCCCCAGGATCTGGGAAATTATGCAGAGCTGGGTGGGAGGCTGAGGGATCAAGCCGCTCATACTCCTCGTCCTCCCTGGCACCCTGAGCCACATCCTGGATGCTAAGCCCTCTTGGAGGCACAACCCTGGCCTTGGGGACCCCCAAAGCCCACAACTTTTCCTCAGCAGCTGGGCCTTCATAGCCCATGTCTCACCCCCAGGTCTGTGGGTCTCCGAGGGCCAGCGGGCCAAGATCACTGTGGCTGTCCTGGATGCCTCCAACCTCCTGGCCAGTGTTCCCGCGCCCCAGCGTCCCAAGCATGATGTGTTGTTCCAGGTAACACAGTTTCCAACGCGGGGCCAGTTGCTGGTGTCTGAGGAGCCCCTCCACGCAGGGAGGCCGCACTTCTTGCAGAGCCAACTAGCCGAAGGGGAGCTGGTGTATGCCCACGGTGGTGGGGGCACCCAGCATGATGGCTTCCACTTCCGCGCCCACCTCCAGGGCCCAGCAGGGGCCTTGGTGGTGGGACCCCAAACCATGGAGGCCTTCACCATCACCGTGCGGGATGTGAACGAACGCCCGCCTCAGCCGCAGGCCTCAGTGCCCCTCCAGCTCACCCAAGGTTCCCGAGCTCCTGTCTCCCGAGCCCAGCTGAGCGTGGTAGACCCAGACTCAGCCCCAGGGGAAATCCTGTACGAGGTGCAGCGAGCTCCCCACAATGGCTTCCTGAGCCTGGTGGGGGTCAGCCCAGGGCCCGTGACCCACTTCACCCAGGCCGATGTGGACGCAGGGCGGCTGGCCTTCGTGGCCAATGGCAGCAGTGTGGCAGGCGTCTTCCAGCTGAGCGTGTCTGATGGGGCCAGCCCGCCCTTGCCTGTGTCCCTGGCTGTGGACATCTTGCCATCTGCCATCAAGATACAGCTGCAGGCTCCCCTGGAGGTGCCTCAGGCCTCAGGACGTGCCTCGCTGAGCCAGCAACAGCTCCGGGTGATCTCGGACCAGGAAGAACCAGACACGACCTACTGCCTTACCCAGGGCCCCCAGTATGGGCAGCTGCTGGTGAGCGGGCAGCCTGCCTCAGCCTTCAGCCAGCTGCAGGTGGACCAGGGGGAGGTAGTCTTCACTTTCACCAACTTCTCCTCCTCTCGTGACCACTTCCGAGTCCTGGCACTGGCCAGGGGTGCCAACGCATCTGCCACAGTGAATGTCACTGTGAGGGCCCTGCTGCATGTGGGTGCAAAGGGCCCATGGCCTCAGGGTACTACCTTGCGCCTGGATTCCACTGTGCTGGATGCCAGCGAACTAGCCAACCACACTGGCAGCATGCCCCACTTTCGGCTCCTGGCAGGACCCCGACATGGGCGGGTGGTGCGTGTCCCCCGAGCACAGACAGAGCCCAGAAGTGGGCAGCCTGTGGACCAATTCACACAGCAGGACCTGGAGGCTGGGAGGCTGGGGCTAGAGGTGGACAGGCCAGAGGGTCAGGTACCCAGGCCCACAGGGGACAGCCTCACTCTGGAGCTATGGGCACGTGATGTCCCACCTGCTGTGGCCTCACTGGATTTTGCCACAGAACCTTATGATGCAGCTCGGCACTACAGAGTGGCACTGCTCAGTGTCCCTGAGGCCACTCGGATAGAAGCAGGGAAGGTGGATAGCAGCACCCCCATGGGGGGGCTGGCTCCAGCAGCATCCAGCCCAGTGCCCACCGTGGCCAGGGGGGGCTTCCTGGGCTTCCTAGAAGCCAACATGTTCAGCGTCATTGTCCCTGTGTGCCTAGTCCTGCTGCTCGTGGCGCTCATCCTGCCACTGCTCTTTTATCTCCGCAAGCGTAACAAGACGGGCAAGCATGACGTCCAGGTCTTGGCTGCCAAACCCCGAAATGGCCTTGCTGGTGACACAGAGACCTTCCGCAAGGTAGAGCCAGGCCAGGCCATCCCACTCACCACTGTGCCTGGCCAGGGGTCCCCACCAGGAAGCCAGCCTGACCCTGAGTTGTTGCAGTTCTGCCGGACACCCAACCCTGCACTCAGGAATGGCCAGTACTGGGTGTGAGCTGGGTAGATAGTGCTGGCGGGTAGGCCCTGCTCCCATACCCTGGCACTGCGAGTTTTCCCAGAGCAAGACCTGGAGAGCTGAGTGGTGGATGCCAGGGACTGCCCTGGAATACCAGATGGATGTAGTCACGAGCCAGAATCTCCCAGCGCACAGAACCTGGAGAACCATGGGGCCGAGGCAAGAGGTGGCTGAGTCAGGCCCGTGTCCTAGAGCTGGTTTGACTTTCAAAGCCAGGGCAACCACCTTGGTGGGCCAAGACTCTGGTTGGTCCTGGGTCTGTGTCTGTGGGTAAGTCGCCTGACCCAGGCTGCCAGGAGGGAAAGGAGGAGAGAGAGCCCTGGAGAGGGGCTGGGCAGAGGGGATAATCAGATCCTGGCTTTCCCACTGCAACCAGGGCTGGGGTAGCCTCTTCTGCCTCTGGGATTTTAGGGAAATGGTGTTTGGGGGGGCTGGAGGTAGCAGGGGAGCCTCTCCACACCAAAAGGCATCCACCCATAGAATAATATATTTGGGGTGCAGGGTGGATGGGTGCTCAGAAGTGGGTTGCAAGGGAGCTATTTAACATGGTGCTGGGCCTGCAGGGCCTGGTGGCACACATACCCTCCAGGGTTGGGATGGGGGAAGAGTCTGGAGCACTTCCGTTTCTGGGGCTATTGTGATGGGCCAAAGACTGAGCAAGCCTGGAGTGGACTGGGCCAATGTATGGCCCTTGGGCCACCGCAGTGCCTGTGCACCCCCGAGGACTGGAGGTGGCTGCGTGGGGTCCTTGATCCTTACAATCTGGATAAATGGTGCTTGGGCAGCTCTCGACAATGTGTGCTTTGTCTGACTTGCTAGGCCCTGGGACCTGGCAGCCTCACTCCATGGGGCCAGCACCCAGCCCGGGGTATTGAGTGGGATGAGGCGAGCTGGGGAGCCCCATGTGTCCACCATCCAGGGCTCCTCCCCTCAACTTGTGGACAGGTGGCCCAGTGCTTGAAACAAAACCCAAGCCCTGACTGATGTAGAGGTGGAGTAGGTTCTTCCTCTTCAAGGAAAGAAGAAAAATAAATGCTCCTGACCCTGGTTTCTCAGCCTGAGTCTCCTCCATCAGCTCCTTGTGCAGTTGGATTAGTAAGGAGAGGGCAGCAGGGGCTCCAGGGCTGGGACACAGTGCAGAGAGTGGACATGGGAGCTGCCCTCCCAGGCTCAAAAAGAAAAAGGCAAGGAAGCAAAAATAACCCAGAAAGCCTGGGTTGTCCTTTGGTTGGAGGTGGGACCTAAGATACTGAGGACCCAAGAAACCCCTGACCCGCATCTGGAGACCAGGGTGACTTTTTCCTGCACCCAGCACCTGTAACATTTGAGCCAGGAGAAAGGGCTAGAGGTGGAACTCCTACTCCCTCCGTCCTGCTCCAGGGCTGCCCTCCCCAAGTGTGGACACATGACATCATCCAGCTCTGGTTCTCCCCTCCCAGGAGCATGGGCAGGAAACCTGGAACCAGGTATATTATGGTAGAAAGCGTACCAAAAGACAGGGGGGGGGGAATCAAAGAGGATCAGAGGATGGGCTAATCACAGCAAGGTAGCAGTAGGGTAGACAGGACCTTGATCCAGTGAGGCTCTTCTTGCCACCCTGAAAAGCACTGCCGCCAAGAAGGGTGATTGTGCCCCCAGAGACCCCTCTGTACCCTGAGCTTGCAGGACAAGCCTGGTCTCCCTGGCACCCCAGGCTAGGAAGGCCTTGCAGAGGATGTCTCCACACCCCATGCCTGCCCTGCCCTATGGGAGTTCAGGGCTGAGACCTGCTATCTGGGACCAGGCTCTATCCAGAGCAGCCAGTTTTCCTGGCAGTGTAAGCCAAGCCAGGGTTGACAAACCCAGCAAGCAGGAGCTGGCCTAGTGCCAGTTTCCTCGGAGGGCTGACGACACCAGCTCTGTTCCCAGCCGGCATCCCTGCCCCCAGGGAGCTGGCACAGGCTGACACAGCTCTGCTCCTCCGTGCCTGGGCTGGACAGTGGACTGGCACCCAGGCTTCATGCCAGCAGCCTCTCCAGGGTCAGGGAGAGGGTCTTTCTCTGGCACATGAGCTGGGAACCCAGCAAGGGACTGGGGCCTGGTTTAGGTAAAACCTTGGCCAGTCCATGGCATCCCAAAGCTTAAGAAGGCTGCCTTCCATGCTGTGAGGTGACACCACCCCCTTCTTGGAAGGAGCTGGAGATGGGAGCTATGCCAGGTACACATGTTCAGCAACTCAGGGAGGGTCTTTGCCTTTGCTTTATACGCACATGAACCATGGTGTGCACTTGTGCAGATGGGTGTGTATGGGAACATAGGTTCACACACAATCTTCAATCTTCAACCCATGGCACAGCCCAGTACTACCAGTGCAGTGCATTCACACATGGGCAGGCACCTACCAACTTCACAAGTTTATGTGCCTTGTCTTTATCCTCCCTCAGTACTCAAAGGGCCAGAACAATGCCCTGCCCATTAGGGGGCCCGTGCTGACATTAGCAGAGCTGCAAAGGGAATGGTGAGCCCACAGGTACAGGGATTGCTTGCCAGAGGAACACAGATCCCCGGATTCCTGCTGTCCACACTAAGCATTTAATCTCTTAGTTGCTCACAGGAGCTTCCTTTGAGCCTTTCTACAAACTGGCCCTTTAAGTGGGGTTGCCATCGCAGCTGTGGGATCTACTGAACTGGAACATTCATTGTCCAATAGGAATCCAGTGAGGAGCTTCTCTCTCCCCTACCCTACCTCCTTTGACCAATGGGAAATGCTGGGGCTGCCAGCATCTTCCCCTTAGTCCTAGAAAGCCATGGTTTTAAGTGAATGGAATACTTCGGATTTTCAGAATTCTCAGGTGGGGTCTCCCAGTCCTAGTCACACAAGAAGGTAGCCTTAGCAAATGGAGGAACCAAGAGGGGAAACAACCCACTAGACTACTGCCCTGTCCTACTAAGGTCTTCTCAGATTATCACTATGCAGCTACCACTAAGATTATTCAACACTGGCAGGGCATTTTGTGCCAGACATGCTTTGGGAGATGCAGACAGGTCCCATCCAGCCCCTCCCAAAGAGCCCCAGAGATTCCAAGGAGTCACTGCCAAGACCTGATGGGCACCTTCACCAAGCAGCAGGAGCTGGCCATCGAGGACAAGCTGCCTCTGCTTCCTTCTGTCCTTAGATCAAAAGGATGGCCAGCAGCTGGAAATGCTTAAAGACTGCCTGGTTATGCTGCATCCTTGGTGTAAGGAATTACAGTATTTAACTGATAGTTTCTGTCCTCATAAAGGGCATCACTGCCTGTGGCCACCAGGATAATTAGTGGGTTGTATTGTTTTCCTTCACATGTCACATGCCACAAGAGCCCAGACAGAGACAGGAACAACCCCTGGGTAATCTGCCCAGCGGCCAAGAAGGGGCTTTTCTACTCAAAAAGAGGAATACCCTTGCCGCCCAACCTGAGAAATGCTGGCTGTGTTATCCCAGAGCCCAGAGCTAATCCCAAGATGCCCTCCTGACCATTTCTGGCTCCTGAAGTTTCAAACAAGATGGATTGAGGCCCAAAGTGGGGGCCATGAGCCAGCAGCATCAGCATTGCTCAGGAGTCCACCAAGAATGAAAGATTGGGCTGGGGTGTAGCTCCCTGGTAGAGTTCCTGCCCCTGGGGGTTCCATCCCCAGAACCATAAAAAAAAAAAAAAAAAATGAAGACTAAGAGCTCTGGTCCAGATGCTAAGTCAGATTGCATTTAGTCAGGTACCCAGGGAGACGAAAGGCACACTGCACAGAGGAGTTTCAGATACACGGACTGAAGCCCCTCAGCCTCTAAGACCAGGACCTGAGACAGAAGACAGGGACTAGGCCAAGGTCACACAGTAAGTTAGTGGCTAAGCTTGATGGAATCAGACCTCGAGATCCTGTCTCAGGGTTCTGTCTTCCACGCTGTGCCCTCACACAAACATACCCCACTCCGTGCCCAGCTGGCACTGACCAGCTGGGCTGGGCCTCAGTGCCAGGAGCCAAGAGATTGCCCAGGCCAGTGGTGGGGACAGCCGTGCAAGGACAGGACAAGGAGGGGCTGTCAGGCCTACAGAGGGCTGAGCTGGGACATGCCTGACCTACAGTAAGTCACTGGGTCCTGGGGGTGTGGAAGATGACATCAGGGGCGAGGCATGTCTCCAGCCACCAGCTGCAGTGCAACACAAATGTGCACACCCACATGCGTCCACAGGGCCACCGTGTGCAGACGCACTGACAACAGCAGGCATGTGCAAACCTCAACCTACATGTGCACTGTCCCCAAGGTCACAGATATCCAGAGTCACCTGTGATGATCTTCTGCTGGACACGTGGCAGAGACGCCTGGGGGAGACAGGCAGGAAGGAGACAAAGTTAAAATAATAACCTTTGCACAGAAGGATCTGCAGAGGATGGGATGTGTGGAATTCGCTGGAAGGCATGGGAGGCAAGAGGGATTAAAACCCTGGCTGAAGTCCACCTGTGATCCAGTGCTCTGGGAGGCTGAAGCAGGAGACTGAGCCTGAGAGGCTGAAGCAGAAAGATGGAAAGTTCAAGTCCAGGCTGGCCAACGTAGTGATTTATTGAGACCCTGTCTCAAGAGTTAAAAATGAAAAGGACTGAGCATATAGCGTAGTGTAAAGGCTGTGGGATTGCAGTACAGCCAGTTAACTGATTGATAAAAATACGGGCCCAATATTGACCCCTGCTGAATCTGAGGTATGGGCACTTGGGGACTCATTGTATGGGTTTATGGTTTTGCACATGTCTGAAGTTTTCCATAAGAGAAACATAAACATTTATATAACTGGAAGTCAGTATTAAGTGAAATAAAGAAAACAGCATAAGGGACCAGGGGGACTCCTTAGATGGAATAGTCAAGGAAGGTTTCTCAGTGGAGGTGACATTTAAGCAGCAGCCTAAATTCACTGAGGTCCAAATAGCACACTACTTGAGCAGAACAACATTCCAGACATCAAACTCAGAGGGCCTGAGGTGCCAGCAAGCCCAGAGGGAGGACAACAAGAGACAGGAGATCCAGGACCCAACGGCAAAGGGAAGAGGGGCCCAGGTGGGATCAGAGAGATCCCTGTGGGTGTGAGCAGAGGAAGGACCCTGGAACGGATGCTGTGGGAGAAACTGGGATGGATTAGTGTTGATCGCAGGTCATGCTGACTCTCCTCAGCCAAGCACAGATCCCATCACCGTTACCACAGTTCCATCACTGTCACGCCAACCTCTATTTGCCCCACAGGAACTGGACCCTCCTTCCCTCCAGCCCAGCCTTTCTCTGCTTCCTCACTGTCCCATGCTGGTCCTGGAGAAGGAAGACCCTGATGATGTTTAGCAACCAGTACCCTACCCAAGGCCACCACCCGGCCTCCCTGCCAACCACCTGCCCGGAGTAGGCACTGAGGCCAGGCAGGAAATCATGGCTCCATGAATGTTTGCTCGGTGCTCTCTGTGGGCCACACCCTCAGCCCTGGTACCTGCTCATGTGAAGGCACAGCCACCTCCCCCAGTATCTGTCACCTGCTCCCCAACTCTTCTGTGTACTGGGGCCTGGCCCGGCCTAGCCCAGCAGCCCTGGAAAGGCAGCCAGAAGCACAGAAATGGCTCTACTCTGAGACAGGCAAACCTCAGTCCAGGCCTGCACAGAGGAGCTGCCAAAGCTCCTGAGAGTGACTCAGAGCCCCAGGCCACCATCTGCAGAGAACACTGGCACAAGGGGCTCCAAGTTTAAGACTGCCAGGGCAATGATAGAGCTCACCCACCCTGGGCACAGAGCCCCAGGATGACACTAAGGAAGACTAAAAACTGCCTGCTGCTGCAGCCTCAGGCGTAGCCTTCCTGGCTGGCCTGTGTGGCTCTGTAGACACGGCACGCCAGCGACAGGACGGCAGCAAGTGGTGAATGTAAGGCCCTGAGTAATCATGACAACCATCACTGGAGCACTGGGGACCCAGACTGAGCACTGGCCTGACCAAGGTCACCCAATGACGACATCTAGGAGAGCTCAAGGTGTGCCTGGATTATGCTGCTATGTGCACTGGGATGTGTGTGTGTGTGTGTGTGTGTGTGTGTGTGTGTGTGTGTGTGTGTGACAGCTATGACTTTCCAGGCTGTCCTGCCTGGACCAACAAATGTCATGAGAGGCAGGAGGCCTCCAGAAGGCTTCACCCCATAGGGACAGGGTGGCAATCCAGAACAGGGGTCAAAGAGGGCTTGGTCTCCCTTTGGCAGCAGCCACTTGTGGCCTACAGCTTGCTCGTTATCATCTTGCCTGTGAGGTGGGTGCCAGCATTCCAGGTCCCACCCATCTATCCACTCTGCCAGGGGCTGGCACCCTGGCCGCTCCTTGCCAAGGCCTGGCTGCATAGCACTGCCACTGACGTGTTCTGTCAGGAACCCTCCCTGTGGCTTGGAACTCTGTGCTATAAAAGAGAAACGGAAGCTCTGTGCAGTTAACATCCCTGGATCTGGATCGACAGCAAGAGCTCAATGGGTGGGATTGGGCTTGGCCCTGACACCCTGCTGTCCCCTCTAGGAGTGGAGGGAAAGGCCAAGAGGACAGCAAGACCAGGGGGTGAACTTCAGAAGCCCACCCAGAGCACTGCCCATGGCAGCAAGGGGCTTCAGCCCACCCAGATGAGGCTCAGGGGCCTGAGTACCCCAGTCAGCCTCTGACCACTGCCGCAGACCGTTTACTCCTCAGCCTGGGAACCATCTCACCCCAACCACTGCTGCTCCATCACCTCCCTTGCTGGGCCCCAGCTCCTGGTCTGTAAAATGACCCTGATAATCTCTACACATAGGATAGCTAAGAAATACTGGGCACCTATGTCCACCGTGGGCTTCACTGGGAAGAGAGAAGCCCTAACGTGGCTGGAAGACCTAGGGCATTGGAACTTTCTGCCCTCTTCTCAGGTAGACCCTGAGGAAGCAGCCAGGTCCGTGTGACTCCTGCAAGATCTAAGCCTCTCAGCAGCCCCACAGCCTCCCGCACGGTTGGCTGTGAGGCAGGGGTTGTGAAATGAGGACCACAAGCCACAGGGGCTGAACCTTTTTCTCAGGGCCTCAGGAAGAGCAATGAGGGCAAGTAAGGGAGGCAGACGTGAGTGAGGAGGAGTCAAGCACCCAGTGCTGCCCGGCACCCCGGTGCCAGGGGCCTACTCTGCAAGCAGCAGCCAGGGGCAGGGGCTGGAGAGCAGACCACCAAAAGAAAAGGAGAGAGAGGGAGAGGAGAGCAAGATAGAGGAAGAGAGGGAGAGAGGGAGAGATAGGGGGTGCGGCTGGGTGTGGCGGCACACACCTGGAATGCCATCACTCAGGAGGCAGATGTAGAACTTCAAGTTCAAGGCCAGCCTGTTCTATATAGCAAGATACTGTCCCCCACCCACAGCAAAAACAAACAAACAAAAAACTACTAACCAAACAAAAACAAAATACAAAACACCAAAGAAGAAAGAAAACCAGACTAGAACTGTAGTGTAGCTTGGTGGAGAAGTATTTACCCTGAGTTTGACCCCCAGCACTGAAAAACGAAAGGCAACACCAAAAATAATAAATTTTAATTAAGTATGTACATGACAAGATCTTTTCAAGTATAAACCAAAGTCTTTAATGTAGTGTACAGTTGAACTGGAACATGTGGGCTTCCGTGTACAAACCTCTGCCAGCGCGGTGGTGCACACCTGTAAACCCGGTACTTGGGAGGCTGAGGCAAGAGGGAGAGTTCGAGGGCGGTCTGGCTACGCAGTGAATTCAAGGCTGGCCTGGACTAGCTACTGTCTTGAATGAATCAGTGAGCTAAAGTGCTGGGGTCCCAGGCTGGGGATGTAGCTCAGTGACGCAGCACCCGCCTGACAAATGCGCGGCCCTAAATTCGGTTCCCGGTATCAAAAATGAAAATAGTAAAAAAAAAAAAAAAAAAATGTGCTGGGGTCCTGACCAAAGTCTTCAAATGTGCTATCCCCAAAGCTCACATGGAAGTCTTGTGAATGCAGGGGTCCTGGACCATAGTGAAGACTCTTCTACCATGCTCAGGTGGAGAGAAACCCAAGGAAGACGGAAAATGAAGCAGGACTCACTGTGGCGATCACATGATCACATGCTGCGCTGCCTTCAGACTTTGTCCCAGGGTGTGTTTGAGGGGGAGCTGCCAGGACTTACTCCACCCTCAGACACCTCGAACCCGAGTCCCATCTCCTTTCAGCAGCTGTCTCACCAGCGTGCAGTTAATCCCCAGCCCCTTCCCTCCCAAGGAGATCGAAGCAGATCAGCCACTGCCTCTTCCCTTGACTTCCATCAGTTCAAATTTTGGAAGGAAGCCAGAGAGCTGGGTTCCAGTTCAGCCCTAGCTGGTCTTGCTGTGGGATCCTAGGTGGGTCCCATCCTCCCTGGCTAAGCCTCAGTGTCTTTGTCTGTGAAATGGAATTGAGACGTCACCCAGACTGGCATGCAAACCAAGGAAGCCACAGCTATGTGAGGAACTGCTTTTTAAACAGACTGCACTATGCTGGGGTTGGCTAGTCGAACCAAAGGGCGGGGGAGTGGGGGGGATGGGGGGGTGCTAATCAGCCTTCAGGGCTCAGAGCTCCACTGAGGGAGGTGAATTCCCACTTGACCCCAGGGTCTCACAGCCAGCGAGATGCGATATGTTGCCTGCTGGGGTGGGTCGGGGCAGGCTTAGCTTCCAGAGGCCTGACTCAGCGGGCAGTGGGGCCTGCTCCTCACATGCTTGGGAGGACATGACACAGGAATGTCCCTCCAGTCCCTCCCACCCATCTTGGGCCCGCCCACCGCATCCCTTTCCTGCCCTGCAGATACAGAGTAACTCACTCAGCTGGGACTGGAGAGATGGTGATGCCTGGAGCTTTGTGAGGTGGGTGTAGCCAGGGACTTCAGAGCAGCCTGGCTCCGGGGATGGGCCGGCCTAGGGCAGGCAGGGCCAGCCTGCAGAGCCCATTCAAAGTTGGATCTGGCCCTAGTCTCCCCCCCTGCTGGGTGAAGTGGTGGCCCCAGTATCCCTAGGCCTCAGGATTGTTCTTTGTGAGGTGAAGAGCCGGACTCGGCATGGTCCATCCACTCAACATCAGGTCTCTCAAGGCACATGCCCCAGGACTATTCCTGTCTTCCCTTCCTCAGGGACACCTGCTGCGTGCAGGCTGCCTGTCCTTCAGAGTTCTGATGAGCTGCCCAAGGGACCAGGGAGGGGGCACAGGTGTAGCCTAGGAACAGCCATGGTTGCATGACACCCACACACACTGTATATGTGACTTGGTTTATTGCTGAGTGTGTGTGACACTAAGGCTGTGAGCATGTGTGTGGCAAAGTGGCTGAGCTAGACACTGTGACAGTGGCACCTACGTGGCTATGGCTATGGCTATGCCTGTGTGGCAGTGTGGCTGGGTGTGACATGTGAGCCCAAGTGTGCATGGCCAGCTTCGGCCAGTGGACAAGCAGCAGGACTGTGTGTGGTTCTGTGGCTTTCAACTATGTCTCTGCATGGATGGCCATGTGGCTCTGTCACCGTACTGCCAGGACCATCTAGGTCTCTCAGGCCTGGCTCTGCTCTAGCCAGTGTGACAGCCACAGCACCAGACTCCCAGCTCTCCTGTGTCTGGGGCAATGGGACACAGGATCCAAAGTCCACTTCATCCTCAGCCCTTATGAGGTCACACAGCAAACTCCAGTTCCCTGGCCAGGTCAGAATTGGAGATTAGGAGTCCTCCCATCCCCACGCAGGTACTGATGGCCACCAAGGACAGAAAGAGACTCTGTCTTCCACCCTACTCAGAGCAAAGTGGGAAAGGAAACTACAGGCAGCTGGACCCAGCCCAGCCTGCAATATCTGCTGGCATGCACCTAATGCCAGTGGGCCCTGCCATTTCCAGCATGTCCCCACCTCTCCCACTGATCCCCTAGTTTTCTGCTAAGAAGAGCTCTGACCAGCCCGGAACAACCCTTGATTCTCCAATACCCCAACCCACACAGACCGAAAAAAGCCAAAGAGAGAGGCCATGATGCCCCACTCCTCACCCCACATACCTTCCTCACCCAGGGACCTCAGAATGCCTAGCCTAACCCAAGCCTCTACTTCCTGCTTCTCTGAGGTCCAAGCCGTTCTTAAGCGCTGCCCTTAGGATGGCAGGCACAGGAGGTGACCCCTCTCAGTGAAAGGACATGAGAGGGTGGCAGCTTGCCAGCTGCCTTGGGAAGGAGGCCCTGTCCCTGCCATACTCTGCACCCTGAGATGCCACAGGGAATCACAGCTGATCAGAGTTAGGACAGAGTTGACTCCTCTGATGGGTCAAAAAGTGAAGAAAGGAAGGCAAGGATGGGAAATTTCCTCAAAAAGTCCCAAACCTAATATTGACCTTGGGCCAGGGGACTTGTCCCAGAAGTTCCTGTGAGGTCACTCTGCCCTAAACAACAGGGTCTGTGACCATCTCTTGTCATGAGCTGGCCTGGCAAGGCTTCCCTGGCAGCTCTGACACTGAGGGGTGCCCAGCCCATCTCCATTCCCCTGGTTACCGGAAGACTACTGTGTCCATCCTGCTCAACTCTGCAATGGCAGAGACACAGCTCTTGGCACCCAGCTGTGGGGCCGCTTCAGTTGCCAGTGTGGAGTCACCACAAAGGAAGGAACCCACGGATGATGGGGGAGGGACACAGTTTCTGAATGTCCCCACCCCTCCCTGGACTGGGGCTTTCCAAGGACAAGGTCTGGATGTAGCTCCAGGGGCATGGAAAGTACCCGGGAATGTCCTCCCTCCCACAACCCTAGGCACATGGAGAGGCACAACCAAACCCTGCATGGGACCAATTCCATCTTACAGCCAGAGACAGCGAGGTCTGAGCAGCTGTGCAGACCACCCAGGGTCCCGGTCACCTCTAGCTTCTCCCAGCAGTTCCTCATTCTCTACCTGTTAAGGGGTCTGTGGTCAAAACAACCCACCATGACTGCCAAACCTTGTCCAGTGGCTCCCAGGGGCAATTCAAGGTCCAGCCTTTCCCATCCTCGGCCCTCCCAGGATCCAAACAGAAAGAGTTGTGCTCTTGTCATCTTAATAGTAGAAGGTTTATAGAGAAAAAAAGAGAGAAAAAATTTAAGCAGCAGCAGCTAGGAGCCGATCAAGATCTCCTTGGAGGGCATAGGCGTAAAATCACTGCTCCCCCAGCTGCTGCTCAGCCTGGCCTGGGGGAGGCAGTGGCAACCCTAGAGGATGTAAACACAGGCTGGAGACAGCAGAGGTGACTAGAAGCTTCCAAGGGCTGGGAACTGGAATCCCTGGCTTTCCCCTGGGCTCCCACAGTGTGACAGAAAGGATTCCGGGAGACGACACCTCCCTGGCCAAGGCTCCTGGGAGCTGGGGTCTAGGCTGGCTTGCAGCAAGGCAGTTATTGCTGGGGAACTCAAATATCCCGTAACTTGAGGGTGTTCCCTCCAGGAAAGCGCCACCATGGCCTGTGGTCTGTGGCTTGTCCTGCCCCCCAGCTCTGGGGAAAGAGGCTGCCTGGCCCCCAAACAAGGGAATGTGGAGACACAGCAGGGGAAAGGAAGCAGAGGCCTGCAGGAGGGAGGTGGCCTGCAGCCCCTCCTGCAGGGTACAGAGTGGGGCAGGGAAAGAAAGGAAAAGTCTCCACGGAGGAGACGCTGAACATGCTTGGGAAAGGTAAGGGAAAGAAGGCCCCACAGGAATCCTTTCCCCAAAAGTCCTTCTTGCCATTTACTGTCTGGTGGGTCCTTTTCACTTGTCTCATCAAGACATTCTGCTGGAACATTGCCTACTCTGCTTGCAGGATGCTTGGGTTCATCTGGGAGCTTCCAGGAGCCTCTTACTCAGCCACCCGTCACACTGCATCACCTTTGCCTGATGCTGTATCTGACCACTGCCTTGGATGGGGGCTCCCATGGGTACATAGCAAATGGCCCAGGACCACAGTGACACTGAGTGAACAGGGGTGGCAAGGATGGCCTGGCTCTGCCCTGTTCTGTTTCTGAGACAGGTTGGCTGGTACTGCTCCGAAGTCCCTTCTCCCATCCACCTCGCCCACCCAGGCCCCAGCCCTGCTGTGACCAGGCCATGGCAGAGACCATGAGGTCAGAGATGGTCATACATGCGCAGGGCCTTCTCCAACTGCTGGGCCACACGCTGGTAGAAGAGGATCTGCTGGCGCAGGTAGCTCTGCATCATGTGCTGGAAGTCGAGTTCACGGCGCTGGTGGAAGTGGTTCATCTCAGCCTGCAGGGCGAAGCCCACCACTCGGCAGCGTCTGCGGATGCCATCTGCCTCATCCTGCACCATCCGGCCCTCGTCACTCATGCGCTGGCTCTCTTTCACCTTGGCAAAGGCGCCTTGTGGACAAGGACAGGCAGGGGAAGGGAGAGAACTCAGTGGCCACACCTGTAGCCACCACAAGGTGGGATAACATTGCTCCAAGGCTCCAAGGCAGTGTTATCATCTCTCCTGAGCTCAAACCATGGCCTGCCCTCTGCTGCTGCAGTATCCACCACACCAGCTTCCCTCCACACTCCGGTACACGTAAACCAGTGGCACGTGCTGAGCAGTCTCGGCCTTGCTAGATGTCGCTACTCCAGGCCTGCACAGTTCCCAAATGTCCAGTGCAGGTCTCACCCTCACATGCTACCTTCCAATGCTACCTGGCCTCACTTCCTCCAGGGAGCCTTCCTAGTTCTCCCATAACCTCTGGAGACTCCTAAGAGCCCTGGCTTCCCTCTCAACCTGTGCCTTCTCTGCCCACCTGCCCTGACCTTCTATCCTGACCTCCTGGAGAGAACACTGGCCCAGATCCTGAGGGTGGCCCCCATCCCTGGGCTGCTGTGACCATCCCCGACACTGCTCCCCAGAATCTGGCCCACAGTGCCCCCAAAGTACCCCCCCACTAGGTACCCTCTTACCTCCTACCACCTGCAGACCAAGGTGCACACCCACCTCCTGCGCCCACTCTAACCTTGCAGTCATCAAATCCTCTCAGATCTTTCCTATCTGTGGACCTCTGCCTTCTGGATGCTCATTCATAATTCAAGGCCTGGATCAGATGCTGCTTCTATACCAGAGCCTCCCCAGTTCCACTGGTAAAAGGTTACCTGGTCTCATCTGTCCACTGGCCCCCCACCTGCTTGTCAGTCTGCTGCTTCCTTTTTTTTTTTTTTTTTTTTGTCTTTTTCCTTTTTATCAGTACCGGGGATCAAACTCATGACTGCCGGCTTGCAAGGCAGGCACTTATGCCGCTGAGCTAAATCCCCAGGCCCCAGTCTGCTGCTTCTAAAGCAGCATCTCAAAGGCCACCTGAACAGTGCTTCCCACATCCAGCAGCCCCAGGAGACTAGAGGAAACTGCTGTCATATCCAGATGACAGGTGAGCAGGAGTGGGGAATCCACCTGGGCAGGGAACCCATCCTAGAAGAATCTGAAGAATAACGAGCAATTGGTGAATGGATTCAGCTCTGGGTTAGAAGATATGTGACTGATTCTGCCTTTAAGCCAGCAAGAAGAGGACGTCACCTACCTAAGCCTGGCATTCACCCTTGAGGAACAGGATGATGTACAAAGACAATGGAGGAGACAGGCAGGGTATGGAAGGCAGCACCCACCCTGAGCTCCTGGGACCCACGCTTTGATACTCTCTTCCTTCAAAGAGGCCCCCTGGGGCCTTCAGGATGGTATTCTCTTTATGGAGTACTTACTACATGCCATCCATGCTGGACATAACTGGAAGCCTTTAGGAGGGGCAGCATTTGTCTCTTGTTGGCAATTGCATGGTTAACTGCTCACTGGAAGCAGACTCCACTTCAGAGGCTCCTGGCTGCCCCAAAAGCACACAAAGAAATGTGTACGGCTCCGCTCCCAGCCCCAGCAGTCCTCTGTCTGCCTCCTCAAGCACCCTGCTCCTGCTCCACACGGATAGCCTGGCCATGGGCAGCAGAGCCAGAATCACCCTGAGGTTCAGGGTGGGTTCAGTAAGAGAATTCAGAGCTGGAGACACCCCAGAGGGCACTGCTTCCTGCTCCCAACTAAAAGGAGAAACTGAAGTCTTGAGGGGCAGATACTTGCCTCTGGACTCCTAGCCTCCTTCCTGCCCTGAGTCAGGGATGCCTAACCCTCTGCAGCAGCCCAATAGCCCTCTACTGCAGGAGCCCAGCACAGACAGGGATTGGAGAAGGTGCAAGGGACAGGAGGTGCCATAAGAAGGAAATCCAGAAGCCAGGCCTGAATGGAAACACCTATAACCCCACCACATTGGGTGGCCAAAGCAGGAGGATCATAAGTTCAAGTCCAGTCCAGGCAATTTAACAAGACTCTTAAAATAAATAAAAATTTAAAGGGATAAGGATGTAACTCAGTGCAAAGGCCCTGAGTTCAATCGGTAATGCACACATACACACAAGGTCAGAAAACAAAGAGAGCAAGGGAGGGAAAAAAGCCTAAAAAACAACCGCAGGACAAACTAAGTGCAGGTAAGCTTCTGCCAGAGGAAGCAACCTGAAGAGACACAGAGGGCCCTAGACCCCATCTGCCTGCACAAGGCATGGTGTTAAGAAGGGTGGATCTGTACTCAAAAGGCTTTTTCTTGTCTTTGCCCTTGGAGCAAGGAGGAGCCTACTGTGGTGCTGGTTAGGTATTCAAAGGAGCCAGGGATAGGGGCAAAGGTCGTAGGGGTGGGGACAAACAGAGGTCCCACCTTGCTCTGTAATTTCCCCACCCTGTGACTCAGTTCTGGGGTCAGGACCAGTTGAAGCTAACATCTCTCACCCAGCAGGGCAGGCTGGAGGCAGGGCAGCCATTCAGCATCCCTCCTGTACTCTAGGGAAGTCACCAAGAGTCCCCCAGGTCTCTGGCTGCCTGACAGCCAGGTCCCAGAAGTGAAGGAGAGCTGGATCAACCAATCAGGGAACCCCTGGTCCCTGATAGGTCCCCCGGTCCCCACTGTGCCACCTGCAGCAACCCTTGCTCCTTCTGGGCTACAGTTTCCCCTGCCATGACATGGGACAGACTGTACCGCATGTGATGCTCCTGGCCACTCCTCACAATACACACAGCTGTACTCCCACGTCTGTGACAGTGCCCATCCGGAGTAGCTGCAGGCTGTACCTGCCAGGGACCCAGAGCTCAGGATGCTTTGGAGGTGGATGTCAGGCTTCTTCCCTCGAGATCACAATGCACAATAGCAGTGGCTTCTGGTGGCATAGTTGTCCACTTACAAAAACCTCAGAGGAGAACAGAGGTTGGGCTATACAGACTTAAGACCCAATGTCTCCATCCATAGGGCCTCTCTGACTGAGATCCCCAAAACCTGCCTAGCTCTGCCTCAAACAATTCCAAGCCCTCCTCCCTCATTCACCCTGAACCCCAGGCTAGATTCCAGAACCTAAGGAAGCCCATGGGAACCTGACTTGCAGGGGCCAGGTCCTGGTGAGGATATGGAACCCAGCCTTCACCTCAGGCTGCATGGCCATCCCAGGGGACAGTGGCCCCAACTGTCAGAAGAAATACCTCAGGCAGGGACCTAGACACAGCCTCTCTCAGCTCCATCTCCCTGCCTTGGGGCTTCAATATGAGCCCAGAGCCCTGAGTGCCCCAGGGCATGGGTCACCTCACTGCCCCTGCTCTGCCCCAGCAGCAGCATGGTGGTAGCTGTTTCATCATAAGGCCCAGCCTCCCGCTGCCCACAGAGAAACAGGCCATGGAGGAGCTGGTCGAACCAGCTTTCCCAGGCCTGGTGCAGGTGAGGCTCATTTCCGCCCAGGAAGGCACTTGCCCAGGTGCAGATCCAAGGCACTATTCTGCAGCTAGGTCACTGAGGTCCCCTCCACTCCCTCTTTCCAAGGCCTGACAGCTCATAGAGCTCCTTCTTTTGTCCATAAATAGGAAACTGAGGTCGGGAGGGGAGTGGTACAGGGGAATACATCCCAGAGCATGGGTGAACTGGGGAAGAGCCGACTAGAACTCAGACCTTGTCCCTTGAAGCTGAAAGGGGTCTTGGAAAAAGGAGAAAGAGAGGTGAGGGGAGACATTTTGCCAGTCACTCTGCTGGTAAGAAGAGCCACGACAGGACTCCGGACTCCACAGGCACCCACAGGCCCCCTGGCTCCATCAAGACTGCATTGCCCCACCCAGAGTCAAGCTCCCACCCACCAGGCCTGACCTCAGAGTCCAGCCCCATTCTTCTAGAGTTACCAGCAGCCCCAGGGAGGACCACACCTCTTCTGACATCTGCCTGCCACTGTCCCCAGGACTGCCACCTGCAGGTTCACTCCCTGATTCACACTGCAGCCAAGAAGAGAAGCCATGCTTGGGAAGGGGGATTGGCTGGGCCCCATGAGCAGTACCTTGTACCCCCAGTTGCGCTCCCAAGCCTGCCCATGCCCCCTTGTGACCTGAATGAGTCATTTCACTGTTAGCTCCTGCAAGGCCCAGCAGCCCAGTAGTGACAGGCAGAGGCCCATCCTGTCCCTCCTCCAACAGACAGGACTCTGGGAACCAAAAACATGGCTGGGCCTGGGAGGCTGCCAAGGTAGATGTGTCTTTTGGGAGGTGGCAAGAGGAAAGGACAGTCCCAGCTGGGCCACAACTCCCTGTGCAACCTCCTTGCATCTCTGTAATCTGCAAATTGAGGACAGGGATCCTCCTGCAGAGATAGGAGCTCAGGAGCGAGGGTGGAGGAGGACTCAGAGCAGCCAAGGCAGTCCAGCACCCGTGGAGTGGGAAGACAGGCTGCACACAGTGCTCCTGTTATCTGGGTCTGGGGCCTGGTCATCTGTGTTCCCAGGACCCAGCCCACTACTGTGCAAGACAGCATAAACCAGACAGGACAAAAAACGAGTGAGCTGACCGAAAGGTAAATACGTCGCTGTATGAGGAGAGCTGGCACAGAATATATTCCCAACATGTTTGTTGAGTGAGTGACAGTTAAAGGCAGACACAGTGAGCTGCCCCATTCCAAGGCCACTTCCATCCCAGGGTCTGGTGGGGCACCAAGCTTGGGAAGTCCCCTGGCTGCCCAGGGCCTACCTTTCTGCAGGTGGATGATGTCCGGAAAGTTGGAGAGCAGGCCCTGGTAGAGGGACAGCATGTCGAGCATGTGGAAAAGGTCATTCTTAGGCTGCTCAGCGAACATCTCACCCACGGCCTCGTAGGTCCGGCCTGTGTGTGAGATGGCGCTGTTGAGGGCCTCAGAGCTGAAAGGGGGATCCATCTGGAAGGCCTGGCTGATGGCCTGGAAGGCATTGCCCAGTTTCTGAAAGTCCTTGCGGAAGCCACCTGCATGCTTGCGTACAAGCTCTGATGCCACGGTGCTGAGCTGCAGGACACTGTCATCCATCTTCTTGCTGAAGGCCTTGAAGGTGTCCACACGGTCCTCCACATCCTGCAGGTCCTGATGCTCCGTGGGGATCTGTAAGGTGAGCAGGAAGCTGGCACCCACCATCTCATCCTTCTCTGCACGGCGCTTACCCATCTTCCACTGTTTGTCATCTAGGCAGCTGAGGAAATGCTGGAAGCCCTCGTACTGCGAGAGCACAGGGTGGCTGGTCATGTGGTCCATCCAGAGGATGAGTCGCCGCTTGCGCTTCTCAATGAAGTCCTCCTCGAAACGGCCGGTGGCCTGCTTCTCGGGCAGGTGTGGGACTGAGATGACTGTGAACTTGTGCAGCAGGCGGTTGTACAGCCAGTCAAAGTGTTTGTAGCGCCGGTAGACAGGTGAGCCTGAATGAGTGGGAGTGAGTTTATAGGAAATGTAGCTTTTGATGCCTTTGAACTTGGTCTGTTTGGTGGGGTCCTCCACAGAGCAGGCAAACGGGTGGGGGTCAGCCTTCCATTGGGGTCCACGGGGCCCCATTTCGATGGAGTAGGTCTCTGCGATCTTGGCCATCATAGGCACGTCTCCAAGGATGAAGGCCTCTACACCAGAGCGCACGAAGCAGGAGAAGCGGTTGAGGTTACGCCCCACCATGCTGCCCCGCTTGGCAGACGCCAGGCTGTCCTGCCGCTCCAGGGGCGGCTTGGGCCGGAAAGCCATGTGCCGGCTGGGGTAGGCACCTGGGTAGGAAAGGTTGAGTGGGGGGTGCCCATTGGTACCCAGTCCAGAAGCCCGAGGCTCCTCCACCACCGTACAGCCATCATCCCAGTCATCCCAGTCATCGTCATCATCATCCTCAAAGCTGCCGGGGTTTGAGAAGAAGCCACTGCCACCACTGCTCCTGGCTTGGCTAGAGCTGTCATAGGCACTCACCTGGGTGCCCAGAGAGCCTGCAGAGCAGCCAGGGTAGTCGGCATGGTTGGTACCGAGGCCAGGATGGATGATCTCCACATAGGAGGCAGGGAAGAGTCCCACTTCCCCACGGCTGTTCTGTCCCTGAAGCCAGCCATCCAGGGAGGTCTCACTGAAGACTACCAGGTCCTCATCCTGTCGTATGCTGATTTCCCCCTCCGTCTCACTGTTAAAGTCGTAGAGGGCTCTGCCTTTCAGTGCCATGGTGGTGCTAATGGTGGATAGAGATGGGAAGAAGATTGTACCCTCGACCAAGATGACCAAAATGCACTAGCAGTTCAATACCTGTTACAAGGCGCTCTCTCAGGGCCACTGAGGCCGTGTCTCAGCACCCACAGACTCCATCCAGCCTCCCCTTCTTCAGAGCAGTGTCCATGGCCCAGGAACTGCCCCATCGGGTCTCAGACATTGCCTGTGAGCAAGCAGGGCTCTAACCCTGGTCTTCCTCCCCTCCTTGGCGGCCCTTGGGGAGGAAGAGTCTCTCCCTCCTCCCACTCGCAGTGGAAAAGTCAAGTGATCTGGAGAAACCAGCTCTGCGACAGCAAGAATTCAACACTTTCGACCGGAACAACGTTCTAAGATTAAAAAAGCTCCCTCCAAACAATCCGCCGCCGTCCCAGAAAGGCAGGCAGAGTCCTTCCCACTGGCTCCCAGCTGTTGCTGGCTGCTCTGGCTAGGGGAGGCTCTCGAATTCCTCTGAAGATCAGCCCTCCCTCCTCCTCCTCCTCCACCTCCTCCTACTCTTTCTCCTCCTCCTCGTGCTCTTCCTCCTCTTCCTCCTCCTCCTCTTGGGCCACTGGGTTTTCAAAAATCCAGAAAATCCAAGAGGAATAAGGAGAAAAGCAGCACCTTCCTAAGTCAATTCCAAGGGTGGATGTGTCCGGCCTCCCAACGAACTGGGCCGGGAAAACAAGGACCGAGGTTTGCACAACACGCTGGCCGCCAACTCCACGACCCCCGGCGACAGTGGCTCCCTTGGTTCCCAAGGACTGGCCTGTGGCCAGCCGGGGAGCAGAGAGCGACTCCTGGACACTTGCTCGGTGGCCTCTGTTGTTTGCCTATCTCCTCTGCATCCTGAGCCCGCAGTTGAGCCCGACGGCGTCCCGGGACCCCATCCAGGGTTGGCCCGAGCGGACGCAGTCCCGGGGCCCCTGACACGGTCCCACGCGCGCCCGGCTTGCAGGGGCTCGGCCTTCTGTCCCTCTGTCCGTCCGACCGTAAGCCCTATCGCCGCGCCGCGCAGCCCCTCCAGCCGGTAGCCAACTCCAAAAAAAAAAAAAAAAAAAAAAAAAGAAGCAGAAGGAGAAGAAGGAAAGGCGACTCCGGGAGGTGGCGTCCCGGAGAGACGCGGGCGGAGGTGAGCGGTGGGGAGAGGGGGCGGAGGGAGCAGCGTTCCTACTTCCGCGGTCCAGGGTCGGGCACACGTGGCTCCGCCCCGGCCGGGCGGGACTGGGACCCGCGCTCCTGAGCTCCTACCCGAGCCCCGCGCGCCCAGCCCGCAGACCGAGGGGTCAGCAATCGCGGGGGGCCCTTACCCATGCCCACGGGTTCGGGCGCCCCTACCAGTCCGCCAAGCTAGTGCGGGGAACTTCACGAGTTTGGAAGCGCGCTTGGCTGGCGAGACTGGAGGCTGCGACCGCCCTGGGGGCGGGTACCCTCTCTTCCTTTCCCCTCCCCACTTTATTCCCTCCCCCTTGACCCTCTTTCTCTCTTAAACCCCTCCCCCGATTCCCAGACTGTGACCCCGAGGGCTGTAGAGGGCTGTAGTGGCCTGTGCGACCCCGAAGTCAAACCCAGGACTCATTCCCCTAGGGGTCCTGGTTCCCCCACCCAGACAGGGGCAGAAACACCTCGCCCAGAGCGGCTCCCTAGAAGGAGAGCCTGCGGCTGGGAACAGGCCTTCGCGGGAACTGGTGGTTGTTTAGACAGCAACAGGAGAAAGAGGAGGCCTAGGACACGGGCTTCGGAAGAAGCCAATGGGCTTTGGAAGGCCTGGCACTGATCCTGCCAGATACTGTGCTGGGCACAGTGGACACTCCTGGTTCCTGCAGTCCAGCTACCCACCCAGGAACATTAAGTGAATAATTGCTAGGCTCTGGGCTACAGAAAAATGAGTAAAACAAAGTTGGGCCAGCTGGCACAAGCTTGTAATCCCAGCAGTTGGAAGGCTGATGCATGAGGATCCCAGAGTTTGAAGCCAGCCTGAATTGCACAGTGAGACTCAGTCTCAAAAAATTAAAAAACAACAACAACAAAAAAGACTTAAGAATAAACGGTACTTAACTACATAAGGGGAGCTCCTGGGTCCGATCTCCAGTACCAAAAATAACAAACAAAACAAAACAAAAAAAACCCCAGGAGTGTGGCTGGGGATTTAGCTTAGTGGCATAAGCACCTGCCTTGCAAGCAGGCGGTCGTGAGTTCGATCCCTGGTACCGATAAAAATGAAAAAGACAAAAAAAAAAAACAAAAAAAACCCAGAAGTAAAATGTCACCATTATCTTCTAGAACCCTCAGTTATGTCCTATGTGTGGCATACAAAGTGCATGAGATGGGCACCTACGCCAGCCTGGGAGGGGCATGGATCAAGGATAGCTTTCTGGAGATGAAGGTGCTTAAAGGAAGATGTTTCTGGAGGTGCCCTGGAGCCTTGCTGACTCCCCTACCTAGAACTTCCTCTCATTCTTACCCTTCCTGCTTGTCAACAACTGGCACAGGTAGGGCTGCTGAAAACAGGGACTCACGTGTACCCACGTTTAGCTGTCTTGAAGGACAGAGTTGGCAGGCTCCAAAACCTGATTTCATGAGTGTAATGCAGGGCTAAGTAGCAGGCTTATGTACAAACCCTGGGAGCCCAGGTACTAGTTTTCCCAGTTGAAAAACCAGAATTGGAATTTTGGCCCATAGGTCAAAGGAGTGTGGACTTCCTCTGGCCTTCCTGTTATAGGTCCTGCAAACTGGATAAACAATAGCAGCTACTTCCTTTAGGAGAGTGAGTGCTGGCATGGACATAAATACTCTGTGTGGTATCACTGTGTACTGCTGATGGAATTTCTGCAAACCTGGTGAGGGCTCCATGCAGCTCCACTGCAGGATCTCCAGCCACCACCCTTGTGTCTTTAGTCCTGTCCCAAATATTTTGGCTACACAGTTATAGACCATCCATTGCAGAGTTACCCCCACATCTGGTCCAGGTGCCTTTACCTTGCCCTCACATCACTTTTTTTTTCTTTCTTTTCTTCCTTTTTTTTTTTTTTTGTACCAAGAATCAAATCCAGGGCCTCACACTTGCCAGGCAGGTGCTATGCTGCTGAGCTACGTCTCTGACCCTCACAGGTCACCCTTATTTCTACGTTCATTGAGAGCACTTACCCTGCAATGGACAGAACCCGCCCCCCCCCCCCACTTCATACCTCGGGGTGACAACCCACAGTATGAGCATCGGAAACTGTGCTAATCTTGTGGTTTCCCTGCACCCTGCCTGCTCCTTTGGCAGGCATTCTCTGATTCCATTTTCTTCCTTTTATTCCAGTCAGAGCTTGTTCCCTTTCCTGCTGGGACTCTGATCTGTGCAGAGGAAATAGCACTCCCCCTGACTTCCTGTTTGTACCCCAAGATTCAGCAGCACAGAGCACTGTGCCCAGTTCTTCTAGGCAGATCTCACTGGGAATCAGGCCAGCAAAACAGGACTACAGGCTGGGAAGAAGCTAAACAGGGAGGGTTTGGGGTAGGCTAGACCAGAATGGTAGCCAACAAGATGTAGGCTTTTTTTTTTTAAGACAAGTTTTTACTAAATTGTCAGGGATGAGTTGGAACTGAAAGTCCTCTTGCCTCATCCTTCCAAGTAGCTGAGAGTTTATAGGCACGCATCCAGCAAAAGATGTGTGTCTTGAGAGAAGTGTCAACTACATATATAAAAAATATTTTCTTAGCTGGGAATGATGGCAAAAGTGTGTGTTCTTAGTACTCGGGAGCCTGAGGTAGGAAGATTGCCATGAGTTCAAGGCCAGCCAGGGCAATATAGTGAGACCTCGTCTCAAAAGGGATGAGGGGCAGTTACATCTGTACTGAACACACCTACACTTTTTTCCCTGTCACCACCCACAAAAAAACACAATATAAACCCGGTATGGTGGCTCACGCCTATAATCCCAGCACTTGGGAGGCTGAGGCAGAAGATTGTTGTGAGTTCAAGACCAGCCTAGGCTACAAAGTGAGCTCAAGGCCAACCTGAATGCATAGACAGACCCTGTCTCAAAAAGACAAAAAAAAAAAAAAAAAACAAAAACCACAGTATAACAGCTTACATGCCATTTCCATTGTAGTTAAAATAAGTAATCTAGAAATTATTTAAAGTGTAGGGACACTCTGAGAAGCTGAGCCCGGAGGATTGCAAATTCAGGCCCAGCCTGGGCAATTTAATGAGTCAGTGCAAAATGAAATATAAAAAGAGCTGGGGATTAGGGCTGGGGATTTAGCTCAGCGGCATAAGTGCCTGCCTTGCAAGCAGGCAGTTGTGAGTTCGATCCCCGGTACCGATAAAAAGAAAAAAGAAAAAAAAAAAAAAGATCTGGGTATGTAGGTCAGTGCAAAAGTTCTGGGTTCAGTCCCCAGTACTAGCAAAAGAAAAAAAAAAAGAAAAAAGAAAAGAAAAGTTTATGCAAGGATATATTTAGGTTCTATGTAAATACCATGCCATGTTATACAAGGGACTTAATCTTCCTTGGTTCTTGATATTCCTGGGATCCTGGGACAAGCCCCCACAGACATGGAAAGATAACTATCTTTATTAAGTCTATTGTCTGGAAAAGAAGGAAATTAACCAAAAGTACTACTGCAAACACATTCAATTTATTAGTAAACTTTTACAAGGAAGTAACCGATGAATGAGTGTCAGAAAGTAGCCTAATATATTAGAAAAGTTAAAAGGCTTTGTTGGATAATTTATTTTTAAGTTATAAAGAAGACTGAAGATGTGGGGCTGGGGGTTTAGCTCAGCGGCATAAGCGCCTGCCTTGCAAGCAGGCAGTTGTGAGTTCAATCCCCGGTACCGATAAAAACGAAAAAGACCAAAAAAAAAAAAAAAAATACTGAAGATGGAAGGGAGGCTGGGGAATATGAGGGTAGGGTAAAATACAAACTGGGAAATGAAATGTACGCCCTATATAACCAGCTAAGGAGAATATACTGTCTGTAAAAAGAACACCTCAATGTAGTAAAACAACAACAACAAAAACCCTCTCCAAATTAATTAGTAAAAAAGTATACGATCTGTACTTGTTTTCCTTTGCAGCTATAACAAATAACCACAAACTTAGTGGCTTCACACAATACAAATTTGTCATCTTGAGTTGGGCATAATAGTGCATACCTGTAATCCCAGAACTCTGGAGGCTTAGACAAGAAGATTGCCATAGGGCCAGGGATTTAGCTCAGTGGTGTAAGCGCCTGGCAAACACAAGGTTGTGAATTTGATTCCTGGTACCAAAAAACAAAGGATTGCACAAGTCTGAGGCTAACCTGGGCTGCATAATGAGTTCAAGGTCAGCCTGAACTACACAGCAAGACTCGGTCTCAAAACACCAAAAAGAAAAATAAAAGTCACAAAAATGGAAACTGGAAATCCAAAGAGGAGCTAACTGGGTTTGAATCAAACTACTGGGAGGGCTGTGTGCCTTCCTTAGGGATACTTCCTCTCCCTGCTTTTTCCATCTTCCTGGAAGCTGCCCACATCTCTGGGCTTCTGGCCCCCTTTCATCTTCAGAGTCAGCAATCCAGACAGGTATGATAGCACATGTCTGTAATACCCATACTTGGGAAACCGAGGCAGGAGAATTGCCATGAGTTGGAGGCCAACCTGGGCTACATAGTGAATTCAAGTCCAGTCTGAAGTAAATACACAGCAAGACTCTGTCTTATAAAAATACACACCAGGTTGGCAAAGACTTTGAAAACTGTCAGGCACAAGGGCACACATCTTTAATCTCAGCTACTTTAGACTGAGGCAAAAGGATTTTAAGATCTAGCCCAGCCTGGGCAACTCAGTGAGTCTTTGTCTCAAAACAACAACAAAAAACTAATGACTGGGGATGTTGCTCAGTGCAAAGATCATTTGTTTAAATTAACAACCAAGCATCAGGGAGAATGAGCAGCAGAAAAAATCCTCATGCATGGGTAGAAGGTATATAGGTACAACCCCATTAGCCCTTTGGAAAACAAGTTGGTAAGGTCAAACAGCAATTCTATTCCAGTGTGTACAAGAAATTAGTACATATGTGCAACAGGAGACACAGGATATTAGTAGTAAACCAGTCATGGTATACACACCTGTAGTCCCAGCATTTGAGAGGCTGAGACAGGAGGATTGCCCTGAGTTAGAGGCCAGCCTGTATTACGTAGTGAGTTCAAGGCCAGCCAGAACTGAATAGTGATGCCGTCTCAAAAAAACAAACAAACAAAAAAAAGCCCCTCAAAAAAATTCAAAAAAAAATCAAACAGAAAAATAAATGGGTTAAAGAGTCAAAAATGGCCTATTACATAGCAAGATTGAAAGCAAGTACAGCTGTACATATGAACTGTTACACAGTATGTCTCTCTTTTGTTTTATTTTATTTTGTTGGCAATGCTAAAATTGAACACAGAACCTTCACACTGAGCCACATTCTCCATTTTTTAATTTTTTTCTATTTTGAGACAGGGACTAAGTTGCTAAATGATCAGGCTGGACTTGAATTTGTGATTCTCCTGCCTCAGTCTCCCAGAGTGCTGACATTACAGGTTTGCATTACCACATCCACCTCAGTGTCTTGTTTCTATGCAACATTTCCCAAAGGTCAGCATGCACACAAATTTAACTTGTTAAAAATGCAGATTCATAAAAAAAAAAAGCAGACTCAGATACAGTAGATCAGAAATAGGGCCTAATATTTCTGTCTACAGTGTATTTAGGGATGTATGTATAATGTTAAAATTCTCTTTAAACGCTGGGGATTTAGCTCAGCGGCATAAGCGCCTGCCTTGCAAGCAGGCAGTCCTGAGTTGGATCCCCGGTACTGATAAAAAGGAAAAAGACAAAAAAAAAAAAAATTCTCTTTAAACAAAAGAAAATAATCAACAATATAGTGGGTGAAACAGGTAGGTCTTGGTGATGTGTACTTAAACTGTTGGGTTCATGAGTATTCGTTATGCATAATAACTTACATGTAAGGGATGGGGATTTAGCTCAGTGGCCTAAGTACCTGCCTTGCAAAACAGGCAGTCGTTCAAATACCAACGCTGTTCAAAAAAAAAAAAAAAAAACAGGCAGTCGTGAGTTCGATCCCTGGTACCGATAAAAATGAAAAAAAGACAAAAAAAAAAAACTTACATGTTACATATGTATTATTTTCCAGATACAAACACTATATTTAAAGACAATGAAAAGCACAAAACAAAAATGATCCGAAAAGAAGCTAGGTGGCGTCAAAGTCCTGGCTAAAAAAGGAATCCATCCGGCAGCGCCGCACTCAGATGTGATTGTTAGATCGGACCAGTCCAGGCAGCTTTAACTCATTGCTCACTGTCCAAAAAGCCACTCCTGTGGGGCTAATTCCTCTAAACCCAGACTAAAGTGTTAGGGCTTGCAGGTGCAGTCCAAGTTTTCTAAGTTTCTCAAATTCGCTGGATTTCATGAGTGACGTGACACTTTTATTAAAAATACCTATCCTCATCTCAGTGGAAGAGCACTTGCTTAACATGTTCGAGGCCCTGGGTTCAACCCCAGTACCACGAAAAACAAAAATATTTCCAGAGGGTTTTCTAGCGGATCCGTAGGCAGTGACCCTGGAATCATCAGTTGCAGATTCGGGGCAGCCCAGCCTCCCTAGCAGGCGCAATCAATCTCGCCTGGGTTGAGGACCTGACGGTGGAGGGAGACAGGACCATTCGGTCAGCCCTGGGACCCCTGCCCGAGAAAGGTCTTCACGAGGAAGGAGCCTAACGGACCACTGGCAAAGGTAACCCAGATGAGAAGTGCCTGGCAGTCACCTTTCTTCCCCGGGACTGACTTTTTTAGCTCTTCAGGGGCGACGGTCTTGAGAGTTTCCAAAAGGTAGAGCTTTAAAGTAAACCACAGGACGTTGGACGCTCTCTCAGTTGCTAGGAAACGGGCAGGGCCGCTCTGCGACCGCCCAGCCGGTTCGCCTCTTCTCCTCCCTGAAAGAAGAGGGAGTAGGAGAAAAACGCAAAACATTAACAGGAGGGCGTAGTCACTTTTTAGCCAATGGAAGAGCGGGGCGGGAGTGGTTAAATGCCCAATCTCATTGGTCCATGACCTCCGGGACCACCCAATCTTGGTGTGCAGAGGCGGAAGACACGTGGGCGTTTGAAGACAGCGGCAGCTTCCGGGGCGTTTGTTCTGCAGCTGCCATCATGGTGCGGAAGCTGAAGTTCCACGAGCAGAAGCTGCTGAAGCAAGTGGATTTCCTGAACTGGGAGGTCACCGACCACAACCTCCACGAACTACGCGTGCTGCGGCGCTACCGGTTGCAGCGGCGCGAGGACTACACGAAGTACAACCAGCTGAGTCGGGCGGTGCGCGAGCTGGCGCGGCGACTGCGCGATCTGCCCGAGCGCGACCCGTTCCGTGTGCGCGCCTCCGCCGCGCTGCTAAACAAGCTCTATGCTCTGGGCTTGGTGCCCACGCGCGGCTCACTGGAGCTCTGCGATTTCGTTACGGCCTCGTCCTTCTGCCGCCGCCGCCTGCCCACGGTGCTTCTCAAGTTGCGCATGGCGCAGCATCTCCAGGCCGCTGTGGCCTTTGTGGAGCAGGGCCACGTGCGCGTGGGCCCGGACGTGGTGACCGACCCGGCCTTCCTTGTTACCCGCAGCATGGAAGACTTTGTCACCTGGGTGGACTCATCCAAGATCAAGCGACACGTGCTGGAGTACAATGAGGAGCGTGATGACTTTGATCTGGATGCCTAGTGACTCTCCCTATTGCTCCAGCTGTCTCTTCATGTTGGGAAACGCCTGACTGGCGATCAGAGAGTGCTCTAGACAAGTGTCCCATAGTTGAGGATTTTCAAGAACTTGCCGCAACTGCAGGTCACAAGCCGAGGTATGAAGGGTCGCTCCTGTTCGCCAGGGAATTTTCACAGAACTGACTACTTAGAAGATAGGAAGCGGTTTTTTGCTCCCTGGAGATTGTCAGCCTCCAGTACCAGAAGACATTGCTGTGTAGAAGCAGGAACGTTACTCTTCCTGTTTCCATTATCATCTTGTGGCAGGAACAGTTTCTTCAATTTATTTAAGTCGAATACTTGCTTCTGATCGTAAGCCGTGATGGATGGACAGTTTGGGCCCAAGTTGCCATTAAAGTGGATGAAACGTTCGTGGTAAGGGTTCCTCCCGTATTTAAAGGAACGCTTTCCTGATACAAATAAATGGCCCACCCGCTTTGTAAATGTAGCTTTTTATTTGTCTGGTTTTATTACAGAGATTCATGTCTATATCTTTTCCTGGCTCAGGAACCCAGAGGGAGTCGTGGGATCAGCAGTGACCCCTCTGTGGGTGAGGTCTGCCACGGGGACCATACATGGAGGCTGTAGAATGCTGCACAGTGCTGAGCAAATTTATCTCTTTACCCATCCCTTTACTGGAATGAGTGTTTTGGCCAAGCTCTTCCCTACAGGACTTCCTGTTGATATTCCAGTCCCATAAATACTGTGTTAGAGGAGCGAGTGTTTGCTTGCCTAAGGAAATAATCACTTTACAGCTTGGCCATCTAGTGGTTAGAAGTGGCCCAGGAGGTTCCAGGAAACAGATGTTCTTAGAAATAGTAGAGGAATCTGGGCATGTGGGAGGTCCTGGAGTCCATGTCTCCCACGCAAAAAAGAAGTGGAAGAGAATTAAAAAGAGAGGGTAGAGAAAATATCGACTTTTACCCCCCAGACATTTATTTATTTATTTGAGACAGGATCTTGCTATGTATTCCAAGCTGGCCTGGATCTCATGTAGGTCAGGCTGGCATAGAACTCGATACTCTCTTGCCTCAGCTTCCTGGGTACTGGAATTTCAGGCATGTATCACCACACCTGGCTTACTCCAGATTTCTATAAACCAGGTGTGGTGATTCACACCTGTAATCCTGGCACTCTAGGAGGCTGAGGCATGATGATGGCAAGTTTGAGCCCCAACCTGGTAGCAACATCGTTGCAAGGCCTTGTCTCAGAAATAGAAAAGGGCTGGGAATATAGATTAGTGTGAAGGCCCTGGGTTCAATCCCTTTTACAACTAAAAAGGGAAACTAGAAAGCTGTGGCGGTGAATTGGCTTTTAGATATGATTTCTCTGCTTCCCCAAGCGTGAGACAGCATTTGGAGTAGAAATGATAAAGAGGTGCCATGGGGTAATAATGGCAAATGCTTCTGTATCTTAGGGACAGTTGTGTGACGCATGTATTAATCTATGCGACGCTCCCTCAACAAGAAGTGGAGAAGCCAATTATTCTTCACTTTACAGATGAGGGAATTAAGGCAGAGATAGGTGAAATTACTCGGTGTTGTATTGCCAGTTGGTGGATGGCATCATGTCCCTTTTAAGAGATTTCTGCATACCAGCCCTTAGGGGTGTCTTGAGTTTAGATCTCAGAATTTGAGTTTACAAGTAGCAGGGAAAAGCAGCAACACTAGACAGTGTGATTGGCCTTGTCAGAGTGCCAGATGAGATGTTGAGTGGACAGCAAGCATGGAACTGGGAAAGCTTTAGGGAAGAATCTGCCATTTACTCTTTCAACAAACTATATAAGGTAAGTGGTGGTATCCATATTTGTCAGTTTGTGAAATGAGACAAGAGTGCATCCAAAGCTAGAGTTTAAATCCAGGTTCCTGAGACCTCAAAGGCCATGTTTTTTTCGGTACCATCTATCTGCTTAGTAGTGAGGGAGAGAGAGCTCTAACCCCTAGCTTTGGTAGCTGGGCACAGTCTGCCCATTTGAAGGAGCACCCAGATGCATAGATTTCAGGGAAGAGTAAGGTGGTTGTGGGAGGCAGGGCCCTTCTGGACCTCAGTGCTCATCACACCTGGAAAGGCAAGGCAACTAGATGGGCACCTTGGGGCAGTTGAAGCTGGTACCTGTGATCCAAGGAGATGCTCCCTCTTTACCTTGCCTTGAAAGAAACTGAGTCTAGTGTCTTCCCAAGAGTTAAAAAGTGAGCCAAGTATAATAGCACAGGACTGTAATTCCAGCACTTGAGAGGCTGAGGCAGGAGGATTGCCATGAGTTCCAGGCCAGCCTAGGCTACTTAGTCAATTAAGTCCAGCCTGAATTACATAGTAAGATCCTGTCTCAAATAAAGGAAAACAAACAAATTAAAAGCATACCACAGTGATACAAGCATACCCATGTTTATAGCTGCACAGTTCATAATAGCTAAATCTTGGAAATAATCCATATGCCATCAACCAATGAATGGATAAAGAAAATGGTATTTGTATGCAATGGAGTATTACCCTGCCATAAATAAGAATTAACTTGAGATAGTTATGGGTAAATGGATGCACCTTGAGACTATAATTTTAAGTGAAATAAAAAGACACATAAGTTTAAATCTCTCATTTATTTTGTGCAAGAAACCCAAAGTGTAAAGAGCATAATGGAGGATAAATGTTGGAAAGTAGAAAGAATACATTCAAGTGGGAAAGGGAACAGGGAGGTTGGAGAGGGATGGGAAGGAATGGAAAAGTTAAAAAATAGAAGGAATAAATGGAAACAAAGCTTTTGTAGGGCAACCCATTGGAGAGCTGCTCCTTGTCTGAATTCCTATTACCCAATAAATTTTCCTACTCAGTCATCCCTTGGAATTAATTATTTTGGGAAACATGAAGTTATTGTATCTGACATGTACCGATGGATGTATTTTTCGCCTCTGTCACTTGCTTGGTGCAGGACAGCAGCTCTAGTTCCTCTTATGGGCAGAGGGGATGCTACGTCATGATCTCAGGCTGTCTCAAGGCATTTTAGAGAAATAGCCACATGCAGCCAAGCTTTGTGTCTGACCTGATGTCTTATCACTGTGGAGATTGGTTAATGTTTGCACTGCATTGTTATGGAAAGCAGACCCCTGGCCTCTACCTGCTGCCCGCCAAGAACCCAGGACATCTAAATGGGTAGGGAGGTCACCCCACTCTCTAGGCTGTGCTTATTCTTCACGCCCATATAGTGATTTATGACTTGCTTTGTTCTTGGGCTATAAAATTTTGTGTAAACTCTACATACCATTCAGAGTCTCTTGAGTTCTTGTATGTAGCCAGGCTGTGGTCACTTTTTTTTCTTTTTTTTTTTTTGGTACTGGAAATTGAATTCAAGACCTTGCGTTTGGCAGGCAGGTGCTGTGCCACTGAGCTGTATCCCCAGCCTAGTCACTTCTGTTTGACCTAGAAAAAATGATTTTTTATTTTCTTTGAAAAAAAAAAAAAAAAACTTGTAAATGAAGAGAAAGGTTGAAGAGAGGGGAGGGGAATGAGAAAAAAAAAAAGAAGGTATATTATATACAGGTATAAATTCCCTATTATATACAGGTATAAATGTGATCAATATATATGACAAATATGTACCCAAAAAAATGGTGGGGCACTGGCTGGTGGGGCACTCCTGTAATGCCAGCACTCAGGAGGCTGACACTGCAGGATCACCATGAGTTTGAGGGCATCCAGAACTACTTAGTGAGACCGTTTCAAAAGGAAAAGAAAAAAAAAAAAAAAAAACTGGCTCTAGGAATTGGGAGGAAAATACAAGATAGAAAAGCTTCTTTCAGAAAAATCATAAAATGACTTCTGACAAACTTTTTTTCTCAGTGCTGGTGATTGAACCCAGGTTGTTTGTACCCAACTGCATCCCTAGCCCTTTATTTATATTTTATATTATGAAAGCATCTTTCCAGATTGCTACTTTACCCAGTAAAATTGCAGTCCTCCAAAGTGCTGGGATTGCAAGCATGTACCACCATGCCCAGCAGATTGACCATAAACTCTTTAACTACAAATTTGGGTTTAAAAAATGTGATTTAGGGTCATGTGTGGTGACGCATGCTTGTAATCCAGCACTTAGAAGGCTGAGACAGGAGGATCACTGTGAGTTCGGGCCAGCCTGGGCTATACAGTGAGACCCTGTTTCAAAATAAGCAAAATAATTGGGTTTTGGAATATAACTCAGTAGTAGACCAATTGTTTAGTATGCACAAGTGCTTGGGTTTAGTCCCCAACACAGCAGGGAAGGAAAAGAAAGAAAAAGTAAAAAAGAAGATGGGAAGTAAAAAAAAAAAAAAAAAAAATGGTGATACATTAAAAATTGTGGAGAGGGGCTGGAGATTTAGCTCAGCGGCATAAGCACCTGCCTTGCAAGCATGTGGTCGTGAGTTTGATCCCTGGTACTGATAAAAAGTTAAAAAAAAATTGTGGAGAATTAGTCAGACATGATGCCACATACCTGCAATCCCAGCTACTTGGGAAGTTGAGACAGGAGCCTCACAAATTTGAGACCAACCTGGGCAACTCAGACCCTGTCTCAAAATAAAAAAATGGTTGGAGGGCCAGGAATATAGTTCAGTGGCAAAGCACCTTCCTGGTAAGTGCGAGGACATGAGTGTGATCCCAATTTCCAAAAATAAGAGGGCTAGAGATACAGCTCAGTGGTAGAGTGGTAGAGTACTTTTGCTTAACATACACAAGGACCTACCTCAATCCCAAACTCCCAAACATGGCCACAAAAAAAGGACTAAATTAGTTCCTACAAAGTTGGGAGTGGTGGCACACACTTGTAATCCCAGCATTTGGAAGGCTGAGGCAAGAGGATCACTGCAAGATTGAGGCTGGCCTGGCCTACAAGTACACTTAGATGAGCTCCAGGAAAATTGTAAGAGTTTAAAGCTTACCACTTTCATCAGGCCAAAAAAATATAGGGAATGTCTTGGGTATAGCTATTGTATCTATTGTTCACCCTTTTCTGGAGAACTGTCTGCCCTGCCTTGAGTCTCAGTACCAAAGAGGTCACATGCCTCTATCAGCATTCACCTGCAGCCAGTGAAAAACAAATGTGAAATCTGGCTGGGCATGGTGTTACACACCTATAATCCTAGCACTCTGGGAAACTCAGGCAGGAGGATCACAAATTTAAGCCCATCATAGAAAATTTAGCAGTTTTGCAAGCCTGTCTCAAAAATAAAAAAGGGAATACAGTTCAATGCAAAGGCCTTGGACTCAATCCTAGATGCTACTGCACACACACATATGTAAAACCAACAACTTTGATTCATGGTAGTACTATGGCACAATGCATAGCAGGTCAAACTGTAACTGGATCTTACCTGAACCCACACCCTAGCTCCCATCTTTTTCTTCCCTACCCTGCTTCCCTTATCCCTCAGAGATTTTTCCTGCCCAGCACTCCCTGTATAAATCACATGTACTAAAAATTCCTGCCTCTGGCTCCATTTCTAGAGAACCAACCTAAAATAGAACAGGACAAGGAAATAGGATGTGAAGACTAAGGGAGGTAAAAACTGGACTCCCTACCTCTCCATTTGTGCAAGACATATAGCACATGTTCACCAAAAATAAGGTTGTCACCATGATATCATTAAGCCCTCAAGTAAGGTTTCACCAAATGGATGTGTGCAGGTCCCTGCCTAGTGACCTCCAAGCCATTGATTAAGGGTCAGGAGAATCAAAACTGGAAAAGCAGCCAGAACTGGGACCCTGCAGGGAAAGCAGCTCCTGGCCTGCACTGCGCCTCCTGCCTGCTTTCCCTGGCTTGCCTGCCCCAGCTGTGTGTATGGGGTCGAACAAGCCAGGGGAATAGTCCTGAAAGGGAGGAGGAGAGCTCAGGCCTCTGCTACATGTGGTTGGGAAATATGCAGTATGCTTGTGTTAAATTATATTATAGTAAGAAACACATTGCTGTTAATTCCTACCAAAATACTTTTAATTGCTTGGAACACATTTATGCCATTGCTTTTGCCACCGAATGAAGCAGTTCCTGTCTTTAGTTTTGCTGTCCTGCTGCCTCAATAGCCTGAATTGATTCAAAATGTTTTTCTTTCATAGTTATTTTGATTTGAGGAAAAGCCAGAAGTCACCTTTTCTGGTGAATAAGGGGGATGAGAATATATCGTCATGTTTTTACAAAGCCTATTTTTCTATTGGCTAGTATTTGGCAGCAGTCACTATATTTTTGATGATGCCTGATAAAAGAGAACTTCAAAAAGTGCTTCAGAACGTGGCAAGAACCACACATGCACAGTCGTGAGTTCGATCCCTGGTACCAGTAAAAACGAAAAAGACAAAAAAAAAAAAAAAAAAAAAAAAAACCACACATGTTGGCATGTACCTATAATCCCAGTATTTGAGAGGCTGACACTAGAAAATTGCTAAATTCAAGGCCAGCCTGCGCTACGTAGTGAGACACTGCCTGAAGACAAAGGAAAACAAGTGGAAAAGGTCTATGGCTATTCCACCCACAGTGCACAGTGCATCTCATCAGAAAGTGGCAAGAACGGACATGTTCTAAGTAAGCAAGGGGAAAAATTTTGAGGGAGGGCAATAATAATAATAAGTCTTTTAAATTCAGTACAGTTTTAAAATTAATTTTTTTGTCTTTTTGAAACAAGAGTTCACTATGCAGTTCAGGCTGGCCTTGAATTACTTTGTAGCCTAGGCTGGCCTCAAACTCAGTGATCTTCCTGCCTTAGCCTCCCAAGTGCTAGGATTTCAGGTGTGCACCACTATGTCTGGCTTCAGTTTTATTTTTAGTTATATATTATTTTGGTTGTTTCCACAGAGTCTTGCTCTGTAGTTCAGACTAACTTTGAACTATGTAGCCCAGACTGGCCTTGAATTCACTGTGATCTTCCTGCCTCAGCATCCTGAGTGCTGGAATTACAGCTCGGTGCCACCAGGCTTGGCCTCCAGCTGCTGTTTTTGTTTCTTCCTAGTGATATGGGATGTTATTCAGCTAGGTATGAGTGAAGGTCCTGGATCTTTCTCCTGGACATTTATATGTGGATTTATGGGCCTTTTTTCTCCATTTCAATGTTTTCCTCCAATATTGTAGGTCTTGTTTTTTTTTTTTCTGTGCAGTTTTATCAACATAGGCATCTAATAAATAGCAATCCATGCTTTTTACATCTCATCCCTGTCCTACAGAGGCTGTACCAGAGTTTTACGGTGACTTCCAAATCCCTGATGCTGAGCTCCAGTCCTGAAAGCGTGGTTCACCTAATGCTACCCTTGGATTGGGTGCTGACCACTTGAATGAAAGCGAGGCAGGTACCAACACTGCCAAACCATAGTAAGGAAGAGAAACTCCCACCTCAACAAAAGGGCTGTGATCAATTGTAAGGGCGAACGGGGAAGAAACGTCTGATAGTCCGAAACTTGGGGTCTAATGAGAGTCATCCAGGCCAATGGCACTACCCTGAGGAAAGCACATACATACACAGACAGTGGACGCTGGGGCTGGAGAGCCGACAATGCCCAGCCATAAGCTCGCAGCTCCTCCTGTTGGTGAGAGGAGGCCTAAGAATGTGGCCTACGCCTGGCCAAGTCATGCCGGGGGAGGGCCCGTGGCAAAGCCAAAGCAGGTTCAGCCCCACCCTCGTAGGGAGAAAAAGAGTGGCAGGTGGAAATTCACCTCCCGGCATGCCCTGCGGCTGAAGGAACCGGAAATTGCCTAGCCAGCCAGACTGAGGGGGCGGGCCTGGCCCTCTCCGGGTATCTTGATTGGGCGTCCTCCTGAACCGGGCAGCTGATTGGTGGATTCCCGAGGCGGCGGCGGCGGCGGCGGCGCGCACAACTGTTGTCAGTCGGGTGAGTCCTGAGTTTGTGCGTGGGCCTCGTCAGCTCCTCAGTTGCCCTGCGGTTTTGGGTTGGGATTCCCCCCCCCACACGTTTGACTTACCACTCTGGTCTCTTACGGTGTCACTTCGAGGGACAGGTCCAGGCTGAGGCCTCCCCTTTGCTGTCTTGTGTTCCGGGCTGTCTTGCTAAAGCCCCTATGGAACACGTGGTGTCGGGATCTAAATGGAGAAGACCCGGTCGCTGGGAAAGCTCAGGAACTGGGCGAGAGAACGGCGGAGTCATGCGTGGTCCCTGGGGAGGGGCCGGGCAGATTGGGGCGTTAGGGTTGGAAGGTGGGGTGGGGGTGACTGTACCTAGCTAATGTCCGAACTCTGGGGCACAGTTGCATCTTGGGAGTGACAGCAGGAGCCAACGGTTCGTACCTTAAGGAAGGGCCAGAGAGCCGCCCCCAGGCCAGGATGGCAGTGGTGCTTGGCACTGCCGGAGCCAGCACCAAGATGAAACATGACAAAGTCTAATAAAGCTGTTTGAATTTGGTCTTTACGTTGATGAACGAGTGACAGTGTGTAAAACTTTTATTAGCCAGATATAGTGGTGCACGCCTGTTATCCCAGCACTCTGGGAGCTAGGAGGAGGATCACAAGTTCCAGCCCAACCTGAGCAGTTTAGCAATTAAAAAATCCCTGTCTCAAAATTTAAAAAATGGAAAGGGTAGGCCTCGTGGTCCAAGTCTTTAATCCCAGCACTTAAGAGGCTGAGGCAGACGGACCACTGCAAGACTTAAAGGTCATCCTGGGGTATATAGTGAACTAAAGACTAGCCCAAACTGCTTAATGAGACCTGGTCTCAAATAAATTAAGAATTGGGGATGGAGTTCAGTGTGAAGGCCTTGGGTTTAACTTTTTCATTGAAATTTTCAAATGTGCACAAAAAATATGAGAAAGTATAAAAAAGTAGATTGCTATTATGGGTGTGTGGCATTCCATTACAGATCCCCCTCCCCTCCACCTCAACATTATCCACTAAGTGGTTGCTTCTGGTTCCATTGCAGTTACTTTAAGACACCTCAAATTCACACTAATTATTTGTTGATCTTACCAACTAAAGTTCCCTTCATGTTTAAAGGATATGGAAATTCACTTTTGCAAAATGAAAGGAGTTCTGGAGATTAGCTGCACAGCAGTGTGAATTTTAAGAATACAGAACTGTACACTTAAAAATGGGTGAGGTGGGCTGGGCTTTCCCAACTACTGTACTGAGGGGCCAACTTGGGTGATTGCAAGTTTAAGCCCAGCTTGGGCAATCTTAGCAAGATGCTGTACCAAATAAGAAGACAAAAAAAGGCAGAGTCTTTGCCTGATAACAAACACCTATAATTCCAACACTCAGGAGGCTGAGGCAGGAGGATCATGAGTTCAAGATCAGCCTGAACTGCACAATGAGACCTGTCTCAAAAAGACAAAAAAGTTACCTAATTTTCAAATTAAGAAAGACATCTGACTTTCAGTGTGCAATGAAAAATAACTCATTGGCTGAGTGGAGGCCTTTGGAATTATATTTCAGCTATGGAGACTCTGGGATACATCTGTTAATAATTCTGGTACCACAGCACTGGGACCTCGCCCTGCCTCTGATTTAGGTTAGAAGGGAGGCTTGGTCTAACCCAGCTGTGGGACTTTTGAGTGTTTGATTCTTGTAGTCTGAGGTGTATATTCGGTCCTGAGAAAATACCTGTGCCACCTCATGCCTTCAGTCACAGTAGTGTGGTAAAGTGTGACTTAATTCCTCTTTCCACTCCCACTTAGGGCCCACCAGGGTGATCTGTCTCCCGAAGACATCTACTTCCTGTTTGCCTCCTGTGCTACACATCAGTCTTCCTGCATCTGGAGTCCTGGCCTTTAGATAATCTAATCTTCTGTACCCTGGCTCTTTTCCTTTTTTTTGTTTTTTTTTGTTTTTTTTTTTTTTGGTCTTCTTCCTTTTTATTGGTACTGGGGATCGAACTCACGACTGCCTGCTTGCAAGGCAGGCTCTTATGCCTGCTGAGCTAAATCCATAGCCCCTACGCTGGCTCTTTTCCATGTGAGCCTCACGGGGGAGCCCTGGAACCTGCCCCCTTTAATTAGAACTATACAGTGAGACAGTAACTGTTGAGTTTGGGGATTTTGGCACTTGGGTGTGTGTGTGTGTGTGTGTGTGTGTGTGTGTGTGTGTGTGTTTGTGTGCATGTGTGTACATGACACATCTTAATTCTTTTTTTATGTCCCCCTCCTCCTGTCTCTTGTTCTTCTTAGCACTTGTAAAAGATCTGTGTCCCTGTTTCCTAGTTTCTTATTTTGCTCTTTATATTTTTTGGATTTCAAATGTGACAGAGACCATGCACTTTTTAAGCTTTCACTTCTGATTTATTTCACTTAACATTATGATCTCAAGGTGCATCCATTTTCCTATAAATAACTCAAATGTATACTACTTTATGAGAGAATAATACTCCATTTTGCATAAAACCACATTTTCTTTATCCATCTGTTGACAGACATATAGGCTACTTCCAGGCTTTAGCTATTATGACTTATGCTGCTATAGACATGGTTGTATCACTGTAGTATGCTTTTGACTCTTTCAGGAAGATGCCTAGCAGGGAAATACCTTGGTCAAATAATATTTCTTTTTCTTTTTTTTTTTTTTTAGGAATGCCGATGCTGATATATATAGTGGTTGGACTAGTTTACATTCTCACCAACAATGTAAAAGGGTTTTTTTTTCCCCACAGCCTCATCAGCATTTGTTATTATTTGATTTCTTAATGGTGGATGTTCTTTCTGGAGTATAGTGGAATCTTAGTGTTTTAATATGTATTTCTGTAATGGCCAGAGATGTTTAACATTTTCTCGTGTATTTATTGGTCATTTGTACTTCTGAGAAATGTCTATTCATTTCAGTTCCCCATTTTCTTCTCCCACTTTTCTCTCCTCCTCCTCTCTTCTTCCTATTTTTCTTCTTCCTCTCCTCCTCCTCCTTTCTTTTTTTCTGTTTGTTTGCTTTTGGTGGTGCTGAGGCTCAAATCCAGGGCCTTGTACTTGCTGAGCAGGCACTCTGCCTCTAAGCCACACCTTTGGCCCTCAGTTGTGCATTTTTGATCAGGTCTTTTATTTTTATTTTATAGGATGTCTAATTATTTTGAGTTCTTTATGTATTTTAGATATTAGTCATCTGTCTGAAGAATAGCTAGCAAAATTTTTTTTCCCGTTTTGTAGATTGTCTCTTCACTGTGTTGGTTGTTTCCTTCGCTGGACAGACACCTTTTAATTTGTTATGATTCCATTTGTTGATGCTTAATGTTATTTCTTAGGCAACTGGGATTCTGATGTAACCATAAGAAACAACATCAAAGAGGCTATCTTCTTTCAGCATGCATTTTTTGGCTCCCCTGTCAAAGATCAGATGCTGAATGTACCTGGGTTTTTTTCTCCATCTTTTATTCTGTTCCATTGATCCATATTCCTGCTTTTGTGCCAATATGGAACTAAGTTTCTTTAAGTTGGCATTTATTACAGAATTTAACAACAATTACATACAATTTGCATGAGAGAGTTTTATTACTTTGATGTGTGGGTATGGTTTTTTGAGACAGTCTCACTATGGAGTCCAGGCTGGCTTTTAACTCACTGTGTAGCCCAGGCTGGCCTCAATCTTCAGCAATTTTCCTGCCTCAGCCTCCTGAGTGCTGGGATTACAGATGGATGCTATCATGCCCAGCGAAAGTTTTGTTACTGAGGGATGGCTATTTTGAACTATTTCAAAAAATGAGCTGGGCATGGTGGCACACTCCTGTAATCTCAGTACTTGGGAGGCTGAGGTAGGCAGATTGTGGCAAGTTCGAGACCAGCCTGGGCTATAAAGTGAGCCTAAGGCCAGCCTGAACTGCATAGTGAGACCCTGTCTCTAAAAAGACTGGAAAAAAAAAAAAAAAAAAAAAAGACATGCTCATGTCAATGGGCATCAGTGGTAGTAAAGGATGGTGATAAAGGATGATTGGCACATGAGCCAAAAAAGCCTCATCTTAAAAACATAAATGACAGGGCTTATGGAGATGGGAAACAAGCAGATTCAACCAAGGCTTAGATTTGTTTAGTGATTGATGGCTGGTATGTAATTCTTATACTCAAAACTGTCAAATTAGGGCTGGGGATATTGGTCAGTGGCATAGCACCTACCTGGCAAGTGTCAGGTCCTGAGTTCGATTCCTGGTTCCAAAAAAGAAAATAGCTTTAAAAAATGCCAAGAAAAAGCCCCTTAAAAAAGAACTATCAGGAGCCAGGGATTTAGCTCAGTGGCATAAGCTTGTGCCTGGCAAGCACAAGGTCATGAGTTCAATCCCCGGTTTAAAAAAAAAAAGAATAAAAACAAAATATATTAATGGTTAATATCAAATTAACCATTACTGAAATATCATTATAAATTAAAACAATATTGCTAAAATGTAGCTCATTTACTCTTTAACTTCCTTTTTTGTCCTGGAGACAATAGTGGGGTTTTTAGGAAGGTGGCCATCATGTTACATCATAATTGCCTATACACAAGAGATGACACAAATGAATGAACCATTTTCCTATGTTTTTTTTTTTTTGGTCTTTTTTCATTTTTATCGGTACTGGGGATCGAACTCACAACCGCCTGCTTACAAGGCAGGTGCTTATGCCGCTGAGCTAAACCCCCAGCCCCTTTTTTCCTATGTTTTTGCTTTGCAGGGAAGATGGAGGAGCTGAGTCAAGCCCTGGCTGGTAGCTTCTCTGTGTCCCAAGATCTGAACAGCACGGCCACCCCCCACCCCCGCCTGTCCCAGTACAAGTCCAAGTATAGCTCTTTGGAACAGAGTGAGCGGCGGCGCCGGTTACTAGAGCTGCAGAAATCGTAAGCATGCTTTAACTCTCCGGCTTCTTTCTCAGGCTGGGGGGTGGGAGGCATCAGGGATCTAGGCTGTCTGCAGAATGTCTCCCAGGAGATCTTAGTAGACTGAGCTTCCTGTCCTCAGGGTTGGGAGGATAAATACTGGAAGAGGTCACTATCCTTTATCCTATATCCCCAGTTTAGGACAAGAAGAGGTAATAGGAAGAGACTAAAGTTTGAAAGCAAAAACTCAATTATTTGGTAAGAATGTGCTATTTTTCCTGACAACAGAACTGAGCTTTGCAGTTTAGGGACTTGTGAACACCACGCCTAGACTTCCATCCCCACATTCCCAGGTCCCTGATGTGTGGCTTCTCCCACACGCTGAGTCCTGGAATCCGTGTGGTCTTCCCGGGTCTTTGGCCCACGTGTTTCTCTGGAGCCCTTGGGAGCTGACTCGGAGGAAGTCCCTTCCCTTCTTCATTCTACTGCCAGAAAAGCAGCCAGAAAAGAGCCACACCGGAGCCTTTGAAACTGGGCTGCTCGGAAGACATGGCCTGTCCTTTTATTCTGAGTGCAGTGCGGGCTTCTTTGGGTTTATGGAGTAAAGAACTAGGGATGAGGAGAAACTGTTAGAGCTGCAGTTCCCACTGCAGTGTCTGCCTTCACCCAGTGCTGCATCATCAGATGGGTTAACAGATCCTCCCTGGGGCCTCGGGTTGCTAGTAGATCACATTGTCAGGCCACTCTTCTCTTTTTCTTCCTTTTTTTCATTGTGATTTATTATTTTGGAGTATATAATACATTCATGTGGCACAAAATATGTGGAAGAGGATATGCTGAAAAATCTCCCTCTCTGCTCCATCCCTGTTCACCCAGCTCCTGTGCTGAGTTACTAGCTCCTTACGTACCTTTTTGAGGGTATTCTGTACAGAAATGGTTGGTGTGTGGAGTTGTATGGATAGATGACCTTTCTCAATTTTTATTTTCAGCAGTATTGGGGACTAATCCTGGGGCCTTGTGCATAATAGGCAAGTGTTCTACCCTGAGCTACATCCCTAGCTTGGCAGTTGTTCCATTTTTTTTTTTTTTTTTAAACAACAAAAACAACAGCATAAGCTGAGCATTGTGGTGCATACCTGTAAATCCAGTACTCAGGAAGCTGAGGCAGGAGGATCCTTGGAAGTTCAAGACCAGCCTGAGCTACAGAGTGAGCTCAAGGCCAGCCTGAACTGCATATTGAGACTCTGTCTCAGTATTTTTATTTTTGTCTTTTTTTATCTAAAATACAAAAATAAAAATAAAAAAGCATAAGAATCAGTATACACAGTGTTTTTTTGGAAAGTTTTTGGATTAGTTCATAAAGTGCCGCATTAGCCCTTCTTTCTGGTCCCATTGAAGGAAAAGTTTACAGTAACCCACCTAGGTCCCTACTGAGGGATATGTGGCCTTGTCCTTCTGTGGTCACCAGCATAGCTTGGGAAATACCCCAGACACATATCCTCTTGCACATGTGCACGGGCACCAGCTCGCTTTCAATCTTGACAGAACAGACTACCGAGCACTTTGCATGGCTGTGCAGGAGCGTGTATGTTTAAGAACAATCCACCTGTGTTGGTTTCTCAGCTGTGGTGGTCCAATTCCTGCCTCCCTTTCAGAATCTAGTGTAGGCGGTTATGTGGTATTTCCAAATCAGTTTGAAACACTTAATTTTCAAGAGGTTCATTTTCTTGCCTTACAATTTCCCCAACTTTGTAGAATATGTAATTTTAAGAAAGAAAAGACAGTAAAGGGAAACAAATAGGTAAACACTATTAAATCATAAAAGACATGGCCTTCCGCAAGAGTTAGACAGAAAGGAAGAAGGACCTGGCCTCTCAGAACACTGTCTGAAGTAGAAAGCTCAGCACTGTCTCACTTTAGACTTCTCTCTGTGTCTTGGGGCTTCCTCATTCCCTGCCAGGGCCTTTGGAATGTAGTGTCTGCCAGGCAGAAAATGAGATCTTACCTTGGCTGGGTGGCTGGGCAAATGTCAGCTCAGTGGCCTGGCTAGCAAGCCTGGGAAATTCCTCTCAATGTCTTGCTCTGTACATTCTTAAGGAATTGAGGAAGGCTGAGTATGTTTGCGAGGTTTCTTATGTAGGGACCATGAGGCAGCCATCACTAGCTGTGCAAAGGAAATTCTGTCACATGGTGCCCCCACGGGATCTGCCAAACTGCTCCCAGATTTGGAGCCTTCGGGTTCCATGAACTCTGGTATCTTTGGATAGATTCAACAGCTTTTTTTGTGCTTTTTTTTCTTCCAGCAAGCGGCTGGATTATGTGAACCATGCCAGAAGGCTGGCTGAAGATGACTGGACAGGGATGGAAAGTGAGGACGAAGACACAAAAGATGACACAGAAATGGACATTGACACTGGCAAGAAGTTACCAAAGCGCTATGCTAATCAGGTGAGTGGGCCAGAGATGACCAGACTGGAATCACCCTTGTTCGACTTGCTTTCATCTGTGATCACAGCCACCAACAGAAAAAAGAAGGATGAGGAGGAGATGGAGGAAGATGTGACTGACCATATGACACAGAGCAGAGAGTGGAGCAGGGAAGGTGGCACAGGGATCACTTTTAGTAGGACTGTGGGGCAGCACATCTGGGCAAAGGAGTCAGAGTGTGTAAGAAGACAGCATTGGGAAATATGAAGGAAGAGCCAGGCATGGGGGTGCCTGTGTGGCTTCCTAAGCTACATAAGGAAAGCGAAAGAGCAGTTGGTGGTTGCATGATTAATGGAAATAGACACTTTCCTAATATCTTTATTAATTAATCAATTTATTTATTTATGTTCTGGAGTACTGAGCACTGAATCTAGGACCTTGTGATCTCTATCCCAGCCCTTTATTTTACTTTATTTTGAGACAGGATCTCAAAAAGTTGCTCAAATTGGCCTTGAACTTACCTACCTCAGCTTCCTGAATAACTGGAATTCGGCATGTGCTACCATGTCCTTGGAACAGCATTTGTAACTGCCATTTGGGAAATGTTGGTGTGACCTGTGCATTTCCAGGGCAGGGCCTTCCTTACCCTGAGGTGTGGCCCTGAACCACTGCTGGTTATTGGAAAGGGCACTATAGGGTCAGTTATCTTTTCCTCTCTTTGTTGATTATCTTGAAACTCAGGTGCTTGGTCTTTGCAGTATTTAAGCATTACCCTGATCATCTTTAGCACTGTGGTTTTGTTTATTAGTTTCGTTTCGTTTTGTTTTTGTTTGTTTTGAGACAAGGTCTTGCTGTGTAGTTCAGGCTGCCCCTGAACTCACTGGCTGGCCCTGGCTGGCCTCGAACTTGCAGTAATCCTCCTGCCTCAATCTCCTGAGTGCTATTTTTTGTTTGCTTTTTGAGACAGGCTATGCTTATATAGTTCAGGGTGGCCTGAACTCATGACTGTCCTGCCTCAGCCTCCTGAGTGGAATTACAGGCGTGCACAACCATGTCTAGCTTAGCGCTGTGTTACTGTGTTCCCAGTTGATGCTGTCTGAGTGGCTGATCGATGTCCCTTCAGATTTGGGGCAAGAATGGATTTTGGTCGTATGCCCTGTTGGAAAGAGGGCCCTGATCGTCGCTTCCAGGGTGAGTTGTGCCTGTTTCCCATGTGCCACAAGCTCGGTCCACGTGTTCCATGTGGGCTTGAGAGAGCCACCTTGAGAGCTGCTACGGGCTAGTAACCCTGCAGAGGAGGACATGAGCAGGCACAGGGGCCAAAGCAGATATAGGAAACTTCATAACAGAGCTTTGTCCCTACAGGGCTCCACCAGTGCCTACACCAAGAGTGGCTACTGCGTCAACAGATTTCCTTCTCTTCTGCCCGGAGGCAACAGACGAAACTCCACCACCGCCAAAGGTACCAGTGTGAGGACCCTGTACACTGTTTTGTCAATCAGTGCAGTGGTCGATGCTTGGCACTGTGCTCAGGCCCCTTTACCAGTGTTCTGTGGAAACTGCAGGGAAACACTATTTGCCTACAGTTGGGGTTTCGGGCTGCACAATAGATGCAGCTGTGCCAGCCATCAATCTCCGGCTCAAAGTCAACACACCATGGACTTCCACGACAAGGGGAGAGATCAGGGATTAGTAAAAGTCCCTGAAAGGTTGTCAAGTGTGGTGCAGTGAGTTGCTGCTGGGACTCCTCCCCAAATCTCCATTTTCCATCATCCTCATCCCAGCCAAGACTCTTGGCTCCTGGCCTAGCTAAGCACTGGGCTGCTGTGTGGTGTGTAAACCACTTATCCATGGCCCTTCTTTTTTCTTTTTCTTTTGAGACAGGGTCTCCAGGTCACCTTGGAATTGTTATATAGCTAAGGCTGGCTTCAAACCATGGATCCTGCTGCCTCAGACACCCAAGTACCAAGATTATAGGCATGTGCTATCACACCTGGCTTGGACTATACCTTCCTTAATGGCAGCAACTACATATAGTTAATTTAACCCATGTAACACAGTGCTTTTGATAAGAGCTTAAAAAGCAATTGTAAGGGGCTGGGGATTTAGCTCAGCGGCATAAGCACCTGCCTTGCAAGCAGGTGGTCGTGAGTTCAATCCCTGGTACCAATAAAAAGAGAAAAAGAAAAAAAAAAAAGCAATTGTAAAGTGGCCAAGAAGTACATGAAAAAATGTTCAACTTCCAGAGGGGCTATCATCAAGAATACAGAAAACAAGCTTGACCTCCTGGTGCACTGGGAAACTGAGGCTGTAAGATCTGAAGTTCAAATCCAGCCTGATAACCTTGCAACTTGGAAAGACCTTGTCTCAAAATACAAGAAAAAAAAGGCCAGGGGTACAGTTCTGTGCAGAGGGCCTTGGTTCAATACCCAACATCACTGCAAAGAAAAAAAGAGAATATAGAAAATAATAAATGTCAGGTGAGGATGCAGAGGAAAAAGGAACCCTTATACACTGTAAATGGGAATGTAAATGAGTATGGTCATTCTGGGCGCCAGTGTGGAGATCCCTCAAAGATCCAAATGAGGATAGCACTGGACTGAGCTGAGCCACAGCTTGTGTGTCCCAGGAGAACCAAAGTTGGTACACTGTAGTGGAACCCACAGCCTGATTTGTGTTGTGTCCCAGTTCACAGTTCACAATAGCTCAACTATGGCATCAGCCTCAGTGGCCACCTGCTTGGAGGTGGCTGGATAAAGAACGTGTGGAACATGCCTTGTACACAGCAGAGTGTTACAAAGCCATAAAAAAGAAATGGCATTATGTTATTTGCAGGAAACTGGAGACCATTGTGTTAAATGGAATAAGCCAGAGTTAGAAGGGTATCATGTTTTTTCCCTCATAAGTGGAATCTTAAAAAAAAAAAAAAAATACAGATGATGTGCTAGTGGAAGAGGGACTGTTAGAGAAGCAAAAGGGAACAGGAAGGGAAAAAGGAAGGGCAAGGGAATATGGGGGGATGGAACTTGTCAGAGTTTGCTGTAAGTATGTAGGAATCCACCAAACTGAAACTTATTAATCTCTATAACTAATATGTGCTAATGAAAAAGGTAATTAAGCTGGGCATGGTAGTGCATATTCTTAGTCCAGCTATTCGGGCGGGAGGGTTGAGAAAGGAAGATTGCTTGAATCCAGGGTTCAAGGCCATCCTAGGCAACATAGTGAGACCTTGTCCCAAAAACAAAACAAAACAAAAAAAACTGTAAACAAAACAGAAGATTACTTTCTTTCAAACTCGAGCTTCACAAAGTGTTCCAATTTGTCAGAATTCTCTGAAGGCTGAAGGGTCACCTTGATACCTCTGTGCTCCTGCCCAGGTGTACATCAGGAAGCAGCCAGGCCCTGAACCCACTCCCTCCCGAGTCCTCTGTCCTTGGCGCTGGCCACTGCTGTGATTCTGGGATCATCTGGGCCTCTATCGACTATGGCAGGGGCCCAGGTGGAAGCGGAATCCTTGTGCTCTGTCTCTGTAGATTACACCATCCTAGATTGCATTTACAGCGAGGTGAGCCAGACCTACTATGTCCTGGATGTGATGTGCTGGAGGGGACACCCTGTCTATGACTGCCAGGTGAGAACGGGCCTCCCCTCAAGTCTTCCTGTCCCCTCTCCTCCTGGGAAGGTGGCCCAGCCTGTGGCTTGGGTTCATGACCAGCTTCTTAGAATCTACAGGATGTGGTACATCAAGAGCATTGTCTAATGTTCCCTGCACCTTCGAGGGTGATTAAATCAGCTGACTTCAAAGACAGGTGTGAGAGGACCTAAAGGAAGCATATCGATTCTTGAGGAGGAAAGAGATGGAACAGCTGCAGCCACCCCCTCGCCCTTCTCCAAAGGATGGGCAGGTTGCTGGCAGGAGAGATCACAGGATGAGGATGGTACTTCATACAGGTGGCACCAGGAAGAGAAGGTGGCATAGAAAGTGCCATCAATAGACTCCTACTGCCTCTGCTCCTTCCTCCCCCACAGCCTGACTGCAGTGTCTCTCTCTCTTTGAGACAGTCTCATTGTACAGTTCAGGCTGGCCTTGAACTCATGATGGTCCTCCTGCCTCAGCCTCTCAAATGCTGATATTACAGGTGTACACCATCATGCCCAGGAAGAATGTCTTTTCTTACTTTCTCTGTGTCTATCTGTCTGTCTCTGTTTCTGTCTCTGTCACTCTATCTCTGTCTCTCTTCCTCTCTCTCTCTCTCTGTGTCTGTCTGTCTGTGTGTCTCTCTCTCTCTCTGTCTCTGTGTTTTGAGACAGAGTCTCACTGTGTAGGTTCTCTGCAATCGTCTGTCTTAGCCTCCTGAATGCTAGGATTCCAGGCATGTACACCCCCAAGCCTCAGCTAGGAGCTTCTCCTTCCTTTCCTCTTTCTCATCTCCCCCAACGTGGTGCTCAGCCTGGCCCAGGGCTGTTGGCAGCTTTCCCTCCCTGTCTGTGCTGTGCAGTGTAGGGTTTTGAACTTCCTTTAGCACAGTGGTTCTCACTGTGTGGCCTCATACTTAGCAGAAAGCTTTTAGAAATGCATGTTGTCAAGGCTGCTGGATTAGAGACTATGGAGTCTGTTTTCTGAATAGCTTGTGATAACCTGAAGGCTGGGAAGAAACCAGTTGTCACTATAGCCTACTTTTTTCCCTACCCTCACTCCCTCTAAACTGTAGAATCTGCATTGCCCAGCACTTTGGGGCAGTAGTGCACTAAATCCCCACAGCAGTCCCTAAGGCAGCATGGTGACTGCCCTGCTCTTTTACGTGTAGAGGCTGAGTACAGAGCTTAAGGTCCCTGCCCAGGAACAGAGCAGGTCCTCAGCCTGGCATAGACAAGCCAGTGTATTTCCCTTTCATTCTGTTCAAGAGTTTTCTAGCATATACCTTGACCACTTCCGAGTTTGGTAGCTAGAACTACTTACGGTTGTATAAGACAAAGGAAAGACTATGTATGTTATAAACTCTTAAAAGCAAAAAATATATTTTTTTCCAGGATTGAGGATTGAGTCTAGGACTTCCCCACTGAGCTGTATACTTAGTCCATTTTTCTTTCATTCAGATTTTATTGGTACATTTTAGATGTACATAATGATCACACTCATCATAAAGAACTTGTACCTTTTTTTCCTTCATTACTTAGCCCTTCTCAATAGTGGGGATCAAACTCATAACCTCGCGCTTGCCAGGAAGGCACTCATGCCACTGAGCTAAAGCCCCAGCCCTAAAGTGTTTTATTTTGAGACAGAGTCTCACTGAATTACTAAATTGCCTAGGCTAGGCTTGAATTTACAATCCTGCCCCAGCCCCCCAGAGTGCTGCAATTACAGACACACACAACACGTCTTGCTCAGAAGCAAAATAATTTGAACGAATGACAATATCATATGTAACATGTACTAACTCTGCATAACCATAGAAGGATATACAGCAATAACTCAAAGAATAAAGTAGTTTGTGTAACTCAAAGAATAAAATAGTTTGTGTAACGTTTCACGGGAATAGTAGTTTCTAAAGCAGAGGGGTTTGCATAATGTGCCTAGGGGTTAGAGAGGCCTAGGCTTCCTGTGCACCCAGGCAAGTGACTCACCCTCTGTGACCTCAGAGTCCTCACTGTGAAATGGAGATAAGGATGCTGCAGCATCTAGAGGGCTGGAGAGGAGCTCAGTTTTGTATGGAGCTTGGCATGGAACACATATTCAGTGACAAATGTTTATCCTGAAGTCTGAAAAAAAATAAGAAAAAGTGTGGAACAATTTGAGGAATATCTTCCTGGCTGTGGATTTAGGTGAATGGGGCAATGACAGAAGAGTTTAGGACCAGGTGCAGAGACATACCCCTGTAAGCATGGCTACTTGGAAGGCTGAGGCAGGAGGATCACAAGTTTGAGGTCGGCTAAGGCAAATTATTGAGAACTTGTCTAAAAATAAAATTGAAAAAGGGTTGGGGATACAGTTTAACGATAGAGCATTTGCCTAGGATGTGTGAGGCCCTGGTTTCAGTCTCCGGAACTGCCAAAAAAGGGTGTTTAGGCCTTTGTACAGAATATTTTGTTTATGTTAGCATTTGAGATGAGCAGTATCTCACCCTCCTGTTTCCTTTTTCTGTGGCAGACTGATTTCCGATTCTACTGGATGCAGTCAAAGCTACCAGAAGAAGAAGGATTAGGAGAGAAAACCAAGCTCAATCCTGTAAGGCCGGCTGTTCAAATCACAGAGTTCTTTATAGGGATTGATTTGAATTGGTCTGTTACCTACACAGAATCATTGTGAATCTTTTCTGAGGCAGCATGGTGTAATAGGAAGAGTGTGGGCTCAACAGCTAGATCCTGCTAGATCGTAAGAAAACAATCTGGAACAATTTGAATTCCATGTGTGGCTTTAACCACTTACTAGTCTAACAAATATAGGATGACCAAAATATGCTTTTTTGATTATTTTTTATAAGATAATATAATAGGGAATATAAAAATGACAATTTTATCAAATTTATTCAATATCAAATTCAACTGGTTGAAATGATACTTACCCTCGGGATAGCATATAAACAAATGTGCTTCCCAAGTGATGCTTGGGGTACCCTGTTAAGTGGCCAATAATGATCAGGTTGAAAACTGGGTGTACTTCAGTGTCAGAGCAATTGGTTAGCATGCAGAGGTCCTGGGTTTGAGCTCCAGCACTACAAAGAAAAATTTTTCTTTCTTTCTTTTTTTTTTGAGACAAGATCTCACTATGTAGTTCAGGCTGGCCTTGAACTCGCCATGTAGCTCAGGCTGACCTCAAACTTGAGATGATTCTCATACCTCAGCCTCCAGAGTGCTGGGATTACAAGTGTGTGCCAGCACACCTGGCTACAAACAATTTTTAAAATTAATTTAAAAAATAATAATCGGGGCTAGGGATTTAGCTCAGCGGCATAAGTGCCTGCCTTGCAAGCAGGCAGTCGTGAGTTCAATCCCTGGTACCGATAAAAAAAAAAAAAAAAAAAAAAGACAAAAAAATAATAATAATAATAATCACCAGGTTAATACCTTTCTTAGCCTTAATTTCATCATCTGCAAAATAGCGTTTCTGTCTCCTTATTTATAAAGTTGTAAGAACCAAATGATAAAAGTACCTGAGGATATAGCTCAGTGGCACAGCACCTGCCTGAGAAATGCAAAGGTCATGAGTTCAATCTCTGGTACCAAAAAAATAAATGAAAAATAAAAGTATACAGGTCCTCCTAGCTTAATACTTATGGCAGGCACATACTAAACAATGGTTGATAGAGAATATTTTCATACTGATATAGTAATTGTGGGTCTAGGGGTTGAACCCAAGGCCTCCTGCATGCTAGGCAGGTGCTTTAACACTGAGGCAGGGGATTCAGCTCAGTGATACCTGCCTGGCAAGTGTGAGGTCATGATTTTGATCCTCGGTACCAAAAATAAATAAACAAATAACATAAAAACAAAATCCAATGCTAACACTGACCTAGAGCTTTCATACTGAGAAACAGCCCAGTTCTTTTTCTTTTTATTTTGAGACAGGGTCTTGAAAGTTGCCCTTATTGGGGGGAAACATGTGAATCTCCTGCCTGAGCTCCCAGAATGCTGGGACTACAGGTGTGTGCCACCCTCCTGATTGAAAAGCAGGTTGCTAATAACATCCCTGGGTCTGTGGGCTGCACCTGGGAACCACTGCTGTTGTGGCTGAGCCTCATCTCATTCATCTTTCATTTCACTGAGCAGAACTGGGTCAGGAGATGCTTCCCTGGTGGCCCCATAACCCACCTTGACAACCCAGAGATCTTGGCCATTCCAATAATGACTTTAGAATGTGTCAGGGTCTGTTGGGGGTGGATCCACATAGCTGCAGTGTCCACCTCTGGAGAAGCCAAGGCTGGAGGTCACTTGAGCCCAGGAGTTTGAGACCAGTCTGAGAAACATAGGAGACAGAAAATAAAAATATGTCATTTGCATGTGGGATGATATGCAGTGCTGAGAATGGAACCCTTATACACAATAGGCCAGCGCTTTACCACTGAGTCATATACCCAGCTATTTTTTTTTTAATCTTATTTTGAGACAAGGTCTTACAAATTTGCTTAGGCTGAACTTCCAGTCATCCTACCTCAACCTCATAAATAGCTGAGATTTTAGGTGCAGCATGTGCCACCATGCTCAACCATCAGTAAGTTTTTATTTTTGTTTTTTGAAATTTTTTTTGTTGTTTGTTAGCTTTTGCTTTTCTTTGTGATGCTCTGGAGCAAATACAGGGGTTTTGCCCATACCAGGCAAACATTGGCTGAGCTGCATCTCCCAGCCCAGCATCAGGAGTTCTTTTTTGAGCTCACTTTGTACCCCAGGCTGGTCTCGAACTCGAAAGGATCCTCCCACCTCAGCCTCAGCCTCCCAAGTTTTGGGATTACAGGCGATTACAGGTGAGAGCCACCACGCCCGCCTGGCTAGCATCAGGAGTTCTTAAAAACTCCCAGATGATTTTCCTGCCCCTGGAGGATCCCTGTATGTAAACAAAGATGGAGAAATACTGACCAGTCAGAGGGCTGAGGGATGGGAGGAGTGAGGAGAGGATGAGACTGAAAATGTGAGTAGAGGTTTTCAGCTGCTAGCACCAGTATCCTATGTAACATGCACTAACTCCTTGTTCTCATTTACATTTCAGTTTAAATTTGTGGGACTGAAGAATTTCCCTTGTACTCCTGAGAGCCTATGTAACGTGCTGGCTATGGATTTCCCTTTCGAGGTAGTGGAGTTGACCTCTCTGTTGCTCTGATATGACCATAGGGTACAGAGAGGCTCAATTACTAGGTTTTAGGACATCTTCCACTGTGCTATGTCAGAGCAGGGGTGGAGGCTGACTTAGGGGAAGGAATGTGCTTGCAGCCCTCCAGGCCATAGCTGAGTCAGAGCCCTGGAAGGGAAACTGAGGCCCAGAGAGGGGCAAGGACCTCTATCCCTGGGACCTTCTTTTGTGCCTTCCTGCCACAAGCATGAGAACAGCCACTCCTTGTGGCCACCATGCTGATTATGAAACATGGGCATCTGTGGCTGCTGCAAATGTTTGGATCCTGATCTTCTGCCCAAAGCACAAGTCCCCAGGATGCAGTTCTTGCTGATCAGCGGTTTGCCCAGACTTGACCCATTATAGCACCAACAGCCTCTTGTCCCCAGAAGGCCTTGGACAGTCTTTTGTCATCCTCAACCTGCAGTGACCCTCAGCAAGCAGATTCTCTGCCCAGCATTCCCTACAGTTCTGCCTAGTCACCCCCATGGAATGGCTTGCGTGGATCTAATTTTATAAAGGATGCAGCTTCCTGGATGCGGAAATGGCAAAGGCTGAGTTGCCTTCATTTCTGGGAGTCAATTAGGAAGGTGGTGAGAACACTGTCTTTATTTATAACCCTTATACCCCAGTGGCAAGAAATGCTTTTTAAAGATGAGTCACTGAGTCATGGAAAAGACAATGTGGGACTGTAGGAGGTCTTCCCGTTGAGAAAAGCTGGATTTCCCAGAATGTGGCTCACAAACACTTTAGGGGGAGGTGTAGGCAGCCAGGAGTGGCAGGGAAGCGGGGATCTGGCAGCTTGTATGCCCTCCTTGCAGCCTGGCACCTTGGAGTCCTGTCCTTCTGTGTACCAGACTTTCGGGTGGTAGGCAGTAGCTGGAATTTAGGGACAGGAGCCCTGGACTTCTGCTTCATACTCACTGCATGTTTTTAGGGCTCCCTCAGGGTGCTCTGAGCCTGGGCCCAGACTTCTACCCCTTCTCAAGACCGTCCTGGTGGGTTAGGAGTAAGACAAGGGGGAGGAAAGCACCCTCTGTTTTTCTTTTTCTTTTCTTTTTTAGTTTTTGTTTGGGTTTTTTTTTTTGTTTTGTCTATTTGAGACAGGGTCTCATTTTACAGTTTAGGCTGGGCTTGGGTTCACTTTGCAGCTCAGGCTGGTCTCGAACTTGCAAAGTTCCTCCTGCCTCAGCCTCCCAAGTGCTGGGATTTCAGGCATGTGCCACCATGCCCAGTAAGCAAAACACCCTCTAATAGGAGGGTGCTACTTGGGTTTTTATTTTCTAAAATTTAGTTTTCTAGGCCATTTCTTCACTTAGAGATACTGCACTCATGGGAAACAAGGACTCCTAAGAAAAGGGCTGGAGCCATGAGATTTCTGTATGACTCTAGCAGCCATGGTGACCCCATTTCCCTCTCACAGGTAGACGGACTCCTCTTCTATCACAGGCAGACCCACTACAGCCCCGGAAGCACACCCTTGGTGGGCTGGCTGCGCCCCTACATGGTATCAGACATCCTGGGCGTGGCTGTACCCGACGGCCCCCTGACCGTGAAGCCGGAGTATGCAGGGCACCAGCTGCAGCAAATCATTGAGCACAAGAGAAGCCAAAAGGACCCGAGGGAGAAGCTCACACTCGAGGCGTTTGAGACTGGGCACTATGAGCTGGAGCACCTGTCCACCCCCACACACCCTCCTCCCCAGGACCCCGGCCAGCCTGGAGGCTGCATGGAAACCTAAGCAGGCAGCCTCCTGAGGAGTTGGGAACAGGCTCAGAGGGGTACCAGGGAGGACAGTGATCACCACAGGTGACTTGGTTTTACTCCAGTAGCAACTATTTCTCACCTATCTTAAAATGCTGAATCAAAAAATAAAAAATAAAATGCTGAGTCAGGCAGCTAGAGAGGTGGCATTTGCATGGGATTGAACAGTTCCTACTGCAATAAGTGTATCTGAGATCTGCAATGTAAATATGTATAATTCTTAGAAGTTGTTAGCCAAACATTGATGGCTTACACCTTGGAATCCCAGTGCTTGGGAGGCTGAGGCAGAATGATCACCATCAGTTCAAGATCAGCCTGGACTATGCAGTGAAACCCTGTCCCCAAAAAACAAAAAATAAAACAACCACAACAAAAAGAACAAAAACAGAAATGGCTTATAATCCTTAAGAATGCAGATGTGACCCCCAACCTCTACCCCAGCCAGCAGGGTACCTAAACTCCAGTCTTGGCCCATTTTACCCTCTCAGCACCCAGTTATTCTGCTGTTGCCAGGTGCTTCTGCGGGCAGTGGCATGTTTCTGAAAGGTCTTACCAGGAACTGCAGTTCTCGGTATTTGAGTGTTACCAGTTCTCAGTATTTGAGTGTGACTTTCTTTGGTTTACATGGCCTGAGGTAAAATGCTACTGGAACTCATCCACTTCTTTCCCACCAGCAGATAAACCTCAAGGAAGGTCCCTGAAATGTTTGCGGAGGGTTTATATTTTTATTTTTTTTTTTTACACTTTTTTTCTTTTTATCGGTACCGGGGATTGAACTCATGACCGCCTGCTTGCAAGGCAGGTGCTTATGCCACTGAGCTAAATCCCCAGCCCCTGTGGAGGGGGTTTTGAGGGTGGACAGGACCCTGTCCTTGAGGGGGACACAGTCCAGTGAGAAATGAACACATAGGGTATATGTGGGGTATGTCATAGTAGAGAAATGGGTGCCCAGGGTAGAAGCATGCAGAGAGCATGGGCCAGGGACCCAAGGAGGCAGAGGGAGGGTACTCACAAGAGGGACACGAGCTGAGGGATCAGGGTTCTGTGTGGAGAGGCAGGAGGGGCAGAGGGGCACAGACAGGCAGTAGCTGTTCATCCTGAGTGGGACAGACCCAGTGCCTGAGCCTGAAGCAGGCTCAGCATGGCCTGGGTGAGGGGGCTAGGGAGAGACAGGACGCCTGGGAGATTATGTCACAAGTGAAGTGAGGAAGCCCTCAGGCTGTGAGCTAGAGCTCAGAAGGCTGTGCAAATGAGAGGGTATCTGCAGCTAACCAGTGAGTTTCTACTGTGTGTTCAGGAAGCGTGTCCCAGTTCCTGGGGCCTCTGCTTTCTAGTATTCTGCTAACTAGAGAAGAGGGCACATAGCAGAGCAGTGTTTTGCGGATAGTTTCAGAGGGCTCTGGTCAGCTCTTGTGTGACATGCAATGTCTTTGAATCGATTCTCTCCAAGGACATATCCAGGCAGGCAGAACCCAATTACATACAGTCAGCACATCCCAAGGAACACACCTTGGTGTCTATCCACTGACTCTAAAACTGAAGGAAGAACCCTCATACAGCAACAATCCCAGATTCTGCTGGCTGCAGATTCAAGCATTCAGCTCCATCAATAAGCCCCTTCCTGAATGTAGCTCAGTTTTACATTAGGGACTCTGCATTCCTCTGCCAAGGATGTCATATGTAGATGTTTATAGTCCCTGACATCTTCTAAGTGTTCTGTTCTGGGTCTTCAGCTTTATCAGTCCAGCAGCCCTTGGCAATAGCAGCTTAGGCAAGCTATACTCAGAATGAAGTAGCCTGGAAGTGCTGCTCCCCAAAGCCCTCTCTCTGTAGATAATTGTGTGCGTGAGACCCCGAATGGTCAGTGCATCTATAAGAGCTACTCAATGCCGTGGCCTAGCAGTGGAAAGCTTCCCACAGATCAGTGCCCACTATGCTTTTAACTGAGCAGCTGGTTTTAGTGACATAGATAACAGCGTGTTTCATGGTCCTGTCTCTTAGGGAGTATAAAACCCCTCTTGCCAGGCTGGTGATAGAGCTCAGTGGTATAAGTCCCTGCCTGGAAAGTGCAAGGTCCTGAGTTTGATTCCTGGTACAAACAAACAAAACTCTTGTCACCTGTTTCCAAGATGGCTTTTATAGGTTGCTCTGAATGAACAGGAGCTTTTTGGCTGACTGACCGAACCAAAAAAACAAACCTGGCCGGGTGTGATGGCACACCTGTAATCCCAACACTTGGGAGGCTGAGGTGGGAGGATCCTTGCGAGTTCGAGACCAGCCTGGGCTACAAAGTGAACTCAAGGCCAGCCTGAACTGCATAGCAAGACCCTGTCTCAAAAAAGACAAAAAAAAAAACAAAAACAAAAACAAAAAAACAAAAAACAAACCTGGAATCTAGTTCAGTTAAGGGACTCATCAAGGAAGATCTCACTGGGGAAATGACTTTTGAGCTGAGACCTTAAGAATGAGTCAGATTTGTCTGGTGAACAAGGTGAAAAATGCAAAGAATAGGATTTCTAGACAGAGACCTGAAACTTAGGCTTAAAAGCAAAAAAAGAGGGACTGGGGATTTAGCTCAGCGGCATAAGCGCCTGTCTTGCAAGCAGGCAGTTGTGAGTTGGATCCCTGCTACCGATAAAAACGAAAAAAAAAAAGGACTAAAGAAAAAAAAAGAAAAACAAACAAACAAAAAACCCCCAGCCAGCCAGGCCATGGTGGTGCATGACTGTAAGTCTGAGCACTCTGGGAGGCTAAGGCAAGAGGATCACAAGTCTGAGGCCAACCTGAGCAACTTAGTAAGACTGTCTTAGTGAAAGGAGGGTCAATATGTATCTCAGTGGCACAAACCTAGCTAGCATGGGTGAGACCTGGGATTTAATCTCCATTACTGAAAGAAGAAAAAATAATTTTAAAAACAAAAATTCCAGCCAGGTGTTTGTGCACACAACTGTAATCTTTTTTTTTTGTTTTTGTTTTTTTTTGTCTTTTTCGTTTTTATCCGTACCAGGGATCAAACTCATGACTGCCTGCTTGCAAGGCAGGCGCTTATGCGGTTGAGCTAAATCCCCAGCCCCACAACTGTAATCTTAACATTCAAGAGACTGAGGCAGGAGAATCACCACAAGTTTGGGGCCAACCTGGAATATATAGTGAGTTCAAGACCAGAAGACCTTGTCTCAGAAAGCAAGCAATCCAAGCAAGCACAAAGATAAAAAAATTCAAACCACAGCATCCCTCTCCCAAGATTCAACTGTCAGATTTCAGCCATGAAGCCAAGTAAAGCATTTGACACCGAGAGGAGGCGAGCAGGCAGAGCCATCCACTTCATGTGTTTCCATGTAAGAGGAGAATCATCATCCACCTACCTTGTTCTGTTCAGGTGAGGGTAGATGAGTAGAAGTAATTTGAGCAACAGCCAATTGGATTGAACACATACAGCAAATATAGTGTTCTCCCTTTTGGGAGAGAGTACTGGGGATTGAACCCAGGGCCTTGTGCATGCTTGATAAAGCACTTTAGGCTGTATTATTCCATATCAATTTTTTTAAACTCAAAACCTTATGTTTGCAAGGCAGGCACTATATTGCTGAGCTATATCCCTAGCCCATGTTCCATCTCTTTTAAATTTTAAATATTAATTTTTGGGTGGAGGATGTTCCAAGTCTCACTGTATAGTGCAGGTTGGCCTCAAAGTTTTCCTTTTTCTTTCTTTCTTTCTTTTTCTTCTTTTTTGGTTTGGTAGCAGGGATCAAACTCATGACCTTATACTTGCCAGGCAGGCATTTATGCCACTGAGCTAAACCCCAACCCTCTCTTTTTGTTTATGATTACTTAATTTTTGGCCTCACTCTTTTCTTTCTTCTTTCTTTCTTTTTTTTTTTTTTTTTTTTTTTTTTGAGACAGGGTCTGGCTATGTAGTTCAGGCTAGCCTTGAACTCATAATGTACCCTAGGCTGACCTCGAACTTGCAGTGATCCTCCTGCCTCAGCCTCTTGAGTTCTGGGTTTATAGGTGTGCATCTCAATACCTGACCCCCAAAACAAGATAAAGGTTAGCTTACTGGAGTGGATGTATATGTAGGAGTTTATTTGCCAAGTGGTGGTCATTATGTTGCTTTGATCACTTGCCAATGCAGACCATTGTGCAGCCTGTGGGCACTGATTGAGTAGACTGGTAGCGCCCAACCGAGTCTCTGGGTCTCTGGAAGGTGGCAGGGAAACTGCCTCTGGACTTCAGGCCTCCTGAGAGTTATCCTCTCAGAGTGAAGCTAGCAGTTAGCATTTTATGATGTACATCTCAAGCATTGTCCTATGAGACCCTGTTGGCTTTGATTCTGTAGAGCCCTGACCTACATAGCTGCTCGCCCCTGCACAGCTGTGCCTCCCAAAAGAAACATGGCTGCAGGCTTCTGGCTCCCACAGCTTAACCTCTTATTTTCTTATTTTCCTTTTTTTTTGTCTTTTCCCTTTTCATCGGTACCAGGGATCGAACTCATGACTGCCTGCTTGCAAGGCAGGCGCTTATGCCGCTGAGCTAAATCCCCAGCCCTGACCTCTTGTTTTCTTAATGTGATCCATGGACTAGAAGTTATAGCACTCAGATTCAAGTTCTAGTGTAGTATGATTTATGAGTGTAGGACTATGGATAGAAAAGTTGTTCACATCCCAAGGTTACTGATATAAAGAAGTCTAAAGAGACTGTGTCCTCTCCTCTATCCAGCCAGTGGCTTGTTCTACTTAGGCTCCCCTGTTTTTTTCCTCCATCTGAAGAAGAAAAAAATGTATGTGTTAAGTTACTACTTAAACATTAAAGAAAAGTTACACACACACGCAAAATTTCAACATGTGGAAAAAACTGCTGTTTGAGCAAGATAAAGTTTGCCCTTCAGGTCAGCAGGAACCAGAAGGAGCATATGGTGCTTTGGCAGGTTGGGAATGTCCTGGTTCTTCATCATGTGATATTGCATGAGTGTGTTCAGTTTATGAAAATTCACCAAGCTATACACTTATATTTTTACTCTGTATATTCTACTTTAATTAAAAGTAAATAAAATGCACAGAAGTTCATGTAGGTAAACCCACCACCACCCTTTGTGCGATCAACTCTCAAGTATGTAGGCCTCAAGCTCATGATCCTCCTGCCTCAGCTTTTCCAGTGCTGAGATCATGGGTGTGTGTACAACACCTGGTTCCTTTCTACTTCTTCCTAGGCTTCCAGTTCTCCTGAAAGCCACTGTTATCTTCTTGTGCATTCCTCTAGAACTTTTATATTTACCGGTAAATACATATCCCTCTTCTGTATTCAAATCACAACATATCATGTGTATTGTTGGGTCTTTCCTTTTCTAGTTTCATAATACACCATGCCATGTGTTCACAGCCGGTTGCCTGGCACAGAACTACACACTAGAGTGGTACAGTACTGAAGTGAGCTCTGTCCAATCTAGAGCCTTGTGGTGCAAAAGAGAAACTTAGCCAGCTGAGATAGAAGCCGACTCAAACACAGAGATTTCTCTTCTGATTGTTACCTAGGGCAGCCTGAAGCTGCTGTTACAATCATGCAGACAGGAGGTGAGGTGAGGGGTTGCTTTAAGACCAGAGAGGGGTGTGGGTGCTTGGGTGGAGTTTCAGCCACTCAGAGGGACCTCTTGAGCACAAGATTTTGAGACCAGCTTGGGTAACATAACTTGACCATATCTGGAAAAAAGTCTGAGAGCCAGGTATTGTGATGTACATCTGTGATCCTAGCCCTGGGAAGGCTGAAGCAAGAGGATCATGAATTTGAGGACAGCCTGGACTGTACATAGTAAGACTCTCTTTCAAACAACTCCTAGGAGGGAGCATGAGCACCTTCCCTCAGTGCGTTTTTTCCCTAGGTTCTGGAGATTGTACCCAGGGTCTTTGCACAGAGCTACATCCCTGGCCCTTTTTATTTTATGTTTTTTTAATTTTGAGATAGAGCTGGGCAAGGTGGCACATGCCTGTAATCCCAGCGCTGGGGAGGCTAAGGCAGGAGAATCACTGCCAGTTTGAGACCACCCTGGACTACAAAGTGTGCTCAAGGCCAGCCTGGACTGCATAGTGAGACCCTGTCTCAAAAAGACGAAACAAATAAAAAAAATTTTTTGAGATAGTTTCGTTAGATTGCCTGGGCTGGGCCCTAAGTTTGGGATCCTCCTGCTTCAACCTGCTAGGGTGCTGGGGTTACAGGCATGTGGAACCCATCCTCTCCGTTGTGTGAACACCCTTGCCTTGCATCTCTGGGCGGCTGCAGGGTTTTAGCTCGTGGGACTGGCTGTGGCATTCTTGCTCTTTGGGTCCCTCTGGGAATATTTATCTTCAGTCTGGAATACTGCAAACAGACCCAGCGCTGCCTTCCCTGTGACTTCAGCCCCCAAACTGACTCCAACAGTGTCCCCTGTATCCCGACTCCCGGGACAGCCCCAAGCTTTTCGCTGCGCCCGAATGATCAAAGTTTTGTAAAGTCTCCATGATTCCTCAATGAGATCCGAAATGGGATGTAGGTATTAAAATTAGCCACACTGGTGATGGATTCCAGGATACAGCCAGCAGGGTCAGGTGGAGAACGCTGGAGAAGGCAGCTGTCTCTCCCACGGCCTCTCAGGCTGCAAGGGACGTGGAAATGGCTGAGGACGCGGCGTTGACGGCAGGGGCACCCCGGGAGTAACTAGGTTCTCCTCCACAGGGTTCATCCTCACGGATTCAGCCCTCTTTGCCACCCCTTTCCCGTCTCCTCCCCCTCCTCTCTGTCCTTTCTCTCCCTTCCCCCTCGCGCTACTCTTCTCCCAACTCCTCAACCTCTCTCTCTCCTCCTCCCCTCCGCCGAGCCACTCTCCCTCTCCGCCCCTCCTCCGGGCTCTCCGTCTCCCCCAGGCGGCGGCGCCCGCTTACCGCGGGCTGGTTGTGAATGGGTCGCAGGTTTCGCAATGGGTGCCGCGCGGTGGCGTGGGGGAGGGGCGCCCGCTAGACCCCGCCCCTTCCGCGCTTGACCACACCTCCGCCTGTTCCGCCCCTGCCCCTCCCCTCCCCTCCCCCGCGGCAGCGGCGGTGCAGCGCAGGCCGCGTCCGGTGCGGCCGGCCGGGCGCGTGAGGAACGCGGGCGGGAAGGGCGGCCATGCGTGCGCTCGCTGCGGGCCGCTGAGGGGCGGGCTGTCGCCCTCGGGTGCTGTGCCCGCAGCGGGATGGAGCCAGCAGCCGAGCCCCGGCCCGGCCTGGCCCCCGAGCTGAGCCCGGAGGAGGAGCAGGTAAGCAGCCCCGGCGGGTGTGTCTTGGCCTGCCCGTCCCCGGGTCGCAGTCCTGCCCTGCGCGCGGGCCCGGATCCTCCCAGTGGCTCACATGCCCCCCAATTCCCAGAGGATCCTGGAGGCCCCCGCACCCAGACTCTGCACCCCCGGAGCTTCCGCCGCGCCCCATTGTCCCCGAGGATGCAGTGCCTGTAGTCGAGTCTTGGTCCAGGAGAAACCAGCGCCGGGCCACCCTGCCTTCCCTTCAGCCTGGGGACCTGGCGCTCCCGGGGGACGCTGTAGGGCGCTGCTGTGTGCTTCCTGGAATTGCCCGCGTCCAGCCAGAGCTGTAGGCAAACGCAGACATAGTCTGGTTCTCCTCTACAAATAAGCAAATAAGATAAAATCCATGAAAAAAGCAGAAAATGAGCTCCCCAGCCTTTGTTCCCGGCGCTCACATTGGCCAGCGCGATGGGTCTCCGACTGCAGACACCTTAGATTCACAAATTGATTGATACTGGTTGGTGGCCTTATTTGAGACCTGGTTTTAAAAAGCCCTTGACTGCTCCCATCCTTTGTGGTGATGACGTTTTTTCACATTTGGCCTCAGACCACAATCTTGCCTTTTGATGCCTTGAGATAAAATCAACATAGGGAGAACATTTTAGAATTTTGTTTGGTACCCATGATAATATCCTGGTCACTGCAGTTGGGTGTTATTAAAATGCTAGTCAGACTTTAGTGCAAGCAGTTGGCCTGTGAGTCCATCCTGCTAGAATTGGGGCAATCTTAAGGTTAACCTTTAGGTTGACTTTACAGGTTTCTTAAATCTTTTTTCCCTTGGGTTATATTTGAAGTTTCTGAGACCTAAATGAGCCAGACATTGTGGCGCACACCTGTAATCTTAGTGCTTGGAAGACTGAGGCAGGAGGCAGAAGGATCCAGGCAAGTTCTAGGCCAGTGGAGGCAACATAGTGAGCTCAAAGCCAGCCTGAACTATATAGCTGAAACCATCTCAAAAAACAACAAAACGAAAAAGACCTAAATGCATCAGTCTTCTATGAAAATGGCATTAGATGGCAAATAACAAAATTAAAATGAGGAAATTAAATGTTAAAATATTGAGTGTTTCATAATCACATTATCCCCCCTACAAAATGCCAAAATTTCTACAGGCCTTTCAAAATGTTGAAATACAGACATAAAAGCAGCATTGTTCTAATTATGGAAATACCTGGTACTCTTATATTTTAATAGTTTAATATTGCATAAGCATTTTCTTAACTATTAAAATTTCTTTGAAATATTTAACCAGCAGTGAATTGACATCAGTCTTAACATAGGAGTTGTCATAGGAAATGACACATTTGTTCCATAATGCCCCATTGCGCCAACCAGTTTTGGAGCTCATTTGGAGTTTATTTCAAACTTTATGATGGAGCCTTTAAAATATCCCATTATTGGAAAATTTTTCTTCTTTCGAGAGTCCATTTGGAAATAGCAAAAATTCTTTTTGAATCTTATTTCATAAGTAAATAGGGGACTGCGGAGGATTAACACATTTTCAGGGAAAAGCAAAAGTACCCTGAGGCCCTCCCTTTTTGGGGCAGTGTGAACTGCCTTGCAGATGTTTCTGGAATATAACTGTCTTGTACAGTGGTGTGTGCTTCTGTTTGTCCTGCTGTTTCAAGATGATGCTGATGATCCTCGGAGTTTCCTGAATGTCTCTTGGATTTGTCAGCTTCCTCCCATCACTGCCACCTCCTTCTCCCTAATTTAAAGTACTGTTTATAGTCTCATAGGAGCTCCTCTTCCTACCTGAGCAATCTGTAGTCCACAAGCCAAAGTCTCATTGCAGACCTGACTGTCTTCACAAAACCCTTTTGTGCTTTTGGCTTTAGTGGTGCTGGGGATTGAATCCAGCTTGGCCTGATGGAGCTAGGCAAGCGCTCTGCCATGGAACTATCCCAGCCTCTCCTTTAGTGGTGTTTTTGCTGTTGGGATCTGTGCAGCCTGCAGCCTTGCCATCTCTCCGTCATCTTTGCTGTGGACACACTGGCCTGTGGTCCTGCAGTTTTGCTATCTTGTGCTGCTGCAGGAAGGTTGTGTGAGCTGGAACCCTGTCGTGTGGGTTCCTTCCTCTCTCTTCTGCTCCTGATCTCTCCCATCTGTGCAGAAGGCCTGTCTTGATCTCCTCAGTTAGGTTAGGCCCTTCTCGTTGGCTGTCATTCATCTGTCCTTCCAAAATTTATCACAAGTTTGTCCTTATCTCTGTGATTTCATGACTGCAAGCTTCAGGAGAATTAGAATTTTTTGCTTTTGTCACTTTTATGTGCACATTTCCTGGCCTGACTGGCACTGAGTGGACATTCAAAAGTACTTCAGGAGTGAATGAAAGGCAGTTCTCCTGATCTGTATGCAGCAGCGTCTCCTTTGAGAATGGCTTATAAAAATAAGGACATTGTTAACTGACACTGGATTAACTGCTTAGCCAGACCCTGTTTCAAAATTTAAAAAAAAAATAAAGGATTGGGGATATAGCTCAATGTGAAGGCCTGAGTTCCATGCTCAGTACTGTACACACACACATGCGCATACATGAGTCAACAGCCATTTCTTATCTAAGCTTCTCTTGAATGGTACAAATCCTCATTTGTAACTTTGATATCTCTTACCTTTGTTTCTTTCAGTTCTTTAATAACTAGCGCCTACACTGGAGTTATAAGAAAAAAATACCATTTACCTGTGAGGAGTTTACATGAATAACAAGGAAATAGTATCAGTAACAGTAACTGTTTCCCAGACTCTTGTTATGAGTCAGGCCCTGTGTTGGGCATTTCAAATACACTTAATCCTCCCACGATTGGAATTAAATACTCTCTTTTGGAAACAAGAAAATGCAAGAAAGAAATTGCTCAAGGGCACATGGTTAGCGAGTGATGAAACCTGGATTGCCATCCAGGTTGAGGTTACTCTCTCTTTCTGCAAGTATTTTCTCTATCTTACATTATTTGTCCTACATTATTTCTCATGAAGCAGTCAGGCAAGTTACTAGACACCTAAGTGGATATTTGGCTGCTAATTTTGTATGTTTTAGTATTGTGTTGATATACATATATTGATTTTGTTGATATACATATATTTGATCTTGTTATTGCTTCTTTTAAAATGGTTTAACGGGGGCTGGAGATTTAGCTCAGCGGCATAAGCACCTGCCTTGCAAGCAGGCAGTCAGTCGTGAGTTCGATCCCCGGTACTGATAAAAAGGAAAAAGATGAAAAAAAAAAAAAGAAAGAAAAATGGTTTAACGGCCTAGGGATATAGCTCAGGGATACAGTGCCTGCTTGGCAAACGTGAGGTCGAGACTTAGAGTCCCAGCACAAAAAAAAAAAAAAAAAAAAAAAAGTTTAAAAATGCAGACAGAGGAAAACATTTGGAAAATCTTTACTCAGAACTGTGTATGATCAGGAGAAACATTGTATATTCTATACAAGCAATTGTGATGAAATGACTCTTGGAAAAAACTTGCTTAAAACAGAGTTGAAGCTGGGTTTGGTTTTGCATGCTTGTAATCCTGCTATTCTAGGGGCTGAGGCAGGAGGATTGTTGGCCAGCCTAGTGACTACATAGTGAATTGAAGACCACTAAACTACCCTGTCTCATAAAACAACAAAACAAAACAAAAAAATCCACTAGGACTCTGGGAAGCTGAGGCAGGAGGATCACAGGTTTGAGCCCAGCTTAGGTAATTTAGCAAAACCTTGCCTCAAAATTTAAAAAAAAATTTTTTTTTTAAAAATTTTTTCAAGGGCTAGGATTGAGAAACTACCAAAAAAAAAAAAAAAAAAAAAGTGACTTGTGGACTAGTGCTATAACTCCGTGTTAGAGCACATGCGTATGCTATGGGTTTGATTGTCAGCACTATGGAGAAAAAGAAGTAATTCATTATTTCCTTTCTGTATTACATATTCATTCAGTGTTGGGGATGGAACCCAGGTCCTGACAGATGCTAGGGATGCACTCTATCTCTGAATCTCACCCTAGCCCTAGTTGTTATAACAAATAATCTACTTACATTTTATTTTGAAAGCCTCTAAAGAAATTCTTTCTTTTTTCTTTTTTTTTCTTGATACATTTTAGATATACATAATGATCAAATTCACCATAGGGAATTTGTGCCTGTACATGATATATCTTGCTTCTTTTTTCCCCATTCCTCTCTCCTCCCTTCCATCCCTCTTCTCCTCCTTGTTTTCAAGTTTTGTTTCCATTTTTTCCCTTCTATTCTTTTATTTTCTTGTCCTTCCCCCTCTCCCCCTCCCTTGTTCCCCTTCTCATTTGAGCATTTTCTTCCCATTTCCCATCTTTTTTTGTATGTGCTGGGAGTGGAATGCAGAACCTTGCACGTATTAAATATGTACTCTACGATGGAGCCATATCACCCCCAAAATCAGGTGATGCTATGGTTTTATTTTACTTTATTGGTATATATATGTTGCAGATCAAACCCAGGGCTGAATGCATGCAAGACAAGGCTATTCCACTATGCCATACTTCCAGCATATTTCTCAAGAAAATTCTTACTTTAGAGTTCATGTTATTTAAAGCTTATGGAGTTGTTAGGATTTATAAGAAAATGTAGTAGAGAGCTTATATAGCCCAATGCTTACATAGTGAGGACTTAGTAAAGTCAGCTACGATTGTATTTCTTGCCTTTGAATATATATGAATCAGTGGACTTTTCGGCTAAGTTAGCCTAAGCCAATCCCAAAGAGAAACAGTATTTCTATTTACCCTGGGGACTGTTACTTAGTATCGGTTTATATGAGTACCAGAAAGTTGTTACCTTGGGTCTTCAAAGTCTAATTCCATCCTGTGGTTTTTATATTTTTAATAGACTCTTTTAATGTTATAAATTTAAGTGTCTGTCTGTGGACTTCAGAGATGGCTGGCATTCTTCCCGAGGGCAGGGGTTTTATCTTATTTCTTGTGGCCGGCAACTTCCCTTTTCCCACAGTCTC